GCCGAGGTCGAAGCGCTCACACGCCGGCACGAGACCGAGCTCGAGCTCTGCGCTGCGCAAGTCCCAGGAGCCCGGCGCTTGAGCGATGCGGCAGCTGTCAGCGTCGACGCTGACGTCCAGCACCTCACTGAGGAGCGCGCGATGCACCCCACGCAGTCCAAGCCGGTCCTCAACCCGTACGAAGCGCGCATCCAGCAGCTCGAGCGCGAGCTGGAGGAGACCAAGGCCAAGCTCGAGAAGGAGAAGCACGAGCGGGCCGCCGAGGTCGAATCGCTCACACGCCGGCATGAGACCGAGCTCGAGCTCTACGCTGCGCAAGTCGCAGGAGCCCGGCGCTTGGGTGATGCTGCCAGCGCTGTCGTCCAGCGCCTCACCGAGGTGCGCGCACTGCATCTCATGCAGCAGCGACTCAACTCGGTCATGGAAGTCGACGACGCCACGTTCGAGTACATCTCGGGTCCCCTAGACTTTGACAAACGCGACTTTCCGTTCACTCGGTTCACGCCCGGTCGGCTCCGGAACGGGACGCTCGTGCTGCGCATCCAGCTCGAGAATAGCTTTAAAGGCGACGAGGACGTTCTTCTGCGCGTCAAGAAGACCCTAGCCATCATGCAAGCGTACGTTCTTCTACCTCCACATTTGCATGCGTTTTGCTCAATGTCTTATAGGCTCAACGGCGGCGACGGTACGCTCATGCGCCTCATCGGCGCCAGCAACCTCGACTCGGACGACCCGATCGCGTACGTCGAGTACGTCACGGGCATGACCCTCAAAGAGTACCTCATGAGCAAGCACGACGCGACGTGGCCCGAGAAGCTATGGATCGCGTCTCAAATCGCAAAGGCTATTACTCACATCCACAACCTCGGGTTGATGCACCGCGACGTCTCGTGGTCGTATGTCTTCGTCGATGACAGCGGCAACGTCAAGGTCTTTGCTGGCTTCAAGATGCGCCAGGTCCAGGCGTACGAGACGTACCTCACCAAGGGTATCACGGAGGCTCGGTGGGGCGCCCCCGAGATACTGCCAAAGCCTCAAGGCGGCGCCAACGCCAAGCTGAACAGCAGCGCCACGGCGTACACGGACAAGATCGACATCTTCGGCCTCGGTCTCATTTTGATCTCGCTCGTGACGCGCGACGTCCCGTTCGGCTACGTGCTGAAGACCTCTGGGCGACGGACTCCCATCGATGACAACCTTGTCACTACCTGGCTGAAGAAGCGCGAGACGGCGATCCCGATGCTGACGCAGTCGTTCGACGATGACTACGCATGTCCGTCCGAAGAGTACAAGAAGCTCGCGTTGGAGTGCATCCAGTTCGACCCCGAACTTCGGCCGACGGCGCCCGAGATTGTCCGCCGGCTCGAGATGATCCGCCAAGCGTACGGCGGCGGTGGCTTTACGACGCCCGATGTCACCACGGTCGACCTCACGATCGCGGTCCTCAAGACATCTCGGATGCGACACCCAACATTGTTTGGGACCCCGTATGAAATGTGGTGTGAACTTCACATCTGCGACGAGACCCGCGACCCGATTCAGCTTCAGCCCGTCACCGGCACCTTTCAGCATCTTTTCAACCAGTATGCGACGCTGCACGACATTGAGCCGCTTGCGCACACAATCGCTATCTTCCTCAAGACGTCGAGCTGTTTTTCACCAAGACGATGGGGAAGGTCTCGATTCCGCTCATGGAGTTCCTCACGCTTGAGCGACACGAAACGAGCTTGACGGCGGTGCGGACAAAGACGTGTCCCATCTTCAAGGAAGGTGACATCGTCGGCTTCTTGGACGTTGCTGTGCAGTTTGGAGAGCGTCTCCGCGGGTACCTCGAGCTCTTTGAGCGGCGGACGACCGAGTACTTGCGCAACACCGAAGTCGGGCCGTCAACGCTCGATCTCCGCAAGAAGCGTGACGTGGCCGCACAAGCGCTCGCGTCACCCCCGCCCATCGACTCCCCACGCCCCACGCCCCTCGACAGGATCAACGGGACCGAAGCCGCCGCCGCTCCGCCGCTCGCTCGTGTGGTCAATAACGTGCCGTCGGTGGCGGGACTGACGGCGTCGGCCGCGCGGCTTGAAGCGCTTTGTCGAGAGGTATGCACGCACTGCAACCTGCGATCTCAACGGGCCATTGTTCGTAGATGCGTCTCTACACGGCTGCAAGCAACGGCGAGCTCGATGAAGTTGACACGCTTCTGCAAGAGGGTGTCGATCCAAACTGCTGCGAGACGCTGGTACGTGTGCCCTTGTCTTTTCTCAGCGTATTCTACTTTCGACATCTAGTTGGCTCGCGCGCCCCTGCACTGTGCAAGCTCGCGGGGCAATGTGGTCATCGTGGAAAGCCTGCTCCAAGCCAACGCCGACGTCAACGTCTTGGATGCGGTAGGCTCTCTTCATGGTCGATGTAGCTCGTCCTTTAGTCTCAACTGGTCCTGTGCGTAGAACGGCTGCTCTCCGCTGGACTTGGCCACGACCTCTGGTCACCTCGACGTATGTGCGCTACTTCAAGCCACAGTCGCTTCCGAGTCGGACCTGTTGTCGAGTTTTCGCGAGGTGGTAGCTCATTAGTGTTGTCTGTTGTCGTCGGGTCGAAGGTATCGCGCTGGTTCCTTGAGCATCCTGCCTCTAAACCAGGGGTACTATAATCCCCCTTGCTCTAAACGGTCCTCCAACTCACGTAAGCAATGCGTTTGTAGATCATACTAATATGCAGTCGAGTTTGATTGGTGGAACAAAACCTTCTGAAGCGCACTCGACCAGCGCTTGATTGCTGCTCGCACTAGTATCAATTACTAGTATGGGGCTATGTAGCACCTATATATGTATATAGGGGCTATGTAGCACCTATATATGTATATATATATATGTACCTGTCTCAACTGCGCTGCGTTTTATCAACTTGTATATCGCCGCGCTGCTAATGATGGCGCTCTGGCCGAGAACAGACGACCGACAGTGGTCAGCCAGCAACCTGCCACGCATGAACCCATGTATCTCATGTTGCCAGCATGGGCACGCAACAAAGCGTATTTCTAAAGCCGTGAACCGCGCATCGACCTGACCTGCACGAAGAACACATTGAAAGATCAAGCTGGAGCTTGCTCGTGGTAGGACTATACGTTGGCAGGAGACACGGGAGCGCGACTTCGACGAGCTTACGCACCCACCCGCCAGCACGAGCTCAAGCTGTTGCACGCCATATGAGCGAGTGCCGAGCCCTGACCTGTCGAAGCTACCTGTCGAGCCAACCTATTTTGAACTGCAGGACGTTCGCGACATGAACCGCTGCCCTGCGTTTCCCCCAGATGCGCCGCCCTTAACGACACATCCTACCAGGACCTCGCACGGGTTGTAGAACCATTTGCATAATAGCATTACAGCAGTTCCGACTTCATCATGGACGGGATCACAGACCGCGCGAACGGAAGCAAGTCCTTCTCCACGAGGTGGGCAAACCGCTTGGTGATCTGCGGCAGCTCGGTGAGGTACCGGACGTTCGCGATCCGCACGAGACACTCGCAAAACTGCGCGTACGACAAGCTTGTCACCGCGTCCTCTGCGATAGATGAGCTCGAGACACTGGCAGATATATCGACGTACTGTCTTTGGCAAAACAGCACTTTTGTATCATGTGCAGCAGGTCGTCGCGTGTCAGTAGTTGAGTCATAAAATTGCAGTCGCTACGTTGTTGTTCCGAATTCTTGCCTAAAAAATGACGGGAAATACCCTGCAAACGTGAGAAACACGGGCAGCGCGAGGCTTTTTCCTGGTGCCAGGTGCTTGTAGACGCTCTTGAGCACGCGACCATGGCTCGTCGCCGTGAGCTGCAGCATGTTGAGCTCCTTGGTATTGTCCTACATCGAAAATGTGTAAAGATGGGTGTTTCTAGCTGTGGTCCACCAGCCCGACGAGGTCCATCACGTTCATCCTGAGTGACTTGACGGACCGCTTGTCGTTGAGGGACGTGACGATCGGCAAGACGCGTAGCAGCTCGTCGCGCTCCGTGAGATACTTGTTGGCTTCCTTTCGCAGCACTTCCTTGTCGCGCTTGAGCAGCGAGATCTGATTGCGTGTTTTCAGACAGTGCCATCTTGGGTTGCAAACCTGTGCGCGTAGCGTGTGGATATGGCTTTGAGCGCCTTCGCGCTGCATGACATCCACAATAGCTTGTTGGCGCGCCTTTTCTCTATCGGCCGACAGCGTCGCAATGATCTCGCTTTTTGAGCGAGCGCATCGAGGTGCAGCACTTCCTACACGCAACTTCACGCATTGTTTGTGTCTCGTGCCGTCGACTACCGTATGGTGCAATTGCTTGAGCTGTTCGTTGCAGTTTTCCAGCTCGCGCCGCAAAGAAATGTCCTCGGCCGTGTTGCGGGCGACGAGCACCTCGATCGCTTGCGCTTGTTTCTGTAAAGTCGCTGTCAATATACATCGCAAGTCGCAATCAACCGACTTTGATGATGGCCATGGCCCGCGTCTCGCGCTCCTCCGAGGCCATGCACAACCGCGCCGCTTGCTCCGTGTCGCGTTCTTCTAGACAGCGCATGTCGGCCAGCATTTTCTCCATCGCGTCCTTGGTCGCCAAGGCGGCTTTGGTTTGCTCGGACGAGCGATGCGCCGCGTCTTCCGCGACAAGGCACTTTTCCTACCCCACGACGCACCATGTCATTTCCTTATCATCAGCATCCATGGACCAGGAGAACCTTTTCGTCGACGAGCTCTTCGCGGTAATCTTCGACCTGACGTGCTAAATCCACGAGCAGGGCGGGGCGACACGCTCGGTGCGTCTACGCAATTATAGACAATCTGTCCACCACTGCAATCGACGCACAGGAAGATGCAGGCGGCAAGCGGTCTCGCATTGCAGGGCCGAGAGCTTGGTGACAAACCGACCGTCACGGAAAAACTTGGACGGGGACGCGTTCGTGTAGCGCGGGGACTGGTCGGCGCTAACGAGGCTCCGTGTCCACGAATTGCTGCCGAGCGCGACATGCCCATTGGCCAAGGACGGAAAGCTACGCGTCATCAGTAACCGAGATAGTACATCGCTTCAAGTGAGATGAGACCGTGGGTTTTGAAGCTGGGGACTCGGCGGTGCGTTCTTGTCTTTAAGCTCGCGCGGCGTCGTCCTTGGGCTTGGCGCATGTCGCCGGGCACGATCGCGGTGGTACTGCCAAATCATCTTGGACTCGGGGTCAATGTGGCGCAGTGCATCCCAGGACGGCTGAGGCTGGTCTTGCCACGACACGCCGAGGATCGCTGTAAAGTAGATCTCGTCGTCACTGGCACCAATGATAAACTCGCACACGAGGCCTACGCGTCGTCGTCGACTCGACGATTGAAAAAAGCCAATTGCACCTTGGATCCGCTGAGCCCCCGCACCTTTTCGGCTGTTGATGGCGCTGGCGAGCGACGTTGTGATGTGTTTCATGCGCATGATCGGCGACACGATCTTGGCTTCTGCTGTGCCCAAGGACACGTGAAAGTTAAACGACGCTTCCGGGTTGTTGAAGAGATGGCGTCGCTGGTCGTGGCCCGACGCTCCACGTTCGGGCATCACATGACAGCCCTAGAGCATGGCCATGGAGTACAAGACATAATAAATTATGTACCTTGGCGAGGTTGTAGCGCTTGGAATACTGCGCCAAGAAGGCCTCGCACATGCTGGGACTCGCGGTCTTGCCGTCGTTGCTCACGATCGGCAGCGAGTACGACACGATGTATCTACATGCAGACTTGATAGTTTGATGCATGGACAATACACATGTGTTACCGCTTGTCGTCGAGCGGCTTGATGTAGCGTTGCAGACAAAACGGTGGCACGGGCGGGTCCAAGCTCGTGTCGGCAGCGATCGGAGCCACGGCGTGTGCGTTCATTTGTGCACACAATATCTAACCACCACGTGTCAACCTACGTGCCATTTGTCTTCATGCGAATGCCTCGAGCTGCGCGCGTGAAATCAAGTGCGACGTGAACCCAAACCGGCAAATGGCCACCGGACCGTCGCCGACATGACGGGTGCCCAGCGCGTCCAGAATCGCGTTTGGTGCAATGTGCTACATGTCGTTTGCGTCATTTCCATTGCATCTCGCTTGCGTACTTGCGTGGCCTTTCGTCGCACGCTGCCGCTCGAGCCCGAGTGGTACCAGAGGCTCGGACTCCTACGCACGCACCATCTCATGCGACCGACTCCTTCCGAAGAACGCACCCCGTCACGGGGCTCAGAAAGATCGTGTCGGGCAAAAGGAGGTGGACGGGTGGCGTCATCTACGCGCCAATAATGTCGTACGATCCATTCAAACTCGAGTGGACGACCTCGGCGACGGGGCAAATCGCGTGGAAAAAGGAGAGCCAGTGCACCGCGCTGTCGACCACCGGCAAGTCGGCTTGCAGCGACTCGCGGAACCGCGTCGGGCGCACGGGGCTCACGGCTGGCGGCTGCGGCGCCGCGTACACCGGCTTACGTGGCGACGTCGGGATCATATCTAAGAATAGAAGTCTGAGTTCCTCCGAGAATTGATATTGCCTTTCTTCACGCCATCCACGATGCACAATATTGTCTATGCGCCGCGCTGTCACGAAGCTTTACGACTTGAAGAGTGGCAAGTTAAATGCATTTACCTAATACCTTGCTGCGTCTCCATGATATACGTAGAGAGAAGAGGTATCATGGTCCTGCGTGCGTCTAGCGGATCCGAATCAAGCATTGAGGAAGTTGCAGCTGGAAGACAGTTTGGTGCAACAAGTTGTTCGCGGCGTCACGATCTCTCTATTCTTCCTCACTGACTGCAACGCCAGATTGTCAGATGAGTGTTTTTAGGCCTTCCATTCTCCACGCATGTCGAACGCATCGGCGCGAGATCCAGCATTTGGCAGCTGCATTTTTCACGCGGCGGACCCTTGAAAACCAATCTTCGAGCAGCCGACCGCCTGCAGATGCGACTTCCAACCCCGTTGCAAGCAGCTTGAGCTTGGACGTCGCGTCTCGATTCAGCCACTTCGGTGTGTGCGAGCCTCCAGTATGGCGGGTCGCACGCCATGATAGCTTTGCCACCTCGCCAACGGAAACCTCTATCTATGAATAGCATAGAATATTTATTGTTGGAGGTATTTACCACCGCAGCGCGTGTTATTCTCAAAGAGCGATGGATTACGGAGGCCTGCTGCCGACGCGGGCGACGGAGGAGCTCGACCGGACGCCGGCAGCCGTCGCCGAGCGCGCGCAGCTCGCGATCGCCGCGCCGGGCGTGCGCCCGTCCTTCCGCCGGGTCGGCCGCTCCATGAACATTGCACGGACCCTCGGCGAGCGCCAAGCTGGGCTCTCGCGCCGCCAAGCGTTTCCGAGCGAGACGATCTGGGCCGAGAACGAGGCCTCGACCAAGGTTCGCCGACCGTCTCGCCAGCCACAGGTATCTCATGGCGCATGTAGCACGAGTGCGAGTACTTTGACATGCCACCGACGACCAAGTCGGCCATCTCGATTGCATTTAGCCCCGACGGGTACGACGTTGCGCCGAGTATGACGACGACGATGGTGATGTATGCACCGATAGGAAGACGTTTGCGTCGACCCACGGCGACCACACGGTCAAGATCATTTGCTACCGCACGGGCAAAATCCTGCAGGTACCCACCCACGATCCCGACGACGCGGAAGCATGGACGGGATGCGTAGACGCTCGTGGGCCACCCGCGCACGCCGTGGAGCGTCAAGTACCACCCGACCAACCCGCGCTACGTCGCGTCTGGCTGCCTTGGCTTCCAGATCCGGTCCTTTTTTACAATTGTCGACATTGCACTTAGCGCGACCGCGTAGGTTCTGGGACGTGTACTCGGGCCAGTGCCTCTACGAAGCGACGCTACGCCACGCGATCATCTCGGTCTCGTTTCACCCGTCGGGCAACATTATCGGCATCGCCAGCGGCACCTGCGTCTACACGTGGGACTACCAAGTAGGCCTCGTTCCTGTCATGTACGCTGTTGGAGACGCATCGTCGATAGCACTCGCTGCCGCGGATAGCCATGTTTAGCTATCAAACGCTGCGGTCTGTCTCGTTCCTTCCGGACGCCAACAAGCTTTTGATTGGCGAAGCCAACGAAAAATATGGGGTATCTTTTGACGTGTTTCATGATTTTCATGAAATTTTCAAGATTTTCATGATTTTGATCCTTTTTCCGTAGCGGCCGCTGGGAGCTGTGCCCGCCGACCTGACCGTGACGCTGACCATGTGGGACTACGACCCGATGTGGTCGACGTCGGTCGAACCGATGGCGACACGCGCCATGTACAACGTACGTCCTTAATGGATCGTTGACGCATCCGCCCATGCCTTTGGTAGCCACGGGTCTTGCTCTCCCACGCGCTCTTGTACAACGACGGCGGCTTTGACATCTCCAAGTGCGGTCAGTACCTCGCCGTCTGCACCGACTACTCGCTCTGGCAAGCCGAGCGCGAGGCTGAAATGGACTCGCAGCACGACGTCGACGAGATCCAGCAGCGCGCGGCCGCCGTCCCGTACAGCATACCCAGCGGTTCTCGTCGACGTTTTCATCGATGCGTTTAGGGCATCGGAGTCGTCGCCGCAGCCCCATATTCTTGAAAACATGGCCTCCGAGATACTCTCGCTGTCGCAGCTGCGCCATCAGTCGCACCGGTTCTACGTGGTGCAGTCGTCCTCGACGTACGAAACGATGATATGTACCGTCGCTGCTGGACACGACGCTGTAGGGACCAGTCTTTGCAAGGCCACTTGCGCCGCCGACCGGGCACCCCCGAACAGTACACCACGCGCCGACTGCGGCAGCGTACCGGTACCTATCGTAGTGGGTCTGGAAGCATCCTACGCACTGCGTCGACTAGATTCCCAGCACGCTCTCCGACTGAGCTTGGAGACACCGTCCACCACCACGAATGACGACGCCGCGTCGACAGCCGTACCGTGCCGCGTGGCCCAGATCCGACCGCACATTGCATCGAGCCGCACGCGGCTCTCCATGACGCAGCGCGCCCAGCGGTATCGATCCATATGACAACGATAGAGCAGTCGTCGAGTGCGGCGTCTAGGGGGCAATTAGCGCCGCATTACCAGTCGACATGGCTTGCGCTCATCTCTCTCAGTGACGAGACCTTTGGGAACGTGATGCAGACGACGCTGCTGGCCGAGACGGCGGCGGGCGGCGTGACGTCGGTCAAGTTTAGTCCCACGGGTGCGTACGTGCTCCTCGGCTACGGCGTGCGCGATCGCATCCAGCGGTACACTTCTTTCAACTGTGTCGTGGTTTGTATCAAGGTATCAATCCTGCTAGCATCAATCAGTTTCCGCTGCACCGCGTGACGCGGATCTACCGCTGGGAAGACATGACGCTCGTGTCCCACATGGAGTCGGAGGTGGACGATGTCAACATTGCGCTCTTCCACCCGCTGCCGGGCCACGGGTTCATTTACGGCACCAAGCAAGGCCGCCTCCGCGTCTGTTATGGCTACCGAGGCCACTTTAGCGACGTCCAGAACGACAATGCGCTCCGAGAGACGCTGGACCTCCACGCCCTCTTTGCCCATCGCGGCGCCGACTTTGCGATGCCGCAACACGAAGCGTAATTAGCCTTGTAAAAATGGAGTGGACGGACGACAAATTGAGAGAGAGTCAGAAGGAAGGCTCGTTGTGGCGAACCAGGTCACTTGGTCAGCGGTGTCGACGACCTCGTCCAAGACTCCCGACCTGAGTTTGTCAGCTTGCGTGATAGCCGAGACCGATCCCCTGCCGTGACATAGACAACATACAACGTTTTGGTGATGCGATGGCGCATCATAAGGATGGCGCGTCTGCGTCCCGGCTCTGTCTCAGGACAGCTTTGACTTGCAACCGTTGGACGAGCCGTAGGTAGTATGTCCTCTTGTGCGCTGTCAGATCGTGCGTGGCATTGCAAAGGAGGCTGGCAGCGACGTCGTAGGTCATTTATTGTACTGAAATGAAATCGCTCGATATGTGGTCGACGCTAATAGGCGGGAGATGATGATCGCATCCCCGAGGTATCCAACAGGTGACTAATCCCACCGTGGACAGGCGGCATGTGGGATTAACTCGTCTCTCGCTGGGATAAACCTTACTTACGAGGAGAGAACCGAGTGAACCGAGTGATGCCAACGACGTGGTTGCGATCGAAAGCGAATGAGAACCTCGTCCGACAACCTTTCAAGAAAACGCTAAAATACCAACGCCTCGAACCACCGGCCGTCGTCCCTTTGCTCCCTGCACCGGTACCGGTAAACTACCGTAGCACCTACGTGCTCTCTCGTCGAACTACACTAAACTGTGAATCGTTGACGTTATGCAGCGGTCCATTGCTCGCCGCGATGAGGGAAGATGCATTAAGTGACTCACAATCAGGCGTCAACAGCAGTCGTAGGGCTAGCCCTCTGGCCAAGACCAAGGGGCCTCGATGCGGTTTGAACGCTGATCGTTGACTGTGTCGTGGTATCGTCTACACACATGGAGCGTATCCTCCTCTGATGCGAAGGCAGCGACAAAAAGAGTCCCACGGTGTACTACACCCCACATTTGGGTGCAAGTGCGATGTCGCTCCCCAGTTTGCCTTTTGCGACAATGAGCTCCAAACTGCGCTTCGTGGCGCCGGCCGAGCGGCCGCCGTCGTCGGGCCAAATCTGGCTCCTCGACGAGAAGCAGCTCGATGACTTTGCGATCCTCGACACTAAGTCCACCAACCCGCCGCACGAGCTCTTCCACACGCAGATGCTTCTCGACTTGGACCCGTACGAGACGTCCAGCTACGACAAGGCGAGCGAAATGGGCGACGACGGCGGCGCGCTCCGCGCCGGCACGGCGCTGCACTTTCTCAGCCTCGAAGCGTTCGCGCTCCTGAGCCAGTACGCGGGCGTTGGCATCCTCTTCAACACGCTGCCCGCGCTGGCATACCCCGTGTTTCAAAACTACTTGCACATGCAAGGCTACCAAGTGTCGTCGTACACGGCGCTCATCAACCTCGGGTGGTCGTTCAAGATCTTCTTTGGCATTCTCTCCGACTGCTTCCCGCTCTTTGGGCTGCAGCGACGCCCGTACATCATTCTCGGCTGGACCATCTGCGCGACGTGCTGCGCGGTCATGGCGCTGACGCCGTTTGCCAAGCCGTACTACGGCGCGGCCTTCATTGCGCGGCGTCCACTGGCCAACATTTCGGAAAGCGATCAAGCCAAGTACATGAACCTCGACGCGCCGTCCAGCAGCGGGCTCTTCATCGTGCTCTCCATGGTTGCGAGCTTTGGCTACGTCATGGCCGTCACCGCCTGCGACGCCATGGCGGTCCAGTACGCTCAGCGCGAAGCCCTCGCGCAGCGCGGTCGCATGCAGACGACCATGTATTTCGTGCGCGACTTTTCTGGTATGGTGCCCCAGATTCTGGTCGGGTTTTGCATGAACAACTACACGTACGGCGGCAGCTTTGACTGGGCGATTTCACCCAACACCGTATACGCTCTCCTCGTCTTGCCGTGCGCCGTGTGCATTGGTACCGCAACCTTTTGGATGGTCGAAGACAAGGTGGTGGTGTTGCACTTTCGCCTCTACCTCAAGAACCTCTGGGAGCTCCTGCAGCTGCGGGTCATGTGGCAGTTCTGCGCCTTTCAGCTCCTCAACCAGGCGTGCATCGCCTTTGACACGACGGTCTCGAGCCCGCTCGCGTCGACGCTGCTGCATGTGCAACCCGTCGCCGACCAAGCGTTCACTGTCATTGGCATTTTCCTCTATACAGCGACGATGTTTTCAATCGGAAAATTTGCCCTCAACTGGGACTGGCACCACACTGTCATTCTGCACACACTGCTGCTCGTGGCCATCGACGCGAGCTGCAAACTCCCGACCGTCTGGGGCTTTGTCCAAAGCGAGTACGTCTACCTCGCCGGCCGCACGTGCCTGCAGCTTCCGACGGCCTTTCTCTTTTTGTTTACGACCTACTGCATCGTCGAAGTCGCCGACGTCGGCAACGAAGGCGCCGTCTACGCGCTCGTGACAACGTGCGCCAACGTCGCCGTGCCCGTCGCCACCTTTCTCTTCAAGACCGTCGACGCGTTTTTCGAGGTCGAACTCAACGACATTCAGCGCAACGACAGCGCGGTGCGCTGGCAAATGACATACTGCTACCTCATTGCGTACGCTGTCAAGCTCGCGTCGCTTTTTGGCTCGTCCTCTTGCCGCGCCAGAAAGCCCACGTCCAGATCCTCAAGCGCTCGGGGGGCGCGAGCCGCGCCATGGGCCTCGTCCTTGTGCTTGTCGTCGCTTTTTGTTTGCTGGCCGTCATTGTCACCAACCTCCTCGCCGTCTTCCCGACCACGTCGTGCCTCCGCATTGCCGGTGGCCCGGGCTGCCACGCGCCGTCACCTTAATTTAATCGGACTCAACCATCGTTCGTTTCGACCCCATAGACGCAAGTGCATGGGGAGACGAACGGGTATGTGTTGGGAGGCCGCTGCCGCCCAGAAGGGACGGGTGGGTGGGTTAAAGAGCATTGAGTCGCTACGAGGTTCGGAGCTGGACGCGCAAATCGTATAGATAAGCTTGGAGGCGTGATCGTCGATCTCGGCGGTTGCGCCTTGCTATAATAAGAGAGCTGGTAGAGCTGCCGCCATCTTGGGTGAGCTGTCGCCATCTTGGGTGAGCTGGCGGTTGGGCACGCCGGTTTAAGATGGCGCCCTTGCATGGCCTTAGAACAAACACACAGCTTTACGCGTTCCGCCAGAAAGTAACCCTTCTTGCCAGGTGCCTTCTCGTCTTGTGTATTATTGGTGTGGAGAAGACGGTACGACCAGGGTTGGTCGCGTCAAGATCCGACTGCTCACTGAGCCCGGTGCGGCGGTGTACGCAGCGGATAAATTGTTGCGCAATGAGCGGTGTAAAGCAGCGCATTGGACCTGCACGGCCACTGTGCTTGACATCGTTTTGACACCCGACTCTTCGGCAAGGGTGGACCGTGCTGTCTCCCACTTATGTGCACGCCCTTTCCTTCCACGAGGTACGACTCGTATTAGTCTTGTCGCCCTCGGGACTCATCGAAGGTGTGGGTGTTCCATGGCAGTTGGTAACGACGCACTGCTTCTTTTTCCGCAATCTTGCAGTCGCCACCCACGCATGTCGAGAGATGACAGCAAACGAGCGCCTATGCACGCACAGTCACCAGAAGCACCACTGTAAGAGAGCTATGGAAGAGTCCTACCGGACGCACCTGGCCGAAAGCAGCTGCGTTGTGCACTTGCTGGATACGGCAAAACGTCCAACGTTACGGGGCGTTTCGCACTTTTTTCGAGCGAAACGAGATCTCGACCGTCGAAGCTATCGAGCATTTTTCTCAGCGACGACGAGACCACACCAGCATGGCCTTCAAGACCGCATGGACGCTACCAACGCCAACGTCATCTTCGCACGCATGGATCTTCCTCGAGTCGTCTCCCGGCAGTCGCAGTGAGAGCCGCGTGTCGTCGCACGCCAGCGACTTTGGGAGTGGGCTTCGCGCAGGCCCCGCGCCCGAGCTCCAGAGCCCGTCGACGCGGGGGCTGCTGTTGCAGTACGCTTGCATTGGCCTCGTCACGGGTGCACTGCCACTGCTCCCGACCGCCATCTTTCAAGACGACTACGACGCGCACCTTGCCTCCGTGTACTTGGCGGTGTGCACGCTACCATTGCTCGCGACGCCTCTTCTGGGGCTTCTCGCCGACTGCCTCCCCCTCGGCCGCCGTCGACGGCGCGTGTGCATCGTGCTGGGGTGGGCCCTCTGTGCTGTGTCCTGCCTCGCGATGGCCATCACGCCACTTCGCACTCGGAATGCCACGTCACTCCATGTGTTTTGCTTGCTCATGACGGCGTGTGCAAGCTTCGGGTGCGCGGCCGCCGCCGCCGCCTCGGAAGCGCTGCTTGTGACATATGCGCAAACCGAGCGCATTTGGGAGCGCGGCCAGCTGCAGACGCGCGCGCTTGTGCTTCGCACGACGGGCACGTTGGTGCCGCAAGTGCTTCTCGGGGCCATGGCGCTCGAACGCGTCAGCGTCATCTACGCCCTTTTGGCCGTCGCGAGCGTCGGTGCGGCGAGCGCGACGATCCTCTTTGTCACGGAATCCGTGCCCGACATGTCGACGCGGCACTATCTGCACCTGCTCTGGGCGACCTTGCAGCAGCGCGTCGTGTGGCAGCTCTGCGCCTTCCAAGTGCTCTTTAGTGTCGGCTTTTATGTGTCGAGTTTTCTCGGTTCGGCCCCGTGGCTCGCGCTCGAGGCGCGCCCCGTGGTATGGTTCAACCTGGGTGGCACGAGCATCGCTATTCTCGCACTTGTCGCGATGGGTCTCGGTGGTCTCGGTCTCGACTGGCGTCAACTGATTGTCGTCAACACCGCCTTGTACACTGTCGGCAGCGCCACGGTGCACCTCTGTTCTTTGTACGGCGCCTTGCCGGACGAGTATACGTACTTGGTCGTGACCATGGTGCTGCAAGCCCCGCTGGTTGTTGTGCTCTTGCCAGCCAACTATTGCATTGTCGAAGTCGCCAGCGTCGGAGCTGAAGGAGCCGTTGCAGGTCTCGTCTCGGCGTGCGCCTTGGTCGCCCGCCCGGTTGCAGCGCTTGTGTACCGAGCACTGCAGGCTGCGTGGCCAGCCGCCACGAGCAAAACCAACGGCTCGAAACTGGAGGCCACACGTCTCGTATTCGTGGTGTACTTTCTCCAAGCCATGTCGCTGCTGTGGCTCCATCTCCTTCCGCGTCAAAAAGCCCACGTCGTCCAGCTCAAACTGCATGGCGGTTCGAGCGCCACCGGAGGCGGACTACTACTGCTTGGTGTCGGCCTCATGGTGGCATTTTCGGCAACGATGAGTATCCTCCCGACGCTATCGACCACAAGTTGTCTCTGGATCGCAGGCGGCAGCGGCTGCAACTAAGCAGACATCACCATGTCTTATTTAATCGATGTGTAATGAATACTAGTACGTCTGTCAGGTAACACAGGTCAAAACTAAAGATCGTTCTTCTTGACGCGTCACGTATTGTGAGTGGTCGGTGCGATAAGCAGACCGTGGCTGCGATGGGCGTTGTAACTATCAATGTGTCAACACACATCCCAGCCCTGGCGGTGCAACTTTTGTCGCTGGACTCCAAGGTGCTGTTTTCAGTTAAATACTAATGTCGTCTAGCTCGGTACCTAGCTCATCCACGTCTAGCTCGTCCATGTCTTGTTCGTACAAGAGCCGTTCGCTGCTGCGCAACGTGCTGGCCATGGACTGGATCGTCATGCGCATCTGCAGCATGTGCACCAAGTTGCGCTGCTCCGAGATGGCTTCTTGCACACGGCGCATGTCATCGACCATCGCCGCCGACGCGCGGCCCACCGACGATGCTTCCGTCGCGGCGCTGTCCCGTATGCCACTGGGCCGTGCGTCCAGCGCTTTGGGCTCTGGCGCGGGGGCGTGGCGACCATGATCTTGGTCCGTCGATTTGGCCAGCTTGTTGGCGAGGGCCCGCACACGTGGGCAAAACGAGAGCTGTTTGAGTGCATGGCGCTGGAAGACGAACGCGGGGGTGTGCCCGCCCGGGTCAGCATGGTAGTATTGGACCGCCTCGAGGCCGCCGTCGTGGGCCTCGGTGATGAGAACCCACTCGTTGAGCTGTAGCCGGACACCCGACGCACTTGGCATGTCGTGCGTCACATCGATCGACTCGCGCACGATAAAAAAGCGCGCTGGCCTTCTCGGTCCTTGGTCGTGCCGCAAAACTAGACCCGACGCATCTCAGACGCAATGTCCATGGGTTAGTAAAGAAAGTAATACCTCGTAGAAGATGGCGTCGCGGGGCCGAGTCCACGGCGCGCCACCGATTGCGAGCTGGAGCGTCTGGCGCTTGACGCCAAACCACTGAAAGTCGTTGTGTGCGTCCGTGTGCGAGGCGAGAACCGCGAGGACGGCGCCGTCGACGTACCGCGTGCCGTGCATTTGTCGCAGATGCGCCTGCCACGTCGAGGTCTCAGTGTTGAAGAGGAGGCGCGCGACCGAGTTAAAGTGCCCAGAATACGAACTCACACCGACAACCTCGTCAAAGCGCGAGTAGTGTTGTCGCGCCTTGCGCTTGTAGCGCGTGACGCCGTCGGACGTTGTTGGGGAGAGCGGGCGAAAGCCTTCAAAGCGCAGATCAGCGTCGCGGCTGCTGGGCGAGCTCTGGATCACAGTGTGCAGTTTTTCCACGAGCCGGGTGCGCCACGCCGGCGCGTCGGCGGCAAAGGTGGTGTCGACCGTCGGCATGTGTGCAAATTGTAAAATGATCTCGAAACACCTGCCTCGCGACGAGCCAGCCGGGTGTGGAGCCAGTGCTGCTCGTTGGCAAAGACACTGCACCACGCCACCACGCTCGCTCGCTTCTCTTTGCTCGTGTCCACTCTGTAACCAGTCGAGTCGAGGAGGCAGCCCACGACTTGGCACTTGTAGCGTCGCGGCGAAATGCGGACCGACGGGTCGCGCGAAGCTTAAAGGGCAACAAGCTTGCTTTCCGCCGAGCCGTCGTGATGCGTCGACCATATGGCAGCACCGCCATGTAAAAGAGGGCCAAAGCACATTCGCGCACGCTGCAGTGAACGTTGCCGTCGAGTTCGGCGTCGAGGATGCATGCAATGGACGGACCTGGCACGTCGCCTACGTTCCTACGTCCGAGAGGGCAGGTTTGTAATGACAAGCCTGCACTCTGCATGCCCCACGACCTCTCCCCGCTGGTACATAGGGCAGCATACTGTATCTATCTCACGTGAACTTTATGTGGTACAACTACTGCCCACGCACAAATGGGGTTTGATTGGACTGAAGCACTCGAGGCCGTGGAATGGAGAGTTCGAGTAATACACGCACTGTGCTGAACGAACATGACATTCCTCCGCACCGCCTTGTCGAGTCGACTCCAACGCTGCTCCGAACCGTCGAACCTGCAGTAACCCGTCGCATCGGATGTCATCTCTGCAAACCGGTGTGCGTTAGCTCACGGCTTCTCTGCCTCAAACAGCAAGCACACGGACCAGGGTGTACACGTCGTCCATCAGTGGCTGTCCACAAGGGGTGTCATCCAATTGCAGCTGCCGTCGGCGCGTGGAGCCCGACGATCTCTCTTGGTGTGGCAACCGAAAACTCTACAGCACGAGCTTTACCCTTGTCTGCAGATAGCTCGTCGATGCATCCAGATTTAGGGTGCAATATGGACTATCGTTCTGTGTCGCCCGACACTTCAGGTGCATAGGATCGACACCCGTGCGCAACCGTCATCGTCGTCACCGACCTACACGGCGTTGAGCGCTGGAACAAGAGCGCGCCATAAACGCGACTCGATTCTCATCTTGCGATCGTCTTAAAAACAAACAAGTAAAATACATGGGGTGCCATGGGTCGTCGGAGCGCTACGCGGTGCACACCAAGGCCGACGGCAGCCTCGTTCTCTCGCGAGACCACCGGCGGCTTCTGCTCAAGTACGCGCCTCACTTTATTGCGACGCGCATGCCCACGGACAAGGACGAAGCGCTCATGAGCCAAAGCTGGGACGACGTCATTGGCCGCCGACTCCGCGGCGAGATGCAACGGCAACACCACCAAGAGACCGAGCCGGACGCTGAAGCCTCGAATGCGACGTCGGCGATCGTGCAATTCTACGATACGTTTTTGGCCAGCTCTACAGCCTCAACCCCGAGACGCGCGCGGTTTTTCGCAACTCGATGCACGTGCAGAGCAAGGCGTTGGTCAACATCGTCGGTGCAATCCGCCACATTTTACACTCACCGGATGCGTGCGCCGACATGACGGCGCTGGCCGTGAGCCACATTCAGTACGGCGTCAAGCTCGAGTATTTCGACTGCCTCGGCGTTGCGCTCATTGCGACGCTGCGCAAGTTAGGTCGCGAATTCTGGAGCGACGATGTGGCGGACGCGTGGCACGCGGTGATTGCGTACATCATTTGCCTCTTGATCCCGCCGTACTTGGAACGAACGAAGCGGAAAAGCCGACAGCATCTGTTGACAGCACCGAGTGCCAAAGGGACGCAACCGTTCTTGTCGGCCAGCACGACGTCGACGATGCGCGTTGCGGTCGCGTACAATGGGCCGCCGAGCTCCCCACGCGCCGCCCCTCAATAATCTCATCTTGTCCTCTTGCAGACACGTGTTTTCGTTAAAGTCGATATATACCCACCTTGCCGGGACGAGTGGGCGTCCATAGAGGGGTAGGTTTGCCAGAAACATGTCGCAATATGGAGATATTGCAACCCTGCATATGAGTACGCACATGCGCTTTGATATATAGTCACTACGATGTTGTTGGACCTCAAACCCCGCCTCGGACGACATGGGTTCTAGACCCAAGCAGTGACCCACCGACAGTATATCTTGGCATGGGGCCACCCATAAGGACGTAGAAGCTACTTATGTCCAAACGCTTGGTAGTTAGGGCGGTGTCAGGTATTCGCGCACGTCTCTATCGAGATAGCCGAAAAAGCGCTGGAGGCGCTGACGAAAGTTGGCGACGGTCAAGTACTCTTCTTGGTTGCCCGAGACTTCGATGCCGAAGAAGGCCCCGTATTCGTCCAGCGGGAGGAACCCGCTGCCGTCCTCGGCACTGAGCGGCGTCACGGTGATGCAGTCCTTGACAAGCGTATGGTCGGGTCCAATCGCTTCGATGACGCGCCTACGCATTCAAACCATGCCAATTCTCTGTCTTGCAACCTGCTCGTCGATACCAGCCCGTTTCTTCGTACATGCCGCGTTGACTCGACGGATACTTGAGGTCCTCGACGATGTTTTGACCCACGAGCACAAGTGTACCGCCGGCATAGGTAGTGTTGCTCAACACCCTTGATGAGCGTCTGGTGGCCGTACACGAGGTTTTGCCCCTCGAGCTCCTACAAGACTCGCTCTTGTCACCTGGCCTTTCCAAGATTGCACTTGAGACCTCTTGGTCGATGCGGCTCACCCAGTTGCCCGTGCTGTTCTCCACGCCGATCTCGGCCACGTCGTCGCAGAAGGCCCCGTAGACACCGTCGACATACGCCAACGACGCGTGCACGACGCGCTGGCTGCGCACCACGAACTGGAACTTGCCGTCGTCGAGGTAAATGTTGATGTCGGAGAAATCTTGCAACGAGTTTACCGGGAACGCATTCGCCTCGAACGTTCCATCGACGTTGTGGTACAAGCGCGTCATGAGCCAGTCCATGGCGAGACCACGGGCCCCGGCGTCCGCGGGCAGCGCGACCGAGTGCCAGTTGGGCGGCGTCGGTGGCATGGATGCCTATGCACGACGACGATCTCTGAGGTTGTGTGGCATCAAGGACGCATATATGGTACCTGCATCGTTGGGCTCAGGCGCGCGACCCACGACCCGAGCACTCTAGCCATCGTCGTGTAGTACTCGAGCTGGTCCCGCAGCCGTCGGTTCTTGTCGACAGCCACTTGCGTCTCATCGCGTAGGCCATGCGCAATGTCCTTCCACGGCAGCATGCGCATGCGGTCGCGCTTTCCATGCACGGTCAGCGCCGTCCACGTCTTCTCAAGGTCGGCGACGCGGCGCCGCAGCAGTTGCAGCTCCGCGAGGTCCAGCCGCCGGTACTCACGCTGACGTACGCGGTTGAGCACGCGCCGTTTCTCATCCTTGGAGAGCCCATCAAGGCCGTCGACCTCGACATGGACGCCCGCGACCACCGGCAGCATGGTCCGAGGACGATGGCGCACCGGTTAGCAAGATGCATCCCACCGGTTGTGCCGCCAGCTGGCTCGTGCCAGCTGCTAAAGATGGCACATGCCACATTTAAGGAGCCGATATTATTCGTGGCACCTGCCACAAGCAATATTGGGCCAGTGCCCATCGATGCGGCATATGCCACCAAACGGTATCCGGACATCATCCGGGGCTTCGGCCAGAAAAGCCAGCGATGTCCAAGCCGACCACGGACGAGCTGGCAGCCATCGTTGCGTTTGTCAAGACGAAGCGCGGGACGGCGCTGACGCTGGAGGAGAAGCTCGACATATTGCGACTGCACGTGAGCCTGCGCGAGGAAGACGTGGCCGACGTCGCGGGCAAGATTGCGGGGTGGCTGGGCCGCAGCACCGCCACGGTCAAGGCCGTGTGGCGCGAGTACAAGACGACCGGAACGCTCACGGTGGCGCCGCCGCCCTCCAACAAGACCAACCATGCGTCGCGCGTGCCCAGCACCCCGGCGGTCCGCGCCTTGGTCAAGAACTTTCTGCGCGACCGCGACCGCGCCGGTATCCGCACGGTCTGCAAGGACGTGGTCGAGCTCCTTCTCGCCAAAGGCAAAGTCAGCATCAAGCGTGTCAGTGCGACCGAGTACGAAACGAAGGACTACAGCGCGTGCCTTCGCGCTGTCCAAGGCTACTTGACCAGAGAAGGCTTCAAGTACACGATGCACGGCGGCAAAGCATCCTATGCAGCGGCCAACGAGATCGACGCCAATGCATCCGAGTAAACCAAGTCAATGTGTCGTACCTAGGTATGCTCGTCTGTCGTTCTAGCTAGCATCGCAGCCGCATTGCCGTGGTGAGAGGCGTGATATGGGATGGCAGAGTTGGCTTCGTCCTGGCACCTCGACGACCGACGATGGCTAGCCTTCCGTTCAGAGACCGCCCTAACGAACGATGCGACGCTGCATAGACCAAGCTCAGTATGCCTTGAGCCATACGCAGCCAACGAGCACAACGACCAAAGTGTATAAGATCGGTATCTTAGTCGGTCGTCGCGTCGAGACGGTCCATGAGACGGTCGATGGTGGCCTGCATCGCGGTCATTTGCGCGACGAGGGCGGCCGTCTGGGCTTGGGCGGCGTCGGCCTGGCGCTTCATTTGCAGCTCGATCCGAGCAATGCTCGCGGCAGCGTCCGAGTCGCTGATAATGCTATTACCTCTCGTGCCCAGCGACTTGCTCGTCAACAGAGCAGGCTCCTTTTGCGGCGGCTTGCTAAAGAGCTCCGTGAAGATCGCCCAGCGCTGCGACTGCTCCTTGAACGCGGCGACTTGCGTGGCTTGGATCTCGGCGGCCTGCGTCTGGAGGTCGCCGAGCGTGAGCTCCTCGTCGGCCTTGTGCTGGAACGCGTCGACGGCCTTGCCAAATTGGGCGCGGATGTTTGCGATGCCGCGCTCGATCGCGCTGTTGAGCGAGATACCATGTACGACGCGGTAGAAGAAATCATCCGAGTCGCGAAGGCTCGTGAGCGCCAGCTGGAACGCGAGGCACTCGGCCTCGACCGCGCGCTGGACGTCCTTGATGCGCGACGGCATGTCCTTGAGCTCGGGCGGCCGCTGCTCCAAGACGGTCCGGAAGCGCAGCGAGACGTTGGCTTTGGTCGCACCAATGCGCTCGGCCTCGTTCCCGAGAATCGCGGTCGGCGCAAAGTGATTCGCGTGCCGAATGGCCTCGAGAAGCGTCTCGATCTCGCCTTCAATGATACTTTCGAGACTCTGGAGCTGCTGCTTCCACTCGTGCACGGTTTCTTCGAGCTCCTTGATGACGCGCGCGTCGTCGTCGTCGAGCGCACACTCGGCTTTGAGCATCTTGTCGCCAAACGCGGGGTTCAAAATGCCTACTCAACACCATCCAAACATCGTTTGCCACAATGAAAAAGACAGGCGGCTACCATCCATGTGCTTGGGCTGCTTGGCGCTCGTGAGCTTCCGCAAGAGCGGATATCGCTCCGGGTCGTTCTCGCCAGCGTCCGTGTAGCCGGGTCGGTTGAGGTACATGAGCTTCATGCGTTCGCGCGACCCAAGCGTGAGTTCCATGCGCAGAATCGAGTCGGCAAAGCTCCAGACCGCCTCGGTTTTGAGCGCTCAAGACCGCGGTCGACCGTCTTGTTCATGATCGCAAGGAGCACGTTCATGAGCATGACCACCGAGACGGTTGCGTGGAAGATGAGCAGCACCATCGTAAACGTCTCAATGAACGGCTCGTTTAGGTCGTCGAGCGAGTCGCGAATGTCGTACTGCCCGAGCATGACAAAGTACGTGCGAGTGAACGACATCCAGAGGTTGTCGTAGCCCGCGCCGTCCTTGGTGTGGAGCAGCTGGTAAAAGACGCACGTCAAGCCGATCTGGAAGACGGCGTAAAACATAAAAAAGTTGGCCACGTCGACAAGAAGCCCGGCCATCATGGGCAAGAGGTAGCCCGCGGTTTGAAACACCGCAAAGTACTGCAGCGAGAGGATCCAAAGCGAGAGTGTCAGCGTCGACCCGAGCGCGAGGAGCCCGTCGCTCGACAGAATCGGCAAGAGACCCAAGGACGCGGGAATGTAGACGCAGAGGATGCTAAAGTACGAGCCGAGCTGCCAAATGTTGACAAACGACTCGAAATACTTCCAGCCAATGTGGAACATGCGCGCCTCCTTACGCTGCTTCGGGGTCTTCTCGGCGGAGCTCTCGCCGCGGTACTCCTTGAACTCGAGCAAAGTAAAGTACAAGGTTGAGAGGCCGAGGGAGGTAAAGACGAGAAAGTTGGAGAGGTGTCCCGGGAGATGTGGAAACACGAGCCAAAGAAGCAAGGCAGTGGTGCCCAGCGAACTCAGCACGACGCCGGCCGCAATGCCCCACTTGACCATCTTCTTGAGCGACGCTAGCGGCGGCACGATGGGCGACGGCCAGCCGTGTTCGAGGCCTTTGGCCAAGTTCCAGAGCGTGCCAGGGCGAAGTGCTTGGACGCCGAGGAGACCGTTGGAGACGAGCACCATCATGATGACCCAGAGCGTCATTTCGGCCGACTGCGTCGTCGGCTTGGGGTCGAGTGTCACTGAGAGCGTCATCGAGATGACGAGCACCGAGTGCATGAGCAGCTCCTCAATAAAGAGCCGCTGGGCGAAAAACTACAAAATATTTTATAAATCGTAAAAATACACAAAAAACGATGTACCTCCCACTTGAGCGCAAGAATGCGCTGCATGACGACGTGTTCCAAGAGCTTCTTGGCTTCGTACACGCGCTCGTTGTTGTCGGACGTGTAGTTGACGAGCGTGTACAGCGGGCTGTGCTGGATGAGTTCGCTTCCGTACACTTGATCGAGCTATATCCAAATGTCGTTTACCAAAAAGAGGGACGCCATACTACGTCGCACCTTGGTGAAGCCCAGCGTGTGGCGGTCGGGCTCAATGCAGTCGTCGAGCAAGATGCGCCCGAGGGCTGGGTCGGCATGCACGACGCGCTTGAACAAGCCCTCGTCAAATGGCTCGTTGGTCCGGCGCGCATACAGTGTCGACTTGAGCTTGTCGACGTAGACGGACGAGTTGGCGCGGTAGAAGATCTCCTTCTCAATCATGTCCTTGCATTCAAGGAGCGCCGCATCATACGACGTCTCGAGCTGCGCGTCAAGCCACGCCAGCACCGTATACTTGATCTACGTCCATCATTGGAGAACCCTAACCCTCTTTTTAAATGTCGCATACGTGGTTGTCGGTGAAGATGACGTCCATGTCGGCGAGGTTGGAGAGGAGGACTTGGACAACGTTGGCGTGGCCGGCCATGGCCGCAAAGACGAGCGCCGTCTTGCCGTTGATGGACTAGACATGACAATATTGTACACATGTTTTGAATGCTGTCGTACCGTAGAGGGGTCCCACTGCGGGTTGTCAATCTCGGCGCCTTCCCGGAGCAGCGCCACCACAAGGTCCACGAGGCCTCTTTCCGCGGCGAGAATCAGAATCGTTTTGCCGTCCTAGTCATGAGCGCGCCATCGTCATAGTGTGGTCAATAGTGTCTTCCACGTACGGCGTCGACTTCTTCGAGCATATGCTGGAAACGGGGGAGGTTGTCGATGCAGTCGTGGATGCGATCAAAGCGGAGGTATGAGTGGAGCGGGTACTGGTCGCGCTGACGCTGCTCGGCCGTGAGAAGCTCCTGGATGAGCGCTTGCGACGCGAGTTCGCGTTCGTCCGACGACTCTGTCGTGCGATGAAACTCGCGCGACTTGCTCTTGACGCTCTATCGTGCATTTTTTATAACCACGTGATAACATGCATCACGCGTACGTGGAACAGGACAGCGCCGGCGGCCAGGAGCAGCTGGACGCACCCGACACGCAAATGATCAATCGCCAGATCGAGCGCCGTCTTGCCATCCTAGTCGTCGCGTGTTATAACAAAAGGTTTGTCTATTGTCGTGCAAAAGTACCTTGTCGAGCTGGTCGATGTCAACGCTCTTGTACGCAAGAATCTTGGCGACGAGGCGCTCTTGGCCGTCAGTCGACGCACGGTGGAGCACCGAGAAGCCCTATCCTCGAGCTCAGAAGCGTTATAACAGTGGACAGATGTCGGACCAGGTACGTCTTGTTGATGTCGCCAAACGAGTCTTCGAGGAGGTACTGCTCGACGAGCGGCCACTTTTTGTTCCAAGCGATTTGCGCGAGGTTGACGGCGTGGCCCTTGCACTCGCCCTTGCACACGGTGCTGCGCTTCCGCTCCTACACCACGGAAGAGGATATTATGACATTGAGCTCGACCATCATCGCGAGCGCCTACGTTGAGGGAGCTGCCCATGTGCAGCAAGGTCGCAATGATCGACGCGATCTCTTCGTTGAGCGACGGATCGGTCTCGGCGCAGTGCAAGTTGCGCGCCAGGAAATCCGCGGCCGTCATGCCTTCCTACCTCACCACTTATGAGCATTGACAATATGTTCCAACTGTCGAGTACGTGGTTCTTCTGGTTGACGTCCAAGACCGAGGCATCGGCCGCGTCAAAGAAGGCGCGAATGAGCTGCAAGTTGCCCTTCTCGCAGCAAAGCATCAAGGCCGAGACACCGACCTAGTATCAATTTGCTTCCAAATATCAAACTATCAACTTGATGGAGTACCGTGCTTGTCGCGTTGATGTTGACGTCGCCGTGCGTGATGAGCTTGACGACAATGTCATGGTGACCGTTCTGGCATGCCAGCATGAGCCCGGTAAAGCCGCTCTAATTCCATACTATCGTCTAGCACATCGCCTCGGAACAGTTTGTAGTACGTGGTTGGTATGGTTGAACTCGACGAGCGTGTCGCGCGCGAGAAGCTCGTCCACGATGGCCGTGCAGCCAAATGAACACGCCAGCATGAAGCCGGTCCAGCCATCCTAGACCACACAAATGCGTTGCCAATCACATCGATGGATATCCCAGCCGTACGTTGTCTTTGGCGTTGACGTCAATCTCGGGCACGCGCAGGAGGCTCAGGACCACTTGGAGGTGTCCGTGGTGGCATGCGTGCTGGAACGCCGTCTCGCCGTTCTAGCACGAGGTTGGTCCGTCGTGATGGAAAAGCTGGAACGAGGATGTACGGCGTTGGGGACGTTGGCGTCGACTTGGTCGTGCTCGAGGAGGAGGTCCACGATCGGCGCATGCCCGTTGCTCGACGCATACAGCAAGCAGTGCCACCCCGTCTACGCCATACGAATGAGCCTCTTTTTGAAATTTGGAAAACGATTCCGACTTCGTCTTGCAGATTGAACTCGAAATCGGGGTGCGTCAGGAGCAGCTTGACCATGTCGTAGTGGCCGTTCTTGCACGCAAACATGCACGCCGTGCCGCTCGACTAGACCAAGATTGTCATATTGTCCATCGACATACACTCGGATATGTGCCTCGTACCTGGTTCATATGGTTGACGTCCACGTGCGGATGCAAGAGGAGCTGCGCCACGATCGCGGTCTCGCCTTGGCTGCACGCATACATGAGGCACGTCATGCCATTCTAGGATCAGGGTTCAGTTTTCCAGAGCCAACACGAAATGGTTGGTACCTTGTTGGTGCAGTTGACATCGATGTGCGGGTGCTGGAGGAGCGCCGTGACCGCCGGCACGTCGGCGTACTGGCACGCCCGCAACAGCGCCGTGACGCCATTCTAGTACGTTCCATGAGCAAGCATACCAGTGGATGGAAGATAGAAGATGCGTCGTACGTTGGCGTAGTGGTTGACGGCCAGCGTCTCCTGCGTCGCGAGCAGAGCAAGGACCTCGATGCGGCTCTCGCTCACCGCCCACATGAGTGCGTTCCAGCCGTTCTACGCATCAACAACGACATGACTTTGCGAGACAACGCTCGAGCTCGTACGCGGTCGACTTGGTTCATGTCCAAATTGGGGTGCCCGAGGAGCTGCGTGACAACACCCAAATGGCCATTCTTGCACGCCCGCATGAACGCCGTCCGGCCATTCTACGTCAAGCATACAGAGGCGTGTGTTGATGCGAGGCGACCGACCGCGTTGGGCTGGTTGACGTCGATCTTGGGGTGGCGCAGAAGCAGCGCGACGAGGCCATCGACGCCGAGGCTCGCCGCGTACATCAAGCCCGAGCAGCCATCCTAGTCGCACGTCGATTTCGCTCCATTTGGCAATGTCATGTACGTTGTCGGTGATGCGCTGTCGACTCGTAAACGACCGGCTCTTGCGGCCCGGCGATTCTTGCCGCACGTTCTAAACACGCTTCAAATCCGAGTCGAAGGCAAGAGTGTACCAGATGCGTCTTGTTGACGTCAATCGCGCTGTGGTTAATGAGCACGGCGACCACGTCCGTGTGGCCTTCCATGCACGCGGTGAGAAAGCCGTCGCTACCAAACTACGCCAACAACCATTACAAGTGTTCGAGACTTTGCGCTCAAACCTCGTTGGCAACGGCCACGTTCACGTCAGGATGCCGCACGAGCCGCGCGACGATCGGCGCGTGGCCATAGTGACATGCAATGCTGAGGCCCGTCCAGCCCACCTAGGATGATGGATCCGTACATGGCCAAAGGTAGCAGCGTCGCCATACGTGGTTTTCAAAGTTGACGTTGATCGGCCGCATGAGGAGGAGGTTCACAACGTCCAAATGGCCCTTGGCGCACGCGAGGAGGAGTCCGTTGGAGCCATCCTATCCATGCTCGTGATACGCGCCACAGGCGGCGTGTCCGTACCGAAGCCACGTCGTGGAGGAGCGAGTCAAAGACGGAAAAGGTCATGAGCGCCGCAACCGTGCTCGCCATGCCCCTCTCGCACGCTTGCAGGAAGAGCGTGAGGCCCTACGCATGGTCGTGGTCATGGTCATGGTCGTCCTCGGCGACACTGCGGACCTCGTCGTTGCGGTCGTGGAGGTTGCCGACGTGGCCCTTCTTGAGGAACTCGTTGATCTCCGCCCACTTGTCGTCGGCCGCCAGCTCGAGCAGCAGCGCCATCTTGCGCGTGCTCGTGCCACCGAGAAGCATGCTGACGCAAAATGACACCCAAATCCGATCCGGGTTCTTATTTTCGGCGTCGCGGTTGCTAAATTCGGCACATGAAATTCACCACGACGTCCATTGAACTCGTGCAAGACACGCCAGCGTCTCACAACCCGAAACCTCGGCACGAGTATACGAGGATTCATTCCAGTCGAGCGTGGATAGTAATGTGGATAGATCGGAATCGGAATGCCTCAGCGCCTACAACCCGGTTGAAGTGCGAAGACGACATCCCCACGCGAAGAATACCATCCGCTGAGACCATCCGCTGATACCATCGAGCCGTGCAAAGCAATGTATACTACGTATAATAGTATACGACGCAGTTATCTATGGCAAGGGAGCTTTGGTACTCGGTATATACTTATTGTGCCAACTTGAGTCGACACGACGCGGCCCGATTAAATTCGGCACATGCCGAATATCACCACCACGGCTACTTGGGCGGCAAAGGACTGCGCACAAAAGCTGCGAGGGTGTCGAGGATATCAGCGCATCCAGTGCACTGCAGCTATTACAACATCATCGGGAGGACCAAATCCACGTCGTCGGAATACCAGACAAAATCTCGGATGCAGTGTTTTTCATACAGCGTATTTTCTCGATAGATCGCCTCTAGGCTGCTGTTTCCTCGACGAGGGGCATCGGAACCTTGTCCTTTTCTTCTTCCATCGACACTGTGTCCCAGACGACAACTTGCGGGCAGAGCGCGGCAATGTCGGCCACCGACGGCAGAAACCACGCCTCGTCGCAACACACGGCGTACACGACGTGCACCATGTTGCGCAGCTGCTCGATGAGCGCTTCGTTCGCCTCGTTCGCGTTCTTTTCCAGCTGGACGGCGCAGACGGCCAAGACCTACGCCACACGAGTCTCGTTCGCGCACAAAAATGCTCAATTTGTACCTCTTGCCATGCCGTCGCAAAGTCGATGGTTGCGTCGGCGACCCACTCGTCCAGGTGGTGCAGAAAGAGAAGCACGAGCATCTCCATGACGGCCGGTGTCGCCGGCGACGTCAGCGGCGCTTCCAACGCAAACGAACAAGCACATGGCTGGCCTCGTCCATCTCGCCGCTCAACCGGTTGGGCAGCTCGACGCCCGTGAGCGGCATCACACCAAACCGCAGCAGTGCGAGCCAGGACGACGGCGAGAGTGTCGCGTCCGGTACCTCGAGCATCGCCTTGCGCAAGGCCGCGAGCGTCTGCAGCCGCAATGGCTCGGACGACAGCGTCGACGGGTGCGTCAAGAGCGCGCACATGGCGCCGAGAACCGAGAGCACGTCGGCGTCGGGCAGGCCGTGGCGGCGCGCGAGGCTATACAAGCTCGCTTCCACTACCAAGAGCGACTCGAGCACCGCTGGCGCGTCAACGTGGAGACTGGCCGCGTGGGCGACGAGCGTGAGCAGTGGCATCAAGGTCGGGTGGGTGCTTGCAACGTCCGCAGCCACACTGGCATCGAGCGCTGTCACGCACAGCCTATTTGCACGCGTGATGCTGTCTACCTCCTTGCAAACAAAGGGGGTGTGTACGTGGCGTAGTCGTCCAAATCCGAGACGTTGCTGCAACGCAACAAGACGCGCAGCCACGACTGCCAGATATCGGGCGTCGCCAGCGGCAGGGTCAGGACGCTGCCGAGTACGGGCCGCGCGACGACGCTGAGCAGATCCATATCGAGCGCTTCGAGCACACCGAGGCCAAACGCGAGGTCCGACGCGACCACGCCCGAGAGCAGCGTTTCAAGAAGGAAGACCGCGGCTTCGTACCCCATGCTCTGGACCACGAGGTTGCCGCGGATGAACGGATCCAGCGCGTGGACGACCGCGTGAACGTGAGTGACGACGCGCGGGTGACTCGACACGATGACGCGCATGACGAGTTGTTCGAGAAAGATAGCGCCGCCCGGGCTTAGCACCGCCGGCGACGCCTTGGCCTTGGCCGGCGGCAGCACGACGCGCTCAATTGCCGTGCACGCCGCGTCCAAAAACGCCTCCAAGCTCGGTAGTGACGCCATGCGGTCATAAAAGTCGATGGCAATCGGGCACTGGCGGTAGTACTCGTCGATCCACGGCTGCGTCACCTACACCCACCATTCGGACCCAAAAAGTAAGGGGTCAGCACCATCGGGAGGACGTCCGTCTCGTCGGTCGTGGGCGGGAAGAAAAGGTCGTCAATGTCCACTTGGCGCGCCGAGACGAGCAAGAGCGACGACGCCACGTGGGCCGGCGACGACGGCGCCGAGAGCGGCTCGAGCGCAAAGAAGCGCGAGACGCTGTTGAAAAACCAGACGGCGGCGCCGACGTCGACCGGCCGGCGTGCTTGGCGGCCTTGCGCTTGGCCGCGGTCCGTGTCGTCTCGAGGTACGCGGCCCGCGCGTCGATCGAGAGCCCCGACCGCCTACGGTCATAGCATGCACATGGAGCCCGCTGCCTCTCCCATATATATGCCAGGTACCGGTCCTGCAGAAAGGCGGGTGGCAAGAGATGATACTCGCGCAACCGAGCCAGCGCCGAGAGGAACCACGTCCACGCCGACGCATCAAAGGACGCGTGGCACGATTGCCACAGCTGCAGCAGCCCGAGCGTCGCGCTTGACGCCAGCGGGTCATTGCAAAACGTGTACCTACACGCTCTCAGATCTCAGATCTCAGATCTCAGATCTCAGACGTACACGACCGCTTCGAGCGCTTCGTCGTCCGGGTGGTCGCACAGCGTCGAGTACTCGCCGAGGCGCTGGACGACCGCCATGAGCACGGACGGCGCGTGCAGCGAGGCGGCCGTCTCGGCCATCGCCACGAGATGGGTGAGCGCATCGGGAATCGACGCGCCGTCCAGCGTCGCGATCAGCGGGAGTACAAACTCATGGGCCACAAAGTCCAAGACGTGGGCGTCGTACTCGGGCGTGTGCACGTACGACTGAAGCTTCCGGTCGCCGTCGCTGCGCTGGAGGTCGGCCCAGCGCTCTGTCGTGACCTCCTCGGCGTCGTCGCACGTGCGCAGGGGGCGCGTCCGGATCGCATGGTAGATCGACGTCAAGTACTCTTCCGGCAGCGGACTCGCGCCGTCAAGGCCATAATTGAGATTGTTTTTGAGGAAATCGGCCAGCGACATTTTCCGGTCGTCGCGGATGTTGGTGTTGTGGAGGTCCGTTTGGAGCATGATGATCGAGAACGAGAGGAGGTACGGGACATCGACCGAGGTGCCAAAGAGGGTCCGCTCCTTGCACTGGGCAAACGCTTGCTTGGAGAAGCACTCGAGAATGCGGTCGATCTGCTGCGCTTCGCCCGGCAGTCGAAACGACGAGAGAAACATGCGCAGCGCGTCGACAAGGTGCACGTCGACAAAGTCAAAGGCGGCCACGTACGCTGGCAGCAGCTCTTGGTGGAACTCGATCGTGTCGGTCGCCGCGCCGCCCGCCTTGCCCATCGTCCCGAGATACTGGCCGACGCAGTTCTATAGGGCATCGATTATGCTACAGACGACGGATTTTCAGGACAATGTGTGTCTACCTTGTCGAGGCCCGGTGGCAGCGACCGTAGCAAGCGTGCTATAGGCGGTAAGCAAGTGAATGGACAAGAGAGGGGTACCGAGAGACGGTGCGTCGGTCGGCGACGGCAGAAACCCGTGGGCTTCGAGCATGCCAACGCCTGCGAGCGGCTTGGTATTGAACGCAGCAATGGCTTCCTAGCCGCAACGTGGAAATGCTGCCATGCCACGGCAAAAGAAGGGACCTGGAACCGCTTCTTGCGTTCGCGCCGCGCGAGAACGTTCTCCGATGCTTCCACGGGCGGTCCGACAATGAGGTCGAATTCAGTGCGCGTGCGCCGGTGCAACACATGCAGGAGGTTCCAAAAGCCCTGGAGCGCCACGTCGGCCATTTCAGGCTCGTCGACCATCTACAGGATACAGTGGATTAGACAGTGGTTTCTCACGCCAGAGACAGAAAATACAGTACATCGACAAAGTCGTTGGCGTCCGCGATGGGCAGTGACGGCTTGACAAGCGACGTGAGCGTCGAAAGGAGCAGTTCGAGAACGTTGGATCGGTCACTGTCGCAATCGTATTGGACGAACACGTCGATGACGAACGACGCGTCAGCGAGAAAGTCCGCGAGGCACTGCAGCAGCTCGAGGCGCCACTCGAGGGCCAAGCGGCGGTCGACAATCCCGGGAATCAGGCCCATGAGCATCACTTCCCACTGGAGCTTGAGGACGGGGCGGAGGTAGCACCACACGAGTCGCAGAACGGTGAGACACGCCAGAGGCACGTCAATGCTGCCCGACGACGGCGACGACCTATAGATGTGTCATTTGACGCTCGCCAGGACGATGAGGAATCGGCCCACCCGAGACGAAGCCAGTTGAGGATCGCACCACAGAGCTCGTCTTGGGCGTACGAAAGCAATGCTGGGACGTCTCGCAAGTGGTTACCGAGCTTGAGAAGGATGGTTTGGAGCAGCTGCAGCGACAGAAGCAGCTCGCGCTCTGAGCTCTTGGACGTGGGCTGAATCTATGGAGACGGTTTGCTCGGGTCGAGACATATACGCGTATATGGTCTACCTTTTGGCAGAGAAAGCCGAGCACCTTGACCGCGCACGGCAGGCCAAAGGACCGGGACGGTGCGTGCGGCAACATCGTTGGGTCAAAGATGACGTGCATCATGCGCTGGAGGCTGTCGGTCGCAACGCCACGAATGACGCCCGAGATGCGTGTCTAACCCAGTGTTATGAGTTCATGTAGCAGGAATAATGTCGGTGTCGATACATCTTTGGAGCGCGCAATGGCGTACAGCGCTTCGACGACGTGCCAGATCGTGTCGTCCGTGAGCGTGGCCGCGGCCCGGCACTGCAAGACCATGTCGAGCACGCGCACGACGGTCAGGAGCACATACTGGTCGCTGTTGGGCTCCGTCTCTTGGAAGCGGCACTGCGTGACCGCGTCGAGGACGTCGGCGAGCGCATGCTGCATCGGGATACCATGCAAGGTCGCATTCTCATCGTACACATGCAGTATCGAGCAGACCGCTTCCATGGCCGAGCGCGTGAGCGGCCCCGTCGTGTTCTCGTTGCGGATGATGTCGAGGAACGGGCGAAGTACGGTTTGAGGCTCAAAGTCGTGCGGGTCGGTCCACTGCTGCACCTGCGCCCGGAGGCTCGCGAGCGCGGTCACTTGGCCCGACTTGACCTGCGCGCAGCTACCTTAGACGGAGCCCATGCAGACGCCATCGTACCTTGATGAACTTGTAGTGGCGGCGGAAGACATGGACGAGCGTCTGGATCCCGCTCAAGGTCGCACACCGGAGCGCTTCCATCCTCTTCGCCTGATATGACGCCAATGCGATCTGCGACACCACGCAAGGTATACAAACACCAAGCTTGACATTTTAAAAACACCACCTACGCAGCGCACGCGGATTGGCTATAACTCTTCTTGCTGCGATTTTATTGGGCAGATGGAGCATTACAATGGCGAGCTTCGATTTCGGTAGTCTATTGGCACGCAACTTTCGGCCGCGTACGGCGCGGTGCTGCGAGATCAGCCGTGGTAGATGTTGAGGTTCACGGGATATCGTCGCTCTCAATCATAAAGAGATACTTTCATTTCACTCTCTGTCCTCGATGTAGTGCGAAAGACATTATATTGCCGATGCCAGTTGTCGACGAGGCGTAGGAGTGGTGGTTCTAGCCATGCAGTTTATGGGACCAGCTCCCTCCGAAGCGTCGAGTGCTGTGATTCGTTGAAATGATGTTTCTGCGACAGCCGAGACGTCGTTCGATTGGCTGGATCTCCGCCTTCAAGAACCATGCAAATAGAGTGATCACACACTATTTCGCGTATGTGTAGTAAAGATGATGCCATCTTCGTTGAGTACAAGCATGGTCATCAGGATGCATGGCTTCCCTCGGTCAAACCAGTGCGTCCCATGACCTGTTTTATTAGGTCCATCGATCGCTTTGCCGAGTGCCGAAAGCGCGCCTCGTTACTCACGAGCCGACCAGCACAACCCACATCAACGCACACTATTCACGTGCATTTTGACAGCTTTAAATCATTCTGATACAAATACCAAGGTAATTTAATTTATTCCACCATCACGTGTCGATGTTGGGATTGGTCCACTAAGGACTGCCGTGCGAGTGGTCAAAACGTGTGGCTTTTCAAAGATCTCTGGCCGACGATTGGCCAAAATCACGAGAAATAACGGTGAATTCCGCGAGGGGCCAAATCCCTAGAACCGATTCCTCACGCAGCATGCGCCAGTTCCTCCAGACGATCCTCAAGTCCGGGGCTACGGTCGCGCCGAGCAGCGCAGCGTCGACCAAGACGATCGCCAAGGAGCGTCTGCAGATCATCCTCGCCCACCAGCGCGGGTCGCAAGCGCTCGCGGGCGTCGACCTCGGCGCGCTCCAGGAAGAGCTCTTGGCGTGCGTCCAGCGCCACATTGCCGTCGCCCAAGGCGAGAAGGTCAACATTGCCGGTACGCATCTCCATATATCCTGCAACGGGCGAGGCTCATCATGCGCCTGCTTCTCTAGTCAAGCAAGAGGGCTCGATGGACATCTTTGAAATGCAGGTTCCGGTGAGCGCACTGCCGGTGCGGGCGACGACACCGTGAAGCCGTGGAAGCTAATGTACTCTTTATCGTTGTCCTACATGGCCGTCAGTACGGGTAGTAGTCGTCGTACGGCAGCGCCTAGCACAACCGTGAGCTAGGCCGTCGATCATCCTGCTGGCCACGAGACCTGCAGGTGGCTAATGCTGTCCGGGATCCACGTGACGCGCACGATGGGCATGTTGTACTGCATCCAGAGCTCCTTGCACGTCGATGGCGAGAGGGACTTGGAGACGATGCCGACCGTCGTCGAGCTTGCTTGCGGCTTTTCGTGCAGGCCTTTGGCGAAGACAAAGCCCTCATACGTGCCACCAAAGGCGGCGATGAGCGGCTCGAGCTGCGAGGTCGACTGCAGCTCGAAGGACGTCTCGGGGCACAGCTGCACGAAATGCATGTTGGCAAAGATGTGCGTCGTGCTGGGCTAAGACGCAATGCATCGTCTACGATCCTAAGCCATATCGAGAAGGAACCTGCGGTGCGACGCGAGATCGGCGCGGCTGTCCCGTGGCACTCGAGAAGACATCGCCGTCCATCTCGAACGGCGTCTCGTCGACCCAGTAGCCAGCGGCAGCACTGGCTTCCACCCATCTACCCACGTGGCATCATCCCGTTCAGACAAAACAAGAAGAGCATGCTATAGAAGGTATACTACCCAAAGTCGACGATCCAACAGTGGTGCGCGAGACCGAGCATGTACTTGACGCTGCGTGCGCACCGCCGGGGCTGCGTCGCCTTGGTGATGACGTGCGTGACATCCGTCATGACGCGCCTAGCCATGATGCATGTGATGTCTGCAATGAGAGGGGAGAGAGTGGAGCAGTACCCAGTTTTGGGGTCCAGGCAGCGGGCAAAGTCCCGTCCTAGGCGTGCGTTTCCCAGGTGCTCGAGGCTCTGCAGCAGCGTGCGCTTCTCTTCTGTCGACAAGTCGGCGGTCACGAATCGCTTGGCGGCTTGGGCGCTGGACGCCGCTGGTGCGGATGGCCTTGGCCCAGGTGCCGGCATGGACGTCATTAGCTCGCTGCTGTGCTGCGACTGCGACTGCGACGCGGCGTGGATCGGCACCTCGGTTTCTTCCATGGATGGATCATACATCGTCTGTCGCTCGGTCTCGTCGACAGCCTCATCGTCATCCACATCGTCTGCATCGTCTTCAGGACGAGAGGTGGGACTCGGTGGGTCCGAAGACGTCGGCTGCGTCGAGGGAACCATGGCCGCATGCAAGGTCGCGGAGCGTGCACGCTTCGTCGGTGGCGACTTGGGCACCAAGATGATCGACGACTTGGTGCTGGATGGCGGCGCATTTGCTGGTGGCCGAGTCGTTGGTATCGATGGTGCTGGTACTACTACGTTTACGGAGGTCGATGGCGGTACGTCTGCGATGGGCAGAGATGGTAGAGCTTCAGCGAGCGGTGCGATTCGTGCGGTGGGCGGTAGAACACGTGGTTCTGGCGTTGACGACACGATTGGACTCTTCGGCATCGCAATGCCGCGACGCGATTGGCTCGGTGGCGCGACGTCGGACTCGGGGGAAGTGAATTGGACGGTGTACTCGCTGCGGAAAAGTCCAGTGCCCCCGCGACCGACACTTGCGAGCCCTCGTCGACGTTCTGGCCCAGTAGCTGAAGGCGATCCATGTACGTTCGGATCTCCGGGGTTGTCATGAGCGGGGCGAGCGTGTTTGGTGGTGTCGCAGGTGTCGACGGGACGGTCTGCGTCGGGCTCGGCCTTTCCAGCGGCGGCGTCACGACTACTGGCTTCTTGACAGCAGCTGGCGGCGGTGTGGTGACGACCAACGCGCTGCGTCGCTCGGCAGCGATCAAATGGTTGGCCGTGGGAAGCATCGGGTACAGCTCAGGCGACTCGGTCTCGAGACTCTCGGACCTGGGCGAGGGCGTGCTTGGTGACGCTCGCCCGGTGGGCGACGCTGGCAAAGTTGGAGAGATAGGCAATGACGCTGCCGGCGTCGTCTGGATCAGTGGCGACGGCTCGTCCTCGATCGAGAGTCTGCGCTTGGCACTGCTCGGGCGACTGGCGTCGATGGCGGCTTCGACAAACTTCCACTCGGCGACGAGGCCGTCGAGAAACTGGTTGCGCCGGACGTCTGTCGGTCGGATCGGAATCGAGCAGCGCGCGCACTTGGACACGGCCTTGCGCAGTTCGTTCTCGATGCAGACCCTACATGCACCGGTCGACCATGGGCCGTTGGCGACGACACGGACCTGCAAAAGTTGTGGTTGCATGTCAAGCATTGCGGGTCTTCCAGCACGCGCTTGCTACATGCATGTATGAGCCAAAGCCTCTTCCGGGCGATCGCACCAGACGAAGCACTGGAGCTCGTCGCGGATGATCTCGAGCTGCTCCAGCATCGACGCGTCCATTTTGCCAAAATGGACCTAAATGGAGCAGTCCAGAATTAGGGATGGCTACATAGACGCCACTTAAGCCCCTGGAAAAAGCAGGTAGGACCCTACGAGATGAGACCACAGAGTTAGGCAACCCACAATGTGTCTCTTGGTATGTTCTAGGTTTGCGTGTGCTTACATGCAGCGTAACAACAAGTTGAGAGGCCGAGCCCTAGCTCGCATGAATATTAAGTGGCGTTGGATCAGCGACATGGACACGGGGCTGAAACGGGAAGATCCTAATTAGGATGCTTAGGCCGAGCCCAGTCACGTTTTGGCGCGAACGACCGTTTGGATTCGGATTTCGCCACACGACGTGTTCGGCGGCAGAGTGCACCGTCTTCGTGCTGTCAGCTGCATAGCAACAACCTCCTGTAACCTCATCGATACTTGAGCTATTCTGCATGGCTCGTCCAACTCGTCTCGCGGAATGAGAAGCGTACAATGGCCTCTATGGGTGTGACAAGGGAACATATTCCATGTCCCCTTGGGTGAACGTAGCGGACAACCTGACTGGCATTCTGGAGGTATGCTACCAGTCCGACAAGGAGTTGTTTCTACGGAGGACCTGTTGCAGTGGCTCTTTGCGCGAACTGCAGTTACAAGATCTCATTGTCTAATTGCATGCTTTGGCTGTGGCTCGGGTGTACATTGGAACTTGACAGGAAACTTGTTCATTATTTGACAATGTGATTGAGAATCTGCTAGTTGCTACTTGTCTACTACAAGATGGTATTGGTCAGTGTAACTATGACATAAGAAAGCATCATATTAGCCGATTCTCCAAGACGGAGTCTCGACAGTCAAGGATAAATTCATTGTCCTCATCCCAATACAAAATCTTGTCTTACATCTATTTGTTGGATCGTTGTTCAGAATTATGAAAAAGTTACTCTAGGTTTGTCGCCATGATAGCAAATCAATCTGACAGGGATAATTTGGTTCATCACCACAACGAGGATCTCTACGCTAATTCACGCATTTCTATTTAACGCTATTTGGAATGGACGATGTAGATCAGTAACGAACCGTGTGACGGGTTCTGAGAACAAATTTCTTCATCGACAGCTTGTCTAAAAGCGAGCTGGGTGTATAATGTCATCATTTTACACGTCCATTCCACGAAATACATACAATCGTTTGAAGATCATACCCAACTCTGTTAAAGAAGGGCTAAATGCGTCTCATCACCTCTTTCGAATATGTCTGGGGCGGCGCACATATGGTGTGATAATCACTTCTTCAAAGGACAAATATACAAAGAAATCTAAAAGGACTAAAATGGAGATCATACCCAACTCTGTTAAAGAAGGGCGAAATGCGTCTCATCACCTCTTTCGAATATGTCTGGGGCGGCGCACATGTGGTGTGATAATCAATTCTCCAATTGACGAGCTACAAAATGCAATCGAAAAAGATGTTTCATCCCTAATTCTGCCCTCTTGAAGTGAAAGGTAAGAGCGCAAACTCAACGGGAAGGTTCGCTGGTATAAACATTCACTTTAGCAGCCAGCAGTAGGATGCACGACGAGAGGGCGTCGGCAACTGTCGCAAGAGTGGCTGCAGATTCTAACTACGGCGCAAATTCAAAACTGACCTCATTCGTTGAAGCGCGCGTTGCGTTGCGCCACTCGAAATTGACTGGCTGTCGAGCGATTGGCTATTTCAGGATCCGTATAATATCGTTGTTATCCGAAAACCAAACTTCGAAGGATAGAACGTCGAAGGCGCCGTGGATCTTCGACAGCGAAAGGGCACGCTTTGTTGGGATGAAAATGACACGGTAGCACAAGCTGCAGTCCACGACGCGATGGACAGTATTGACACTAGAAAGGAGTTCAGTCGACGCGAAGAAGCTACGCTATGCACGAGTAGACGTGAGCAGACGCCTCCAAGCATGGTTTAGTAGCATCATGCGCTGCGTACGAGCTGCACTCGACACCATCCATCAACGCCTGTCGATTAAATAAGAAATAGGACGCGATTCTACGGAGCGACAACGACGCGCTTCTTCGTGTGCGTCATGGTAGGCGATGCCGGCGGCCGGAGAGGCAGCACGGCGCGGTCGTGCGGCGACGCATGGTCCTTGTTGGTAAACCAGAGGATCTCAAGCGACGTCCGCGTCGCAATGAGCTTGGACGCGCCGTACACTTGGTTGTTGACGGCGAGCGACCACGGTGGCAGCGGTCCCGGGAGGCGCGGGCCGGCGTGGCCTTCGTAGTTGCCACCAGCGCCGGTGGTCACGTAGACCGTGCCTTTGACCGCATCGATCTTGTTTTGGTAAATGGGCGCCGTGCGCTCGTAGCCGTGGACGTGCCCGGCAAGGACAACGTCGACGCCAAACTGCGCGTAGAGCGGCTCCAGCTTGGCCTGGAGCCCGCAGTGGGGCTCAAACATCGGGTGGCCTTGCACATAGGCGCCGCGCCAGCACGCGTCCGGATCGGAAATCTCAAATCTCGCGTGCGAGCACTGGCACTGGTGGTCCTTCCACGTATTGTAATACGGGTTGTGCTTGATGACGACGACCCACGGCGTCTTCTTCCGGTCGACGCGACCCAAGTCGTTGGCGAGCCACGTGAGCTGGCGCGTGCGGGCGCTGAGCCAATCGGGTGTCCCGACCGAGTTCATCGCGCTCCCAACCGAGCCGACATAGTCGTCCAGAAACACCAGATGCACGAGCCCGACGTCAAACGAGTAGTACGTGCGCTTGGCCGCGACGCTCTCGGGCGTCAGCGGCGTCACAACGCGCTGCAGGTACCCGAGGTAGTTTTCCCCGAGCATGTCCCACGCCAGCGGCCGCGGCGCCGCGTGCCCCGACCCGACGACCGTCTCGTGGTTGCCCGGAATGCCCAGCGTCGGCATGGATCGAAAGACGCCTTCTTGGAGCTGAAACCACCTGTCCCAAATCTCGTGCTGGCCGTTGGCGTAGGCATAGTCCCCCGCGACGAGGAGCGCGTGCGGGTGGAGCCCGCGGACGGGCGCCGCGAGCATCTCGAGCGTGGCCGAGCTCTCGGTCGTATCGCCCGGGTCGCCCACGACCGAGAGCACTGTCGGCGTGTCGTCGCCGACCAGGGGCGGTGTATAGAACGAGCTGTTCTTGTCGCCGCCGTGGATTCTGTACGTGTACTGCGTGTTGGGCAAGAGCTGGCAGAGGTACGCTGTGTGCAAATGCGGTGAGGCGTAGTGGTACCGGCCATGCGCCACCGAGTACGAGCTGCTCGGGCGCGTGCTCACGACCCACGTCTCGATCGAACCGATGGGCGCGTAGTGGACGTGGTACGGCTCGGGCGTCGCGCTCGCAAACGAGATGGCTACGCCGTTTCCGCAGCTTTGCGCGTCGTTGGTCAAGGCCAAGTGGACCTGCGACGCTGGGCGCAGCGCCAGCGCCGACGACGCAAGTAGAAGAAGGCGGCCCAACATGGTCAATCGCAGAGTGCGCGCGTCGGAGGTGCTGCGCGACGGCGGCGATGGGCGGCGACGACTTGGCGTCGCCCAATGGCATAGCGCGAACCGAGTGTGGATTCGCTTCTAAAAAATAATTTGCAGCACCACATACACCAATCAAGACGTTGCTGCATTCTAATGCAGCCAATCAACGCGCCGATGAATCTAGGAATCGAAATCTAGAATCTCGTCGGCGGTCTACGTCGAAGATGCCATGCAGCAGAGAACGTGGACGCAGCACGGAGGAGAACACGGACGAAGCCTTCACAAAGTCAGAGACACCAGGAGTGCCTCTGGCTCCGGGGCTTGGCGCCTACAATTTGTACGCACTGCTAACGACCAGTTGATCGCTATCGACTATCTCAACGACAACATGATGGACGTCATTCGTCACGTGGTCGAACGCTCTTTCGGTAGCACGGACGGTTGACGGAGCTCGAGCCTTCCTTGATACTCACCGGGGGCTGAAGGCGTTTCTAATCGTACTTGTTCTCTGCTCCACAGCCATCATCAACGTTCCAACCAAGCATGGGGCGTCACGAGGCCAAGGAAATGCACGAGGCATTGGGTGCAGCAATATGGGTATCGCAGCTGCACCTCAACTGCGAAAGCAAGTCGGATTCGACGCACTTTAATTTTGAACGACATCAAATCTCCCAGTAGTATGGGTGGCTACCAAAGCTGCGTCTTTGGCTGGACGTTGTGGCGATACGAGCCAGCATTGCGCACAGCAATGGTTGCCATGGCTTGTCGTGCGTACTCTGTTTTGGCCAAGCCTGCGTCCTAAGCAGCACCCCATGCAGCAAAAACCGGTCGAGAGGCCACGGGGCTGTACCTGCAGCGCGAGGCCCAGCTTGAACCGTGCGTCTCTGAAGAGTTTGTCTGTGTCATAGCCGTGGGACGGGAATAGGCCCGACTCCTACGCTCCGAGTCGTCCCTTTATCGAACAATGCGCAAGAGTACATGGACGCCTAGCGGCTCTTGGGCTGCGTCGACGTTGGCCTGGAACGCCACCGTGGGCTGCCGCGTTCGCTCGGGGTCAATCTACGAGATGTGCATTCTTCCAGTACGACACTCGGTACATCGTGACCAGACCTGAATCTCGGCCAGCTTGGCCGCATACGGTGTTTCAAGCTTGAGCGCTTCCAAGGCTTGTCGCCTCGCTGCTTCTTCGTCTTGCTACGCGTCCCATGCCTCTGTGAGCTCTACAGCAGCCATGGATGCACATACGTGGCGCGCTTGCTGTTGCTTTTGCAGCTCCGTCTTGTGCTAATCCGCGACATAGTACATCAGCTGCCATCCCAAGATACCTCCCACTCGTCCACGCGATGTTGGACGCGCTCTGCATTGATCACGGCCCGGGCCACTTTTTCTTCGTCTTCGCGCGCCCGTGCAACTGCCGCCGCTTCTTCGTCTGCCATGGCACTGAGCTCTTGCCAGCCCCTGCGCGGGATTGCCGTTGGTATGCCACGTTCTGTACACAAATTTGCAAGGTAGCGTACTTGTGCTCCTGCACCAGCTTCTTCTTGAGCTCGTGCTCCTTCTTGCGCTTGGCCTCCATTGCATCCTGAAGTGCTTGGGCTTCGAGACGAGCAATCTCGCTCTGGTGCGCGGCCATCTCGGCCTTGACGTTGCGCTTGAGCTGGAAGCGCGCCACCTTTGCATGCAAGATAGCCTGTGCTTCGGCGCGTCGCGCGAGCCCGGCTTGGCTCGACTGCCGCGCCCGATACGTTTCGATCGCATCGGTGAGCTGCGCCTTGGCCTTCTCAAAGGTGTGCGTATACTTGCGCGCATAGTCGGCCTGTCTGCACGGCCGTTGGCAACACGTCGTTCGCGAGAAGAAGAGGTACCGCTCTTGGGTCTGTTGCAAATGCCGCCGATGCGTCCGGTGCCACTGATCATGGGCCGCGAGGTCCTTTCTCGACCTTTGCGGCAGGAGAGGCTCGAGGCGCTTGAGAAATGCGTCGTTGCGAATGCCTTTGGGCTCGCAGTCTTTAAAGACCTACCCCGCACAGGAAAATATTTCAAAAAATCCTGTGTCGAAGCTCGTGGTGTACTTTGAGGTACCGCTCGTGGTCCTCGTCGGTCCATCCAGGATGCTTTGGTGGTGTCACGGTCACGTGCTCGACAGCACAGCCACACGCCGCCATGCTGGCGCGGTACGCCTCTTCGAGACCGGCAAGGTCCTACGCACACAGCTCAAACCTTTGTCACACTCCGTGCCGCCACCGCTTCGAGCTGGGTCTGCAGCGTCTCAAACTCAAGCAGGAGGTTGTATTTGAGAATCGGGTCGACACCATCGTTGAGCGTCTCGTCTTCGTCTCGCTGGGGTTGGATGGCGGCCATGAGCTGTGCCCATACATCTACACGGCGCGATGCTCGGTGCGCATAGGTACAGCGTGGCGTACCTTCGGTATTCGCACCAGGCGCCACCGCCGTGCGTTGCTGACGGCAGAGCGCTTGGCAGGCCGCTTGAAGCTCCTTCTCGCAGGCCTCGGCCTCGGCGCTGAGCTGCTCTGTGAGCATGTGATGCCCCACAATGGAGTCGAGCATGAGGTTTTGCAGTTGAATCTAATGCATTTGCTCGGTCGACACGTCTGTTTTCAGAGTGTACCTTGACTTGGCTATACCAGGCGGGGCCTTTTGACGGCGCGTCGGCTTGGATTGATGCGAGGAGGCGACGCATGGTATTGCGCTAGGTAGCAGCTACCCATGAGCTCGGCGGAGAGGGCGCCACGCCAACGTTATCTCGGTCGTTTTGGAGCATATTCAGCTGTGCCAAGCGCTGCGCTTGCATTTCGGTGACAGCTGCTGCGACTGTCGCTTCGTACGAGTGCTCATCGTTGACTACATCTGTCAACTAACTTCAACGCAGTATGATGCGATGTTTTACCTGGTAACTCCGAGTTGACAAGCCGCAAGACGGTCGCATCGACGTCTTTCGTTGCTGTCTACAAGGTTTCAGGCTCCAAGAGCGTATGGAAGCAGCTTGAGATGAGTACCTGCTCGAGCTTTTTGAGATGCATGTGGTCGTGCAGCCATTGAAACTACGAGAAATCAAACCATGAGCGCTGAATCCTCCGTGGGTTTCAACCTTGGCCGTCGACTCTTTCGACGCTTGTCTTTGCTTTTGGGAGCGCGACTTCATGTTTTGAATCGTCTAGCATTGCCTTGGAGATAGCCGGTTGCGGTAGAACGAGGCGGACCTCGAGAACGTTGTTGCCCGTGGTCGCAATCGACTGTGCCAAGTGGCTCTGCTCGTACAGGGAGAGACCCGCCGTGGCTCGAAAGAGCTTGCTCCGGACCGTCGACTCCTTGGTCTTCTTGCCTACGCCATCTTGAGCGCCCGAGGATGATGATGAGGAGGGCGGTCCACCCTTTACGTCGCCGCCTAATGTCATGGGTTCGAAACTGCCGACTTTCGATCAACTAGAGCATTTGGTCAAGCAAGTAGCTTGGATACTATCGACTAACTCTGCGAGCACGACTACATATTGTACAAGTCGATTCCAAGACTACACAGGCCAAGGGCAGCTCGGCTTCAAGCAGGACGAGGGCCTGGATTTTGGGATTTTGGCGCCAGGCGGATGTCATTTTCCGGATTACATCCGGATAGGGTCGACCGTTTCGTCATTTTCAATTCCGCCGATCGCCGAGCAAGATGGGACGTCCGGCCTTGCGCGATATGACCAACGACCCCGGACCTCATGGGGCCCCGCGGAAGCGCAAGATGATGGTGGATATGGGCAAGGAGCGTCCCGTGATGGAGCATGGAATGGCCTCGAAGGAAGCGCGAAAGAAGCTCCATGGGATCGGCCCTGCCAAACCCGCTCCAAGCAACGAGACGAGCAGCAACGCGTTCTTCCTGCGGCTCCTCATGGAGACCCCCGCGGTGCGGGAAGCTAGCTTGCGCAAGATGCCTCTGCACCGCCGGACGAAGAAGTCGCGCAGTCGATTGAGTCTCGTCCATGGCGACGAGCGCCGCCGACTTCCCTTTGAGGATGTAAGCGACGACGATGGTTCGTCGGCAGGTAGCTCTCCGTGCATGACGCGGGACCACGAGCATGGATACGAAGCATCATCATCGAACCAGGACTGTCGCCAGCCTGCGTGGATCCTTCGGTGCACCATGGTCGTCGACTGCAAGACGCGACGAGATCTCATGATACTGCGCAGGCTCGTCGGTCATACAAGGGATTCCATCCACGAGCAGCATGAGTATGTGAAGCACGATGCTACTTGCAATCTAAGATCTATGCTAGACATCAGCGCATCGTTGCACTCGGCCGTTCACTCGACCCTCAACCTCTCGCTCGACGACCTCTCCATGCCAGAGCTCATCCCACACGGACGCCCTGCACGTACGTCTCCACAGTCGATTCAAGAAGAGGAAATGCAGCCGACGTAGTGATGAATCGCTCCTGTAACGACGAGGACGAGCTATGCGACGTTGTGGCGGACGCACCATCACGTACGTTGATGCGCATGATGCGAACCTTACCAACGCTAGGCCAACTGCCATTGCCAGTATCCGAAGCTCGTCCATCAGAAGCTCCAAGTCCATTCTGCAGCATCCCGAGCGTCTCCAGCCATGCCGAGGCGAGCGATGCACCGTACACTGCACCACCTACAACGCATGCGCCTTATAAGCAAACAAAGCCGACGACGGTTGTCAAGGCCGTGCCCATCCGCAAGTCCACGGTTGTGACGAAGCCTCGAAAGCAGCCACCGCCAATCAAGCGACCACACCCACCACTAGGCAAGAAGCCGACGACGATATCGACGCTGCCCCAGCGCGATCGGCTCTCACAGGCGTTTCTACGGCGTCCGTCGCCGCCGCCGTCGCCGCCACGCCGGGCCGCCGCCACGTACCGCTTGGACCGGAACAACCTTTGTTGCTTGCAGCAATTATTTCTCGTTTAAGGCGAGTTAGCGCGTCGTGTTGCGCGGGCGCACAAACATCTCTTCCTTGGTCTCTTCCATAAAGTCCTCTTGCTGGTTGCAGACGCGGAGAATTTCCTTCTTGCTCGGCTCTTGGAGGTTGCCGCCAATGAGGAGCTCGTCCAGGATATAATACGCTTTGTGAAAGTTGAAGATGATGTCGAGCTCGCACACGTTGCCAAAGTACCGGTCAAGCACCTCGACAAACAAGTGGATGATCTCGAGCGTAATAAGTTCGTTCTCTTCCTTGGAGATGCACGCGACAAAGTACAAGCTCGCATACCTACATCCTCATCATCATCATGCTCATGGCCTCGTCTTCCTAGGCATCGACTACCGCTTGTAGACGATCTTCTGGTCCTTCCACTCGATAAAGTTGCACTGCTTCTGCGGCCGACCGAGCACGAGCGACGTCACGTCGCGGATGATGCGCGCCTTGTCCTTGAGGGGCACCGCCGAGTACCACTTGGAGAGGCGCGTCTTGCCTTGGCGGCTCACGAGCAGCATGAAGTCGATCTACGTTCGCATCTTGAGCTGCCAACGACGACGACGATGATGGACGACGCACCATGGCAGCCACTTCGAAGTGAACGATGGCCGCAACAGCACCAATATGCCTTTTGAGAGTGTTATCCGGATGACACCCGTATCCGGATGATATGACGTGGCGCCACAATCTCAAACCAGCATCCAGCTCCAGTTCAGTCCGGCGAATAGCACGTTGTGGTGATGAAAATGGTGAAAGACCTGTGGCTCTGCCGCATGAAGGTTCTAGGGTGCACCCGCCGTACTACGCCCAGGGACAGCGTTGTCCACGGCGAGCGAGAGACTGCAAGATGCCAGGACCTGCTTACGGTGCACGCTCCGTGGTCAAGCAGGGGAGTCCAGACACCGTTTCTAGACCCGTGGTCGAAGCGTTCGAAGGATCATGTCGTGTCGACCGTGCATGGTGTTCGTGGGGCCGCGTCCGAGGGATGGTAGGTACGGACGCGTGGTCGTGTCGGTCGGCCGCGGTTTTTTGTTTTGTTTTCTTTTGTTTGATTTCGTTACCATGCTAACGACACCTGAAGCATCCCGACGTAGCCTTTCCGGTCCGGCACCTGCGCAAAGTTGTAGCCTTCGGCAGCGAGAAATCGCTCGACGGCCGGCTTGAGACGCACGTGGTGCGAGTGGTGGCCCGACCCCGTCACGATGCAGATCGTCTCGGCCGTCACCGCCGGCAGCAGTTGCGCGAGGAGCTCGAGCGCCTCGGCCACGTGCAGCCCGTGCAGGTCGAGGAGCCCGTCGCGCTCGTAGCTCGGGTTGCGCGCCTCAAAGATAAGGCTCGCAGCTTCGTAGTGCGCGTCTTTCATCTGCGCATTGTACATCTGCCCTTGGCGCGAGAGGTCCTTGGCAAGGCTCTTGTTGCCCCTACGCAAGGCCAGAACGAGTCTTTCCAACGCCTCAACCAGTCAATGCATACTGGCGGTAGGCGTGCGTCGCATTCATAAAGCACTGGTTGCGCGCCAGCGCCAAGTCCCGCGCACGCTCCCGCGCCTGCTTGTACTGCGCCGACACTTGGTACCCCGTGTCGACCCAGCGCGCCGCCACGGGCTGCGAGAGCGACCGGGTGAACAGCGGCGTCTACGATATGTAAATACTGAGGAGAGGCCACTTAACACGATGGGATGTACGTGGCGGCTGCTCGAGGTCGACGACGATGCCGATGGGAACGCGGCGTCCGGCTTCATCGAGAGGGCGCGCGCAAAGTCCAGCGACAGCCCATCGGCGGACGCGGACGGCGTCTTGGTGCTCGTCAGAGACGGAAAGTTGGTCGGCTCCAAGTTGTCGCGCGTGTCGATCCAGTCGTCTTCCTCGTCGCTCTCTTGCGGCTGCTCCTGGCGCGCACCGTACTCGACGATCGCCATCTCAAACGAGTGCGCAAACGCACACTCGTCGCCTTGGAGGCAGCCGCCGCGAATCCAGTAGCGGCACGTAATCAGGTGCGTGTCGTGCAGAAACTAGAGACGATTTGAGATGATGACGCGAGGCTGCTTGACGTACCCAGCAGTCGGCGCGGCGGCACTCGCCTTGCAGGTAGTGGCGACACACTTGGGCATTTTGCTTTTGCGCCTCCGAGTCCACAATGGCTTGCATGACGCCCTGGCCATCGATCGATGTATCTCAGATCTAGATGGAAGGGTCCGAGAGTACAAACCTGCGCGCGGTGCACGTCGAGCTCGACCTCCTTGAGCAGATCGAGGAGCCGCTCGGGGTCCATGGCTGGAAACACCGAGAGGAGTTGCTCGACGAGCTCGTACGCGATCGACCAGTAGAACGCGTCTTCGTCGTCCATGTCGACCTCGGCCCCGCCGTCGTCCGGCGCCACCACGTCCTCGAACTCGGGCTCGAGCGACAATGTGGGCTCCTACATCACATGGCGTCGTCAAAGCGACGACGACAAAAATGACGTACCGCGCCCCACGGCACGTAGGCCGACGCCGTTGCATTCAACTGCGGCGACGCGGTCGAGGCGTCTTCGGCGTCAAGTAGCGCCAGCTGGTGCGGGTCCTTGACGTACAGAAGGAGCTCGTCGACAAAGGTCTCGGCGGCGCCCTATCGCGGCGTGAGGCCATGCCCGCGAGGCTGTAGCGGACCTGCTGCGAGTCGTCGAGCCAGCCCATGAGGAGCTCGAGCACCTCGGCGCGCTTCTCGTCTTCCTCGTCGGCGTCGGCGCCATCGAGGCGCAGCATGCCGAGGACGTACGGCGCGAAGACGCTGTCGACGCCGAGGCCCGTGAGCTGCTGGGCCGTCCACGCGGTCACGGCCATTGCCTGCGCCGAATTTTATTCACTGGCATCGTCTGTTCACGGCGTACCTTGTAGTTTGTATACATTACATGGGCGCCGATACAATACCCTTCACATAAGTTTGCCATGCCGAGGACGAGGGAGAGAGCGGTCGACGTTGGCGCGTTTGGCCCGAGGCGATGCACACTACTAAGCAAGTACTAGTAGATTCAAAAAGGCAGAAGCGGGAATATCTATTGACACGTATAAGTGCAAACTGCAATGTCGACCACCGTCCAACAGAGAACCGATGATATAGAGAAGCAACGTTATACAATAGTCGCATGGATCGTAGGCGCTGCAGGTAGGAGGATGAATGGGGTTGCATACAACTCGAGTGCTGTGTATATGAAGGACTCTAATGTCGTTATGTCGAAGGTCTAGTGTCTCCAGTGGGAAGCAGTGTTGCCACGTATGAGCGGTGTCATCACTATTGAAAGGCTGTTCCTTTCGTCAAATACGCACTGCACACAAATGGTGCTCTATCCAAACTGCCACAGCAGCCTTGACAGCAGCCCATTTAAGACACGATACTAGTATCGCAGTAGAAGACAGGAGCAGGCTCGCAATCCGACTCTTGAGGGTGGGTGGATGGTGTGGCCCAACGAATACTAGTGTACATACTACGTCGGAGAGAGTACAATCGACTTCAGTCTGTCATCCAACACCGTCTAAAAGCCGTGGTACGTTCGCAAAGCGGGGCGCAGGATCGCCGGTTTGGCTTTGGCGTCGTCGCGGGCGGTCGTGTGCGCTTGCATCCGCGCGGCCGCCATCTTTCGTCGCACGGCGCGCACAAACTTTTGCGCGCGGAAGCAGCGAAAGCGCCGCTGAATTCGCGTCGCCGCCGCGTGTCGCTCGGCCAACGTCGCGGCGTGGGCGTCTTCACGCGCCGACCGCGTTGGCACGTGATTGGATGGCTTTTTGGCGCGCAAATCCAGACCCGACCCCTTGGTCGTCATTGACGTCGCGTGTATGTTCTGCGCCGCCAGGTTGTCGAGCATGCCGTGGCGACTGCGCACGCGGATGTCATTTTTGATCTCTTCAATCGTCTACACCAGCATGTCGAAACAAAAACGCACAATTTGTGTCGTACTTGGTGGCCGTCGGCGTGCGTGACGAGCACGCGTCGATTGCTCGAGTTGGCGCAGGCGCCGGTGCCCCCCGAGAGGTGCCACGCGTTGCGCATCATGAGCTCAAAGTAGTCGTCGCCGTCGATCGACGCGCTAATGCCCTAGATAACACTGCGTAAAATGAACTGTACAGCGTGAAAAGTACAGTACGCGATAGTACGTCTCAAACTCGGCCAAGGAGACCGTGCCGTTGCCATCGAGGTCCCAGTGCTGCATAAATTGCACCAGAGCATCGCGTGGCGTAAGGCGCCCGGCGACCACATCGGGGTGGTGCGTCACATCAAAGCCTTTGCGAAGGTCGTCGATCGTGACTTGTCCGTCGCCATCGACGTCGAGGACGCTGTACGCTTGATGCACGAGCGCCCGGCGGCGGTCGTTGAGCTGGCCTCGAAGTCCGGTAAGGAGTTCGTCAAAGCTGATAGAGCCGCTGTGGTCCGTATCGAGGAGCGTCATGAGCTGGTCGACGTCGTGCAAATGAATTTCAATGCCGTAGGTTTCCAAGCCAGATTTGAGTTCGTTCTTGGTGAGTTTGCCGTCGCCGCCGTCGTCCCAGATGCGCATCACTCTACGTAGTATACCTACCGTCAAGGATCGAGACACGCAACGAATCATGTATACCGCTGCACCGCGTGGATGCCAGCAGCGCCGCCGCGTGCTATGATCTTGGCCTTGAGTCGATCGAGGACGTTGCCAGCAAGGACGCCCGTCGCACGAGGCGGTGCGCCAAAGCGAGAGGTGAACCGCGCGTGCAGGGCCGGAATGTCGATCACTTGAGACCCTACCCCTGCCATTGTAGACCGATAGACTTATGGCGGACGCAGAAGGCACCCGAATCGTCCATGGCGCGGGCAATCACGAGGGCGTCGCGGGACGAGAGCATCTTGTCTCGCTTGCACAAAGCCGTGGCAAAGGCCTTTAGATGCACGCGCTCTTGCCCACTGCCGAGGACGCGGTTGGCACCAAGGCGGTGGGCGAGGCCGTCGACGGTGCACGGCGGGTCGAAAAGCGCGTGCTTTACGTACGCCAACGGGTCTGAAAGTCGCGTCGCAAAGGCGTCGGCCTGCTTCTCTTCGTGGGCGCGGCGTGGCGTCACGGTCGCTTCGACGACGCGCTAGAAAGCAAGCCTTTTCAATATCATAAAGAGCAATATACAATACTTGGTTGCCGTCGGCGTCTTCGTGGAGCACGCGCTTGTTGGCCGAGTTGGCGCACCAGCCAACGCCACCGGAAATGCGCCACGCATTCCGAATCATGAGCTCGAAGTACGCATCGTCGTCGATCGACGCGCTCACGTTCTACGCCATATATAAAATTAAAAAAGCGCTCGATAAAAATGACAATAGACAATAATGTACCTGGTAGTAGTGCTCAAACTCGGCGAGTGTGATCACACCGTCCTTCTCGTCCGTGTCCCACTGCGCCATGAACTCGCAAAGGATATCGTCGGCCGCCTTCTCGCCGCTAATGAACGCCGGGTGCTTGGACGGGTCGTAGAGGTCGCGGACGTCGTCGAGGGTAACGACGCCATCACCGTTGACATCGAGCTTTCGGAACGCGAGGTTGATCATCGCAAGACGCGCGGGTGCGATAGGACCACGCAGTGCGAGGAGAAACTCATCAAAGCTAATCGACCCGTCGCCGTCACGGTCCAGCGCGCTCATGATGGCATTGATTTCCGCCGGCAAGCAGTCGACACCAAAGTCCCGGAGACCAAATTGCAATTCGTCGCGGCTCAAGCGACCGTCACGGTTGGCGTCCAACGCTCGCATCGTTCGACTGAGCGTATGGATACCGGCATGGTCCCCACTACGTCGCAAGAGTACTGCTTTCACTTGAGCAAGAAGAGCATCCCTACACGCGACAGTAAGAAAACAACGAAATCCTACATCATAGGTTCGTACGGTGCAGGAGCATCGTTGTTGGATCGCATCGACGCTTGCGATGCCCTGCTTTTGGACGGCTGCAGTGGCGTTGACGGGGCCATGTTGCGCGACACGGATGTCAACGGTCGACTGACGGCAGTTGGAACGCGCGAGGTGCTTGACCGATGGGTGGAGCCCGTGCTCGGTCGGGCGGTGCCAAGTCGGGTAGATGGCACTTGGTTGGGCGCTGGGCGACGTGCAATCGTCGACCGCCCGGTCGACGGGATGCTTGCATGACTCGGCGCCCGACTTTTCTGGGTCTGGGCGGTGCCAGGACGCTTGTCGTGGCGGCTTTGGTTGTCGGAGGGATGGGCCGAGTACGCTTGTTCTGACTTGATTTTTGCACTGGCCGCCACCGACGAGGAGGCTGTCACAGGCCGGACATCGTGCGTGCTCTGGTTGGAGGCGGGTCGACCGTACATGGCCTTGCTGACGGCCGACGCACGGGTGCTCGCCGTCGCTGGTCGTATATCGTGGCGGCTCTGGTTGGAGGAGGGGCGGCCGTACATCGCCTCGGACGCCCGGCTGCTGGAGGACCAGCTGCCTTTGCTCGGCGTCAACGCCAGCGACTGCTTTTGAAACGCAAAAGACACGCGGCCTTGGGCGCAGAGCCACTCGCCAAGCGGAAGAAAGCCGAGGCGTATGTCCTCGCCGCGCGCCATGGCGTCTGTCAGCACTTGTAGGACGGCATCAACAAAAGCCACCACACAATCCTCGTCGAGACGTTGGATCCGAGCCGCATGGGCAAGGCTAAGCGGTGGCGCTAGCCTCACTGACGTCTTGGCAAACGCGACATCGACAAAGATACTCGGAGGTTCGAACTGAAGGAAGCGTTCGAGGCGGATGGGGACGCGTCGATGAACATGGTCGCAAAGGCCTTCGACGAGGCACTTCCAGAGCTGGACACCAGCCGGCAGCGACAGCCCTGGCGTGGCTTCACTGGCGGCTTGGACGACGTCGGCCGTCACGACACTGGCGCGGGCTTGCATTCTTATCGTTTCTCAACGGCTCTCGCGTCGAAAACGCTCCGTCAACACGAGCCGAACTCGCCGAGGCACGTTCCTTTCGAGAGAAGGACTTGGGTACTCTAGACAGGACGCAGAATCTATTCGAGTCGATATTGACAACCACCACTGTCGGACGTATTCAGTGTGTGGTTTTCACACTGCTTTCGATGCTGCCAACGATACCACGCAGGTGACTAACCCTACACCTACCCAACCACGACCTATTTCAAGCCTGTTTTGACGCAAGCAGCATCGGGTGCATTGAGAAACTCTCAAGAAAGAGAAATGCCCTGCTATCCAAGACGCACACACATTCCTCGACGCGATCGTGGCGACGATGACAGTAGCCCAACCAAGGCCGACACGTACGACTCCAACCAGCTCGAGCACGACATGACGTGGCAGCACAAGCGCCAAGGACTCGAGCCCGAGGTGGAGTGTCTCTTGAGCGACACGACTGCGTCCACGTACTTCCACGTGTCCTATGCGACGCTTCGAGAAGAGCCACGGCCACGATCGTGTTCACAGCGCACGATTACCCGGATTGCATTCGCGCCACTGGATTGGGCGTCGCCCCAGTGGACGCCAACGTCCATCGTCTCGACGGTCGTCAAGTATCGGCCGTTCGAGGTCCCGCTGGCAACACGCTACACGCTCTTTCCCCGACGATTCCTGTCGCTCCAACCGATGCTGACGCGCCACGACGTCTTGCAAGGATGTGACCCAGCTAGCGCGTGGCTGGAAATCTCGGGCTAACCTCTCCAAGGCTCGGTGGAAATGGGATGGCACATATATAATCACATCAACATGTTTGGAGTTTAGGATGCGACCGATTTACTCGCACGAAGCCGCGCAAGCATGCTTTCTTCCCAGTCTTCCCACTGCTCTTTTTCGTTTTCCAGAAGGAGGCGTTGGCGCCTCTGGTTCAAGTACGGGTGCGCACACACAAGACCGATGATCGCCAGCACTGGCAGACCTTCGACCGGGCAAGCAAAGGCGAAATAGAGAGCCATGAGACCCAACAGCGGCCAGAACGAGAAGAGCGCGAGCTTGGCACTGCAGATCTTGCCCGTCTCCTTGGAGGCGAGCTGCTTGACGTCCTTCGTCGTCGGGTTTTCGATCGCAGCAAACGCAGACGTGTCAATGGTCTTGGGTGCGTACAAGAAGCGCGGCGCGCAGTCGATCCACTCGCCCGCGTACAAAACACCGATGCCAAAGGCACCGACGACGAGGTTGAGCGCCATGCTCGGTTTTGGCAAATGGCAAACTGAGATCGGAGTGGGAATGCACATATGCGTTGTGAGAGGTTCCGTGGCGCACCAACCGAACGGCATCAAATCGTCTCGATGATGCAGCGGAATGTGATGAACGTGCAGAAGCGACTCGACTGCCAAGAGGACACTAGAGACAACAAACAACTATTTTGATGTTGCTAGCCCACGAAATTCATTGTAGAGCTGAGGTACCGGTGTTAAATTTGGTCTATCTTGACAACAACCAGCGACAACGCGTATCCAGCAAGGATGAGTTGTCCGTCTGCTTGGTCTTTACGCATGCCGCTGAATATACGTTGTGAGAGGTTGCGGCAGAGCACTGACAATCCGCAGCGATGCCATTTCACAACAAGCTCCCATGCTGACCTGGACCGGACTTGTGGCCATCGTCGTGCTCGGCGGCAGCCTCTTTCTTATGTCAGTGGCCCCGTACTTTATTGCCAAAATGCAGCCAGCGCTACCGGTTGACTGCGGCGACATCAACGCCCCACACGCCAAGCGACTCGCCAAGCAGCACATCAAGCGGCTGTGGCGCACATACTTTTATCACTCGGACCGCTACTGCCGCCACGGGCAGAGCTTCACGTTTATCTGCCTCTTGAGCAATGCCGCGTCTGTCGCTGAGATCGTTCCGGACCTTGCGCCGATCTTCATCATGCTCGGCGTCACCGCGCACGCTTGGTACGGCTGCGGCCACGCCGTGAGCCAAAAACGGGCTGACCACGAGCGCGAGCAGTGGGAAAAACACCTCGAAGATGTTAAAGCGGTCAAACGCAGTACCACCAAATAGAGTCTGCCGTACACGCTTGGGAGTAATGTACAACTTGATATTGAACGAAGTGGCAAATTGTTGGATACTGGTTGTGGTATTTCCATAAGCTCTAAACTGTTGCGTTTTGTAGTGAAATTGCTTGTCCGAGAACAGACAATCGAGCATTAATTTTTGCCTGTCCTTGGACGACCCTTGCTCAATATAAGTACATGGCAGCTATCCCCGAAGTAAAGATTGTGGTGGATGAGAACGGTAGTGCTGCATAATGGTAAGACCACCATTACGGTTGAAAAGGCGGCGACAAGAACGGAAGCAAGGCGGTCACCCAAGGCACTTCGGACGCTGGCACTTGGACGCTCGCGTCGCGCAGTGGCACTGACTGGAGGCGGCAACACGTCACGTGGGCTTGATATAGGCGCTCGGCAATCAGATCGGCGCGTAGTATCGTCACTGGGCCAACGATGGCCCGTGATATGGTTGCCGCGAGGTCGTCGTCGCCTTTTGTGTTTGATCTTTTGAGGTTGGGGAACAACCGCAGCATGTTGAAGCACGGCTCGATTTCGGCAAGATTTTCTTGGGCTGCGTCAACGTGGCCACGACGCACCAAGAAGGTGGCAACGAGGAGAGCGCCGCCTTCTGGCACAATGAGCTGGCACGCGTTGGCAGCCCACAGAACGTCCTTTCCGTGTGCGGAGCGGAAAAACGAGTTGAGCGCCTGGCGCGGCATCATGCGCAATGCGGTACTGTGCGACAAGCGACCCTTTGTTGCTCGAGATGGGCCCGGCGGCGGCAAGGATGCCCGTGCAGTACCCGCCGCATGCAATTTGACGTGACATCCACGCTTTTGGGCTCAAGACACTTGTACGAGGATGCTCGAGCGCTGCGTTGGACGATGTGGTACCTTGCATCTGCAACTGGTCGGGTAATGTAGCAAATATGACGACGGTCTTGGTGTTTTACGAGCTGAGCCCGCTGAAAAGAGCGAGTTGACGAGGACGGTTCTACCACCATTCCGTAAAAACCGAGAAAATAGGCGTCTTCATTCGTTCACCGGGCCGTTGCTGCGCAGGCGGCGGCGCGGGGGCTCGTCTTGATCTTCTGTAGTCGTCCGGGGGATGGGAGAATATAGTTGAAGCAAATGGGTCGCTGGAATTGATCGATCGATGGTCGTAGAGCAATGAATGCTCTGTGCGTCCATAGGGTTCTCAAGCGCCCGCCGTGAGCAGCTATAGCACTAGTTACCCTAGATGTTGATTGCGGTGGCTATTGACTATCTACTAGCTAGAGTACGTGTGATACAATGAGATTCGTTATCACTTGGAAATCTTGTGGACGTGCACCAGCACAAGATCGCACTTGCTGCGCTGTGATTGGTTAAATTTTTATTGTTTCGTTGCATACAAACACCAAGATCGAATAAAAATTCGAAACAGCACAACCCACCGATCTTCAAACGGCAAAGTGCAATCGATCGAACGAGTGGCAGCATGGCGCGCCGAGGACAGCTGCGGTGGTTCTCGACCTACATGATGCTGGCCTGCGCGCTCCTCCTCCAGCGCATCCTCGCCCAAGAAGGTAGACGCCATGCCCATGAAGCGCTTGACGAGCGCTCTCGATAGAGTCCAAGGAAGCCAAGGGGGCCAAGGGAGCCAAGGGCTCGCATGAGGCGACAGAGGCCAGCCACGAGGACGAGGCAGCCGAGGCCTACTACACGGCTGTCGCCTCGGTGGTCACGATCACCGCGCTCATCTTCATGTCCATTGTCTTCGAGACCGTACGCTTCCTGCGTCTATCTCGATAGCTAAGCCACGTCTGTAGGCTTCCGAGCACCTGAAGGAGTCGACGGAAGAGACCAACATGCCGTTCATCAGCACCATCTTTAGCGAACTTACGACGCTGGGCTTCATTGGCTCGGTGCTCTTCGTCGTCTCCAAGTCGGGGTATCTCGAAAAGGTACCGGACGACGGAGCTGGTGAACGCGGTGGTGACAAACATGGTGCAGGCGTCTGTGATACTCTTTGGCGAAGGCAAGAAGGAAGAGCTTCAGGAGACTGTCGAGATGCTTCATATGGCGCTCTTTCTCTTTGTGGTCATCTTCCTCCTCCTCTGCATGTATGTGGACGACTATGTGCGACATTTTAACCTCATGGAGATTGTAGCGTCTTGCTCAAGCTCGGCACGGGAGTGCAGAACGAGTGGCGCGAGTTTGAGCGCCGGTCACCGTACCTCCCGGTGGTCGTCTCGGATTTCTGCCTCGCGACCGAGCCCCCGACGACATTTTGGGAAAAGTTCAACTACCGGCGCATCCTGGAAGCATCCAAGCGGCGTCGCGAGATGGTCTACTTGAGTCTTCGTCGGCGGTTTGTCGACGTGCGTTCCAACCACCCAGTACGTCATCCCTCGATTCCTTGCATGGTATCTGGAAACGACTCTAATCGGATATGCTGTTTAAGGACCCTCTGCGCTGCAAGGAGATGGAAAAAGAGTATCAAGTGAACCAAAACATTCGGTAGGGTCGCCCTATCGACTGAGTCGATACATTGATTCATTGATAGGTTTCCGTTCAACGAGTACCTCTCGGTCATTTCCGGCGAAGTCATGGCGCGCCTTATTGAGATCGACGTCATTACGTGGGTCGCGCTCGAGGTCTTTATCGTGTGCATGCTCTTTGTGTGCTGGCAAGTCGGCCCCGAGAACGAAGTCTACGTGCTCGTCACCTGCGGCATCCTCCTCATCTTCCTCAACCAAGTCGTGTACGGCCGCGTGCGCCAGATGCGCAAACTTCTGACACCGCCCAAGCTCTTTCGCAAGGCCGAGCGCCGCCGCTTGCAGCCCGACTGGCGCCGCCAGAACCAGCTCGTGCCTGCCCAACCGCTCTCGTCGCCAACTGAGAAATCCCCGCTGCTATTAGCGACGTCAGCGTCATGGGTGCGTGGACTCGATGCAGCATGCTTTTTTAACGATGAACGATGTTAGGACAAGATCCCGTCGGACTCGAACCCGCCGTACTTGGCGATGCTGCCCAACGGCGGCATGGACATGGACTACAACGAACTTACGAACGCACAAAAGAAGCTACTCGGTGGCGGCAACGGCGTGCTCCTGGCCATGTTTTCGACCCGCATGGTGTTTCTCCTCACGGCGCTCCACCTCTCGGTCTTCTTGGTGCGCACCATGGGCCAGATCCATACCAGCAGCGCGTATCCGTGGTGGGAAAAGGTCATTTTGTACGTCCTCCTCGCGCTCCCGAGCTGCATGGTGACGTCCATGTCGACCATCATTGCGCGCGTACGTCGTAGTTGTGGACATATTGTCTTGTACGATGCGACGTTTGTAGGACGGTCTCTACTCGTTCAACGTCGAGCACATGAAAGTGCCGCGGGTGATCAACAAAGTCATGCGCATTCTCAAGGCGCGGTCGACGCTGCGCACACTGCGGTTCATTGCGGAAATGAAGGTCTACCTCCGTGAAGACCACAAGAAGAACAACCCGCACATGACGCACGACGACGAGGGCCCGAGCCACCACATCGTCATGGGCAGCAAGCGCGGGTCCATGGACGGCCTCTCGTTCCATGCCGAGGTCCAGCGTCTCGTCGAGTCCCCGACGAAAAGCAATACGTCCGAGGCGCTCAGCAAGCACAAGCACGAGTCGCCAAGCGCGCGAATGCAATACGAGCTGCCCATGTCACCGCTGAGCGAGCCGTCGACGCCCAAGCGCAAGCTGAGTACGGAGACAAACCTGCGCAACGACAAGCATTCGCAGAAGGATAAGTACGAGGAAGAGCTCGAGCGCCGCGAGATTGGCGCGATCTTTGAACTCTTTGATCGTGACGTGTACGCATATATTCCTTTGTATGATGTGTGGATTGATATCTTGATATGTTTGTAGATCCGGATCGATCTCGCGCAATGAGATGCAGACGCTGCTGCAAGCGATCTCGTCCGACATGACCATGGACCAGATCAATCGCATCATGATCGAACTCGACGAAAACCATACGGGCGAAGTGCAGTTTGAAGCGTTCTACAACTGGTGCCGTAGCCGCATCCACGTAAGTCCTCATCCGGCGAGCACGTGCATGGACTGAGCATTGACATGCTGTGTGTATTTAGGAGCACTCATCGTCGTTTTCCAAGCACGAGCTGATCCACGAAGTCTTCAACATGATCGACACGGACAAAAGCGGCTTTATCACTGTCGATGTACGCGACTGCCCCGAATTGCGCTCAAGTTGATGGGATTGTTTAGGAATTCATTTCGATTTTCAGCAAGCTCGGGCAGTCGCTCGACCACGACGATGTGCGCGAACTCATTTACCAAATGGACAGCAACGACGACGGCAAGATCGACCTCGAGGTACACATATCCATGGTGATATATCCATCTCAAAACCACGATTTTTTTGTAGGAATTTTCGAAAATGCTGCACAAGCACGCCGTGTAGGGCGACAATTGCAGCAACCGAATCGAATACTACCGAACAGAGTTTTTTATAAATACTATTAGTGTATTCACTCTCTGCCGTGAACACGTCAACCCATTGACGCTGAAATTGAAAACGGGTCGGCCGCGAGGATAGATAGTTACGTTGACGTTGCTGCTAGTTTGGACCATTCGCCTCCAGCCAACATGCTGCCGACGCAATTGATGGTTTTCAAGGAACTGAGATACCTCTATCTAAGCAATACAGCCTCGCTTATTTGAACGCCAGCGCAATCCCGGACGCATCCGGCGATGTTGTGGCGTCGTCGGTGCGACGAGTTGTGACGAGCCTGCCGTCATGCATGTGCTGCAAGACTGCTATATACGCAAGCAACACGGTTTAGGGCAAAGACGGGTGCTACGTTCTCCCGGCACTTATTTCAACAACTACAGCCGTAAAATCGAACTCGTGGGGCCAAATCTCGTTCTTTCTTGACATCGAAATATGTTACCACCTTACGCCAAAGAGGTCTGCGCGTGAAAATCCTGCACACAAAGAGCCATTCGTTGCGCATCATCGAACCTGAAACTTGAGAGCTTCGTGGGGACAAGGGACCAAACTTTTTATGGACCCTTGGTGGGGATTTGTGCAGCTTTTGCCATGTTGACTTATTTTGTACACACCCCTAGTCGTACGAGCCAATCATATCTCGATATCAAGTTCTGACCAATCACGTCGCGCCATTGCTCTACTTTTAAAAAGGCGTGGCTGCGATGGGCTGCGATTGGTGCATTCAATATCCTTGTGAAGCGGCACGGTGTAACCCATCGGCGGTTTGGTGCATGACCAGCCACAGCAACCTCCTCGGCGGCGCGATTGTCTCTCGAGCCTGTCTACCTGACGCCCGACGCTCATGTCTCGAGGATGCTTAGGCGTTTGGCGTCGCTGTCATCTCCAACTATGGCATCAACCTCCAGAAGCAGCTCCATCGCGTATGCATCTCCATGTCGTCGTCGTGTCTGACACGTGCTTAGACGCTGGCGCGTGACGGCGACTGGGACATCTCCTACACGCGTCACTGCGTCTGGTGGTGGGGCATGTTTCTCGTGACCCTCGGCTCGGTCGGCGACCTCGTCGCCTTTAGCTTCGCACGCGCCGCGGTCGTCGCGGCCGTTGGCGGCGTCACGACCATCATCGCCAACGTCGTCTTCGCGCAATGCGTCAACCACGAGCCGGTGCACAAGACCGACATGCTCGGTATCGCATCCTTGATTGGAGCTGTCATCCTTCTCGCCGTCGCCTCCCGCGACGAGGCCAAGTACGGCGACATCCTGTCGTCTTGATCTCATACCCGACTCTAGTTACGACGTGACGGCGCTCTTGGGGCTCTTTGGATCGCACGTGTACTTGACCTACGTCGGTCTCCAGGTGCTCCTGCTCGTCACGCTTGGCGCGCGCCTCTACCACACGCCGCGCGAGAGCGTCAAGTCGCTCTGCTTTGCCGCCATCTCGGGCACGGTTGGCGCCATGTCTGTCTTGCTTGGAAAATGTACCGTCGAAATGCTCTCACAAACCGTCCAAGGACGTACGTTGCGTTTTCCGATGGTGTCTTTTACGGTGTCGCGCTTGCGTTGGTGGTTTGCGTTGCGAGCCAAACACACTGTTTGAACCGCGCGGTGTCCAATGGCGACATCATGGCCGCGCTTCCCATCTTTCAAATGTTCTGGATTGGCTTGGCCGTGGTTGGCGACATTGTCTTCTACCACACGTACACGTCGTTTACGACCAACGACTGGCTCTTGTACCTCGTGATCCTCGGGCTCATGGTCGTCGGCTGCACGTGCGTCGCCTCGTCGCGCCTCTTTAGCGCCACAGACGACAACTACCTGGCCGTCAGCGACGAGCAAATCGAAAAAAAGATGCTGCACGACGACGCCTATGTATACTTGTAAGCTCCGTGGAATGCAATACATGATTCATTGCCTCCATATTGGATGCAGTGTCTTCTTCCATCACTGTGTCCTCACACCTCAGAGGCATGACAAGGACCGACCTCTGAGTCCATGATGATGGGTCGTCCGAGCGGTGTCTTTAGAAGCTCACATTGCCTTTTCTCTTCCTCCAATGGCCCGTTTTCTTCTTCTCCTCAGTGTTGCGCTCGCACTCACGCTGTGCGCGGCGGCGTTGACGATGGTGCCCCTGGCGATTCGCGTCGGGTGCGGCGCGAAGCAAGCATATCCGCTGCACCGCGACGTCCTCCGCTATACCATCGACCAACCGACCGCGTCACTGCTCCTCATCCACTTTGCCCACGTCCGCTTGGCGCCGTCCGACTACATTGTCTTGCGCCCAATTGGCCGCAATGCGACGTCACGGACCATGACGCCGGCGCGCGTCACAGCGTCGTCGTCCGGTGCGTTTTTTGCCATGCCTCTCTACGCGTCCCGGGTGATTGTCGAGCTGCATACGATGGGGCTCCACCGCGGTGGCGACGACTGCGTTGGGTTTGCGATCGACGGGGTTCGAACCCACGCCGACGCCCGTCTCCGCATGCCCAAGGACGACAACAAAGAGTCGCTCTGCGGCGCGGACGACTCAAAGAACGCCATGTGCTATGTCAACTCGGCCATGTTTACCGCGTCCAAGGCGGTCGTGCGGCTCCTTACGAACCGCGCGTCGGGCTCGGACTTTTGCACGGGCTGGCTCCTCGGCTGCGCCGGCCACGTGCTCACAAACCAGCACTGCCTTCTGTCGGCCGCCGACGCGCGCAACACGCAGTTTGAGTTCATGGCCCAAGGTGCGACCTGCCAAAGCGACTGCGAGGCGTCGGGTGCGTGTGCCAGCCGCATCGTTGTGCAGGGAGGCACGCTGCTTGCGTCGTCGAAAGCACTTGATTATGCGCTCGTGCAGCTCGAGAACGTGCCGTCGGAGCTCGGGTACCGAGGCTTTTTGTCCATTCAAAGTGGCTCATGGAACGTAGGTATTTGCAGCTGCGCGCGGCGGGGCCACAACTGAATGAACGTGTGTACATTCCCCAGTACCCTCTTGGCGGCGGCAAGCGCCTCGCCGTGGTCAAGAGCAATCAGCCGGGCACGATCACGTCCGTGACGCTCTCTGGGTAGGTTCACCGTCGGCACTCGATCTCGAGGTGTCATTCTGTGTTTGTAGGTGTGCGAAGAACCAAGCAGGCTACATGCTGGACACGCAGCCCGGATCGTCGGGGTCGCCGGTGCTGGCGTCGAGCGACAATACAGTCGTGGCCTTGCACCACTGTGGCGGTGCTGATTTCATGATGCTGTGAGGGGAGCTGACATCAGCATGAACGTAGGGTGTCCGAATGCAGGCATCCAAGCACAGTTTATCATTCGAGATTTGTCGGAAAAGGGTCTCTTGCCGCCCTGCGCTGTTGCGTAGCCCTTTGAGAGTTGTGACAAGAAGATGCAATGTCGGAAACTATGCACATTTCAATATATTTACTGTGTATATTGACGGTTCCACAACCATTAGCGTGTTGGTGTAGACGGGGTGAACGTGGAATCACAACGGCTTGCTTTTCTGTCCCGCGTCCATGGCAAGGCACTGTTCCCGCTGGTACGCGGCTCGTTTTTGCGCGAACCCGTGCATGACGCCGCACACCGCGTGCCCAAGCACGACGAGCAGCACGCCCGTTTGAACGCAGCGCGTCCACATCGCGTCGCTCAACGAGGCGTACGTGGCAAAGACGCACGCCATCATGTAGCAGTGCATATGTCGACCATAGTAATCCGAATGGTGCATGCTGTCGCGATGGAGTTGCCGCTTCATCTTGTCGCTGTCGGTCGTCGCGACGGCGCCGTATCCGAGGTACTGCGTGGGAATGCACAGCGGTACCGCCAGCGAGAGTGCTGCCAGCGCCAGCACTCTAGAGTACGCGTGCTCGAATGCTGCCTTGTCCATCGTGATCGACTGTTGTGAAATGGGGTTTCAACTTCTCACATTACCTTTTGAAAGGCGACGCCACGCACAATCCGTCACCGGGACAAAGCAAATCATCGGCCGGATAAACCTCTATAATTGGATATTGAGAGCGTCAGACACTTGGAGATCAGTTTGCATTTTCCCATGTCGGTCACGCTTCTGCTCGGCTGCTTTGGCTGCGCAGTCTTGTACGCCGCCGAGTGGATCGATCTCGCGCCACGGTGTCTCTTTAATCCCCGCAACATTGACACGTCGGCGTATGCCCACGTCGAGCAAGGCAAGGCGACCCAAAAAGAAATTGAAGAAATCTTTGACCGCCATGACGACGCGCTGATCATGGCCAAGCCGTCGACGCCCGGCATTCTAGCGTCACTGGTGCTCATGGGCGGCGGTCTTTTGGTCGATCATGTGCATGACCGCCTCCAGCCCGTGCTCGTGTTCGTCGTGCTCTATTGCGCGTTTTCGTATGTGCGAACGAAGCGCTGGATCTTGCTCGTCGAGAACGAGCGAGGATTGTGGAAGGACTGGCGAGAGAGCATGCTGGATCGTGTTGTAGTCACTAGACAAGACACTTTGTTACACAGTTAACCCAGCCGTTTGTTGTATTCTAGTTGACGAGCGAAACCATTCATAAAAATGCTCGAAGCAATGAGCCTTGCAAAGTTGTGTGGATTTGCATTAGTCAGATTTTGCACGTTCTCCAGCTCTCAAACATGGGATTGGTTGATTTGTGTCGTGGAGCGCTGCATCGCTTTGATATCTTCGAGGTGTTTTTCCCACTGCTCGCGCTCGTGGTCAGCCCGTTTTTGGCTCACGGCGTGGCCCCAGCCGTACCAAGCGTGCGCCATGACGCCGAGCATGATGAAGATCGACGCAAGGTCCCGAACGATCTCAACGTCAGACACGGCATTGCTCAAGAGGCAGATAAACGTGAAGCTCTGCGTGTGGCGGCTGTGGCGGTCCGAGTGATAAAAGTAAGTGCGCCACAGCCGCTTGATGTGCTGCTTGGCGAGTCGCTTGGCGTGCGGGGCGTTGATATCACCGCAGTCAACCGGTAGCGCTGGCTGCATCTTGGCAATGAAGTACGGGACCACAAATAGAAGGAGGAAGCTGCCGCCGAGCACGACGATGACCACAAGTCCGGTCCAGGTCAACATGCGAGCTTGTTGTGAAATGGCATCGCTGTGGATTGTCAGTGCTCTGCCGCAACCTCTCACAACGTATATTCAGCGGCATTCGTATGCAGACGACAACTCATCCTTTGCTGGTTGTTCAGACGGGTGCATTTGACGTTTAACCCTATTTAAATGAACTCTTTCATCGAACTTCTAGTTATTTGTTGTCTAAAGTATCCTCTTGGCAGTCGAGTCGATTCTGCACGACGGTTCGTAATTTGACATTCCGCTGCATGTGGCATCGAGACGATTTGATGCCGTTCGGTTGGTGCGACACGGAACCTCTCACAACGCATATGTGCATTCCCACTCAGATCTCAGTTTGCCATTTGCCAAAACCGAGCATGGCGCTCAACCTCGTAGTCGGTGCCTTTGGTATTGGTGTCTTGTACGCGGGCGAGTGGATCGACTGCGCGCCGCGCTTCTTGTACGCACCCAAGACCATTGACACGTCTGCGTTTGATGCGATCGACAACCCGACGACGAAGGACGTCAAGCAGCTCGCCTCCTAGGAGACGGGCAAGATACTTCATGCCAAGCTCGAGCTCTTCTCGTTTTGGCCAATGTTGGGTCTCATGGCTCTCTATTTCTCCTTTGCTTGCCCGGTCGAAGGTCTGCCAGTGCTGGCGATCATTGGTCTGGTGTGTGCGCACCCGTACTTGAGCCAGAAGCGCCAACGCCTCCTTTTGGAAAACGAAAAAGAGCAGTGGGAAGACTGGGAAGAAAGCATGCTCGCGCGGCTTCGTGCGACGTACACGTCCATTCCCTAACGTTAATTCGATGAACTTATTTGATTGATCCGGAGTTTGGGCAATTGGAAAACTGGTGTCTCCGAATCTATGCAAGATCAAAACTTGGTGCTGTGTGATCTACGAGCGTTTGGAAGAAGCTCTAGCCGCTACGCAGTGCTTTTCCTGCTTCGAGTAGAATCGTCGTCGTCTGTCTTGGGAAGAAATGAAATGACGTTGTGTTTTCTTAAAGAGACGAATCGAAAGACGACCGGCGCTTCGTGTGGGCAGCCTTTTAACGTTCGCGCTCGTCCCGGAGAGACCCCCACTGCTCGCGTTGGCCGTGGGCTTTCATTTGACCGACCGTGTGTGCCACGACGCAGTAGGAATGCGCGATCGCGACTAGGATAAGGCTGAAGCACGAGTAGCGCAGCCACGGAATCGTCAACTCCGAAGCGTAGCTCGCGACGGACGCAGCGACAAAAGAGCTCTGCATGTGGCGAAACACGGCGTCCGAGTGGTCAAAATACGGTCGCCAAAGCCGCTTGATCTTCTCGGCGATGACAATGTCGTCCGCGCCGCTGCTGTCAATGGCGCCGCCGCTTGGCCACCACCGAGTCGGTAGCAAGGCGAGACTCAGCACCGCTGCCGCATTGACCATGAGCATGACGGGGCTCGCGGCCTCGAGAAACGCGTCCATGCCGTGCCGATCAGGTATGTTTGCAAATAGATGGCACCACATCCGACATCCGGCGTGTCGAAAACCTCTCAAACATGATATGACGTGGCGCACGGACACGCAGTCATCCATCCATCGTGTATCATTTTTGTGCCAGCCGATTGTGATGGCATCCTCAATGGAATCCTCACAAACAAAATTTCAACAAGACGTCCTTGCCATGTCGGTGCGATCGTCCTTCGCGCGCAGCGGCCGCGTAGTGTATGCCGCCCTTTGGCTGGACCACGCGCCGCGCTGTCTCTTCTCGCCCCAGCGTATCGACACGGCATCCCACGCGGCGGTGTCGACCAAGAAGGAGATTGACGAGATTGCCGAAGCACACGATGACGCGCTCATTCTCGCCAAGGCGCCACTGTCGTCTCTTGGTCCATTGCTTGGCCTCATGGCCTGCGTAGTCACGCTCGAGTTTGACGTGCCCGACGTATTGGTTCCGTGTTTGGTAGTGGCCTTTCTCTACTGCGCGTTCAAGTACATTGCGACGGTCCGCAGTGAGTTACTACTGCAGAACGAGCAGCGTCAGTGGAAGGACTGGCGCGAACGCATGGTCGACCGCCTTGCCTGCAAGGCGCACCGCGCTGAGTAATACAACGAGTCGCTTTTGTGACCGTGACGGCGCGACGTATAGGATTAAACTCTCGAGATAGCGCTGCGGAAGCAAAACTTCGTAGTCGTCGGAGACGACAACCTGGAGATACCGCTAGCATGCGCCTTATGTTAACTTGAGCGAACGTGTCTTGGATTTATCGCATTACAACGCCTTGGTGCGTTTGAGCACTCTATTGAGAGAAGAACACTGCGCACGAGGGAGACGCCGTCGCGAATCCATGTAGCAACCACATGCCTGTCATCTGTCGTAATAGCCTGGTTCGTCACGTAACGGCAGTGCATAGCGTCGGGCTCGCATCCCAATCAGTGGGGTTTCTTGTGCTGCTACTGGGAGCCGATGCAGACACCACGTTTTGATATCAAAGATGATCCACAGGTCGCCATATCGGACGCTGAGGAGGCCGTTCAAGACACCTGACGCGCGGTCCAGATAGTACGTATCATGCTTGATCCAGCCTTCGACGCTGAAGAGGTACTTGGCACTCCCACACAGCAAGAGCGATGAACTCCTCGCTTCTCGGTGCCGTGATTTGTGGAGCATGCGCACACCAAGATAGCACGCAGTGTTGCACGTCAGCACAATAGAAATAAGAAGGACCAGTCGCACTGAGGAGCCGACCGCAACCTGCCCCATCGAGCACACGACTTGGAAGTCCAATGCGGCGAGGCGACATGTCGGGGCGATCGTGACCGTGGGTCGTACGGGTGCGAGCGTCGCGAGGCAGGCCGAGACGAGCCAGACCAGCAAGCTGTTGATCATCGCATACGTCATTGTGTAGTTCTGGGTCATGACGACCGAGACGTCGTTGACGACGCCGACAAACCACGTGACTTCGTTTGCGGCGAGGCATGTCATGTAGATCGGCACCTGTTTCATGACAAAGAAGCTCAGGATACCATCCGTCTCGAGCTCGACAGACGACGTCGACAAGAGACAAATCGCAGTGATACCGCGCACGACGATGAGCGGGCGACCGACCCAGACAATGCCCCCCACACGACTAAGCTCCAGCATGTTTTGGCCTTCGACGTGGCCGCGCGCCGCAAGAATGTAGACGGCAGTGACAGCCGCCAACAAGAGCATCACAAATGTCACGTAGCGCACGACTTGCAGCGCGTAGAGGGAAAAGACCGTGGATAGCTGGGTTGTATCCACAGACGACTCGATGGACGTGAGTCCTGCGCCCAAAAGAGTAAGGGTTCCGTTGTCGGCTTGAAATGAAATGACTTCGCGTTGTCCTAGGATCCAGTCGTACAGATAAAGCCACGCGTGGTAATTGAACGCGGCATCCAACGGGTCCAAGAAAGGCGTGACATAGAGCTCCGTTGGCACCGAACGGCTTGTACTGCCAAACTGGATCACTTGCAATGAAATGTTCTCGATAGCGCCCGCATACGTGGCAGTCGGGAGCGCGGGCAGTGGGACGCGCAGAGCATACGCCAATGCCAACTGCATGGACGCAACACACGCTGGCATATCATACGTGACGCCCACGACGCAGAGCGCCGTCAGATTAGACGCCGATATCACGTTGGCAAGAAGCAGTGCGAAAAGCACATGGTTGCGCGACGGCAGAAAGCCAAGTCCTGGAAATGGCGAGCTGCAAGTCTTGTCGAACGCGTCGCTGCTAATGAGAAAGAACAATTGTGGTGCGTAATCATTCGTCTGGATCGGGCATAGAGCTGAGCCGCTCATGGCCCATTGCACAGTGCCTCGCCACGCACTTGGCACCGGGAACGTCACTTCTGCGGCCGATATGTTGCGATACCCCAAGGGATCGCGCTGCCGTGCAATAGCGATGGCGTCCCCAAACGTCATTGCGACTTGCTGCAAGACACGGGGCACTGGTACATAGATCATGTCGATAGATCCAAACGGCCCGAGGTACGACGACAAGAGACGGTAGTTGAGCGTCCACGGAAATGGCGGCAACAGCTGCGCTTCGACAAGGGCATCTTGGAGCGACCCGTTGGCAAATGCAAAGTTGCTACTCATGCGGAGAAGACTCTTGCCGCCGAGAAGGGCCGATGTGTTGCCAACAAGACCCGTCAAGTCGTGCGCGAGTCCCCAATACATTTTCAACGACGTCTGACTCGAGAGACGGAAGTGCCCTACCGTTGACTGCAGCGTGAATGGGTAGGCGGCGCCATAGGCATTGACCACGTCGTACGAGTGTAAAAGACCGATGGACTTGTAGTTTTGCCACTGCAACACGTAGGACAATATGTTCTTTTGACGCCAGTAGAACGCTTCGTCAGCGACCGAGAGACGAGAGGGGGTGCGATCGACGCCAAGAACGCGATGCCGGCCGTGGAGCGTCGGAGCTCGGTCGCAAAGCCCACCTCGAACGCGTCGCCCCAGCACGCCCGCAGATCCACGTTGCGCAAGAGAGACGCGAGATAGACCGCTCCGTTCTGTGTCTTGGTCAAGCACCGTGCCTGGCGCGACCTCGAGTTGGCCATCTCCCACGTTCGATCCAAGTCGAGGTAGCAGTACGGCGTAAAGACCCAGGGCGCGTCGCACGGATGCAAGGACCGAAGACCGACGATGGCTTCGTCCAATGCGATGAGGCTTGTGTACTGGACACGCGCGCCTTGCTGGGGTGCAACGAGTATACTCGCTTTCGTGTCATTGTACATGCCAAGACCATTGATCGCGAGAGAGTTGGTGAGCGCAATCGAGTCGGTCCTCGCTGCATCAAGAAGGAGATGGTGCGGTGGCGACGCCATCCACTGAGCTAGAAACAGATGCGCGCCCGTCATATTGAAGCGCGGCCAAATGAGATCGTTGACAAACGTCCCTTGCGCAACATCGAGATACGCGGCACTGCTATAGATGGCCACGCTGACATAGATCGCACCAAAGAGGACCCAGAAACACGGCACCCAGTGTTTTGTCGACAGCTTGGTTCGCGGCCCCGGGGGGTGATGCACAAGGCGGTAGACGACGCTGCTCCCTGCGTAGTTTCCGGCTCGAGAGACGATGCATTGCGCGACGACGCAAGCACGCGCCATAGCTTGAGGTCAAAGGTGTAGTAGCTTTGCAATCGAAAGAGCCCCGATGCTACGCGACCGACACCGTCGAGCGCCGGGTTGCAGGCAAGGAACGCCCGCCCAACACCCGAGAGCAATCTGTCGGCTTCAACACGGTGCGATGATGCGTGCTTCGTCGTGACGCGACAATACAACCACAGCGGTACGAAAAGCACGCACGGAATCCATAGCAGGAGCACGAGGCGCTTTGGATCTCCTGTCTGCACGGTGACGCTGTGGCAGTGCAAATCGTACCCGCTGTCGCTACCTTGGCAGGCCGATCGATGGCTGCTACCACAGCGGTGGGCCAGCCCAGTTCCATGACACTAATGCCCAGGACCGCAAGACCAGTACTAGCGCTCCCAATGAAGAAGGCGCGGCCAGCATCGAGCGGAAGGAGCAACTCGTGGAGCACGTAGCTGATCCAGGTGGCCTCCCATGCTAACAAAAGCGTCTCGAGAACGCTTCGTCGTGGCAGCGCCAGCTGCATGAAAACGTCATGCGAACGTGTGACGTCAATGGGCGCGGAGCTGAGCAACAAGATCGCGCTCATGCCCCGTAGCAGCAACAACGGCCGCCCGAGCCACGTCGAGCCGGCGACACGGTTGAATGCAAACAAGTTTATGCTTGTGAGCGTATTGCGAGCATAGGTGGCCCAGAGGATGGTGACCACTGTCACTGCGCCAAGAAGCGCGCATGCGTAGACCAGCGCGTAGTAGACGCCAATGGTGGCCGTGCCGAGTGTTGCACCAGTGGACGTACTGGGCGTGACATCGTACGCGTCCGAGATGAGGACGAGCGTTAGGTCGTCGCCTTCAAACGAAACGACTTCGCGGCGGCCATGCACCCAGTCGAGAAGCAACGCCCAGCCGTAGAACGCAAAAGCCGTCTCGAGGAGGGGCTGGATGAGCAGGGTGTAGTTGCCGTCTACGTCCGACGCCAACTGTATGATGCTCACGTCGAGGTTGGCAACCGCGGCCGCGGCATCTCGAACATGGTGCGCATGAAGACTCGATAACTCCCAACCACGAAACGATTCGAGACGAGAAAGTACGGAAGAGCACGTCTCGGACGACTGCAGCGCACAGATGCTGTCAACAGTGTCGTTGACGAGTACGAGGGCTGCGATCATGGAGATTGGCGGCAACGAGATCGTCCATGGCGCTTGGACGACGCACCGGTCGTGCATAGAAAAGGGTGGCAAGAGATACGCTTGCGCTTTTCCATACGTGCAAAGCGGACTGCCCCCGTAAAAGACATAGGGACCGCTTGTCCAGGCTAGCGGCATCGGCGCGAGGCGCAGCGTCGGCAACGCATTGTACATCGCGGCCGTCGTGCTGTTGAGGGATCCGTAAATGCTAGCCGAGAGGATTGACACCAGCTCCACAACACTCGCTGGCGGTGGCACAACCCAGAGGTCGACCGAAAAGTACGGCCCCAGATAAGGAAGCGTCATATCGAGCTGGCTCGTGTCAAAGATGAACACAGCGTCGTTACCGGGCACCATGGGCAGGTAGCTGTAGCACGACCCGTTACCGTAGTAGTCAAGTGTGTCTCGGATGAGGCTGCAGGTGTAGACATCCACGAGGTCCATGAACCAGATGCGATGGAACGCACTCGACGTCCACGCGCCAATGTTGCGGGCAGTGCTTTTGAGCGTGAGCGGCGTCGCGACACCAAGTGCATTCATGATCGTCGCTGTCTCGACGACAGCGGGAAGTTGAGCGTTCTGCCATTCGTAGCAAAAGCGAGTGATGCCACATTGTCGCCACACGACGGCTTCGTCGGCGACCGTCGTGCGCACGCGAAGAAGCGAGTCGAGAAACGCGACACCACGCGCTGATGCCATGAGACCGCGTTCAATCGCATACCCATAGGCGCTGTCGTTCCCGCCAAAACGATCGAGGAAGGCGTTATAATCGGTGTTGCGCAAAATGGCCTCGAGGTACACGGCACCGTTGGCCGCATACCGATCGCGGCACCGCTGCTGACGCATTTCGGTATGCGCGAGCTCGAACGCTTGGTGCAGATCGACCCAGCAGTACGCCGTCGGAAGCCACGGAACGTTCGCGACCGACAAGTTGCGAAGACTTCCAATCGCAAACTCGAGTGTCGTGAGCTTGGCCGCGAGAAGAGACATGGCATACGTGGGGTGCACAGTGGCATCGACGAGGACACCTTCGTACCGTCCTTCAAGCGCGATTGAGCCGACATCAATGAGAGACCCGTCGGGCGCAGTCTCAAGGAAGGCGTTGAGTACATCGACGAAGAAGATGCGATACCCGCTGGTATTGTAAAAGGGCCAGATGAGGTCGTTGGCAAAACGGGGTTGCAACAAATAGAGGTAGTAGATGCTACCTGCTAGCGTCAAAGTCACCCAGAGTACACCGGCCATGAGCGATCGGTCAAGAAGATCGCGCGAGGGTCCGTCGACTTGAAGTGGTTGGACGCGCATGAATATCACTTGGCTCGTCGTGTTCCAATGTCTGAAGGGGACGCCGTTCTCAAACTGGCGTCACTCGCGAATTTACAGGCGTTTCGAGGGCCTCGATCCAACCGCCGTCGACGGTCAATAAAACAAGGGAATAAAACATTGGGAGGTTCTCTACCGAGCTATATAAAGGCATTGTTCGGCCGAAGCCAGCTGCCGAAGCCATGTACGTCAACTTCCCGACATCGCATGGCGAATTTAAAAAATAGCTGTCCGTTTCAGAAAATCCACGCATGACATTGATCAAGGATCATAAACCTCATGCCCATACAAATCTGCGGGGGATGACGCAGCTATTTCACATGGCTTGTTCGCTCAGGGAAAAAAGGGCGACGAGTGCCGCATAAATTGTGGGGACCTAACAAACGTGTTTAATAAAAGCGAAGAAGCGAAGATCGACTTTCAAAAGACGTCCCATCGCCCCGTCGTACCGTCGTCCATCGCCATGCCCTTCGAAAGTTGACCTTCTATCGCCCTTGATCGATAAAAATCGATAAAACCACTTGATTTTTGTATGTGAATGACGACCCATGCTTCAACGGACGCAAGCCAGGATGCAGTCCTCATTGGTCGTGGATGGCTGGAGAGGACGTTAGGGAAAGGGCGACTAGCTGGAAGCTGAGCTGAAAGATATATCTATCTCTTTTAAGGCATCACATACTGAGGACAGTAGTCCAGCTTTTGCGCGTTGCCATATCTTCTATCGGCGCCTCTTCAGTGCCCACGCTTAAGCTCGCCTGTTTATCTCTCTCCATCTTTCTGCTGTGCAGAGTAATTCAATACAACTGCCGACTTTCCGGCAGACGGCTCTCCATGCACACAGTGTTTGAGTTCCACTGCGGGCGTCACCACAAAGTTGACTTTGCAAGGCCAGCATTACCGCTGCACCTCAGGTGAGGCGTGGCGGGCTGCTTCGCGGAGATCGAAAACTAGAATGTAGGGTTTTGCCAAACAAAACTGCTCAAGCATGTTGGGAACACCATTTCACGTGCCATTACAGAGTTTGGTGTTTGTGCAGCCTCTCGCCGGCACCTTCGTGCTGACAGCTTTTTGGCGTTCGCGCTCGTCCCGGAGAGACTCCCACTGCTCGCGTTGGCCTTGGGCTTTCATTTGACCGACTGTGTGCGCCACGACGCAGTAGGAATGTGCGATCGCAACTAGGATAAGGCTGAAGCACGGGTAGCGCAGCCACGGAATCGTCAGCTCCGAAGCGTAGCTCGCGATGGACGCTGCGACAAAAGAGCTCTGCATGTGGCGAAACACGGCGTCCGAGTGGTCAAAATACGGTCGCCAAAGCCGCTTGATCTTCTCGGCGACGAAAATGTCGTCCGCGCCGCTGCTGTCAATGGCGCCGGCGCTTGGCCACCACCGAGTCGGTAGCAAGGCGAGACTCAGCACCGCTGCCGCATTGACCGTGAGCATGACGGGGCTCGCGGCCTCGAGAAACGCGTCCATGCCGTGCCGATTGTGTTTGCAAATAGATGGCGCCACATCCGGCGTGTCGAAAACCTCTCAAACATGATATGACGTGGCACACGGACACGCAGTCATCTACCCATCGTGTATCATTTTTGTGCCGGCCGATTGTGATGGAATCCTCACAAACAAAATATCCAACAAAGACGTCCCTTGCCATGTCGATGCGAATCGTCCTTCGCGGCGCAGCGGCCGCTGTAGTGTATTCCGCGCTTTGGCTGGACCATGCGCCACGCTGTCTCTTCTCGCCCAAGCGTATCGACACGGCATCCCACGCGGCGGTGTCGACCAAGAACGAGATTGACGAGATTGCCGAAGCGCACGATGATGCACTCATTCTCGCCAAGGCGCCACTGTCGTCTCTTGGTCCATTGCTTGGCCTCATGGCCTGCGTCTTCACTCTCGAGTTTGACGTGCCCGACGTTTTGGTTCCGTGCGTGGTGGTGGCCTTTCTCTACTGCGCGTTCAAGTATATTGTGACGGTCCGCAGTGAGTTGCTACTGCAGAACGAGCAGCGTCAGTGGAAGGACTGGCGCGAGCGCATGGTCGATCGCCTTGCCTGCAAGACGCACCACGCTGAGTAGTACGATGAGTTGATTTGTGTGACCGGGACGGCGCGACGTGTAGGATAAAACACATTTATAGCACACTACAAAACAAAATGCACGTATCAAATGGAAACCTTTACAGATCTTAGTTAGTCCAACGGACACGGCTTGTGTTGCGGACTTCTTCCCAGTGCTCAATGTCGTTTTGTGCTGCGTCGCGACCGAGTGCGTGCGTGAGAACCTTCCACGCGTGGAAAGCAACGATGGGATGCGTAGCCAGGCTCACGTAGGGCACCCATGGAATCGTGGACGACGATGCAACGGCCGCAAAAATGATAGCAAAACCCGTGCAGTAAATGTGACGGCAGTAGAGATCGAGGTGATAAAACGAGCGTCGCCAGCCACGCAGAATGGCGGCCTCGACCACCGTCTCGTCGCTGTCGCTGAGATCTTTGTTGGTCGCCGATGCTCTTGCGGGTACCTTGAAGCAGCGCGTGGCCAGGCACATGGCGGCTAGCATCACGGAGAACGCTCCACCGAAGACAACGACTTGGATTTGCGCGAGCACGTTGTTGTCCATACTTGCGCGCTTGAAAGGGAAAATGCGAGCTCAAGCAATGTACGTTGTCCGACAACGTACTGTACAATGTCACCTTAAATACATACTACAAGATAGCTTACATCGTACATCGTACCTCTTTGTAGACAGTACATGCCGACCGGTTGTAAACCTCCGACAACGCATAATTGCAGGACGATCGCCATTCGAGAGATGCCATCGTCGCGGCAAGTTGCTCTTGGCTGCATTGGCGCCGTCGTCTTGTACGCGTCCCAGTGGATCGACCGCGCGCCTCGCTGGCTCTACGCACCCAAGGCCATCGACGTGTCTGCCTACATCAACCTCGACCACCCGACGACGATTTCAGAGCTTGACGCCATCGTTACCAAGCACGACCTCGCGTTGCTGGGGGTCGCAGCACCAGGGACGCACCTCTTTTCCGGTGCTGGATTCATGGGTGTCGCCTACTACATAGATGACTTGCCGTCGCTGTTCCAATGGATCGCGCTGGTACTCTATGTTGCGCTCGTCTGTGCTTTTTAGCCACGTCGCGCTTGAACCTGCTCGTCGAAGACGAACGCACCCAGTGGAAGAGCTGGCAAATCATGCTGGTCGAGCGTCTCCCATCAAAGTGTGCTATGAACTAATATTGTCTCTTTTACGATCAATATTGTCATACGAGTCGTGCAATGCACCCCGATGAACGAGTGTGTGCACGGCCCATCTCAAGAAAAGATGCACGTAGCACTGTTCGACGAGACGATCAGCTCATCCCTAGTGTACCAAAGCACCAGTCTCACACGACACCGAAATGAAGTTCACAATTTGTATCATCCATTTCCAGTGCGTGTGCCGTTGTGGTGCAGATGCGGCCAGGCTCCATGATCTAGAAGTGCGATGGCGTGATAGCGACTTCTCAGCATCGAGGAATCTGTCATCGTACTGCTCGAGTTATACTCTATGACGTTTCGTTGGCGCCTCCATGAACCAGCCGACGAGTGCCCAGCGGTCGCGCTTGGTCGGGCGCGCCTCATGAATAAGCTTTTCGCTGTGAAACACCACGAGAGTGCCGCCGATCGGGTCGACGTGGACTGGCGGCGCGCCAGTCGGGTAGGCGCACAAGTTGCCGCCGTCCCGCGATGACTCCCAGTCGGGCGCGTTGAGGTAGAGCACCATGGACACGACGCGGTTGGGCTTGCCAGGAATGCGCTCTTGCTGGTCAATGTGCTTGCCGTAAAAGCCTTCGTCGTCGCCGGGGTAGTAGAGGTACTGCAGCTCCATCTCGTCGCCGAGCGGTGCCACGTTCGTGTTTAGCGTCGCATGGAGGTCCGAGATGAGGTCCATGACGCAGTCGCGCGCACCGACGTCGCCGACGTCGCGGGGCACTTTGGCTGCGTCGTCAAAGAGGCCGCAGCACTCGGACAGGCGCTTGGACCGCTTGACCTTTTGGCTCTCGCCGACGCGGCCCCCAATTGTGCTCTTGGTAAAGGCACCGGCCGCGCGCAGCGCAGTCGCATCCGCGCGCAATCGCTCGACGAGGTGCGGTGCGATCCACTGCGTGGTGACGCTAATGCCCCCGGCCGCAACCACATCCAGCGACGTGATGGGCGCCGACGACGGCCCCATCGGACGCTTGCGCTTCTTGGCTCGGCGCGATGGCTTCTTCTTGGTGGACGAGGCGTCGGCCGTAGCAGGTGCAGTCGACGGTGTCGGTGTCGGTGCAATGGTAGACGGCGAAGACGAGAGCTTGGTCTTCTTCTTGAGCTGCCGGCGCTCGGCGCGTGAGAGCACAGCCTCCACCATTTTGAGTTTGCACTTGCTTCTGGAGCCGACGCCGGATAATGGTTCATCCGGATGTGAGATTTAAAATCGGCATATGCCACGTACAAGCCCAATAACACTGCGCACGCACACAATCTATACCCTTGTCTCTGTAGGCAGTGCGTATGGAGAGGTCGATCCCGTTCTCGCCGAGTGAGAGCTCGCCCGAGGGTAATCCACACGATAGAAAACAAGAGTGTTGTTCGATTTCATCTCGCTCGTATATGGTGCAGGGTTGAGTTGATGACGCCGGCAAAAGACAACCCTAGCCATGAGAACGAGCGGAGGGTGTGAGTACTGTCCGTGGCGTAAACGGCCTTGCCGAACACGGCCACGTGAGCCCAGTTAGCGCCCGGAACGTCGACCACGTCGTATTGTCGGTCGAGCACGCAATCGTGGAGTCTGCTTTGTGAAGGCCCAGAGGTAGCCGCCACCCGCAGCCACTGGGATCATGGGCGCGGCGCCAGCCATCGATGTCCACATGGGCCCAAGCGAGCGGTAGAGCGACAAAAGCGACCCATTGGAAGAGCGCACCAGACGCATCGAGGCCATAGTCACCGCTCGCCACCATGCCCACCTTGCTGCCGTGGACAAAGATATTGAACCAGCTGCCCGTCTGTGCGCACCAAGGCGCTTCGACGCCGCCTAGCATTTAGAGCCATGGTGCCCCAGACGTAGGCAGCGGTCCCATCCCCTGCAACGGTCCCGATGACCGAAAGATCCACCCTTGCTGCTAGCCAGTTGTCGTGACGTGGGCGTTGCCACTGGAGACGACAGCGAACGTGTTGCCTGCCGCCAAGCCGCTCTGGACGTTGGTGTAGGTTGTCGTCCAGCTGGCTGGTGTCATTATTTCGAACGGTACCGTAAGCGCCCATGAGTCATCGTCTCGTGGCGGCAACTGCCACCTTGATCTGAAACGGCCATGGCTACGGCGGTCGCCGCCGCCAAGGCCAAGACCAAAGGCAAGCGGCTGCTTCAGGAAGTCTTGAATGCCCACGGCGACATTGAAACCTCCGAGGAAAAGGCATCGGCGCTCGCCAACTGGAACAAGCGCAAGACCCTCGCACAGGCCAGCGGCGGTTGGCAATGGCGGTCTGGCGACTCGCCGTATCTGCTGCCGCAGCACAAGATCGACCCGTCCAAGGTCGCGATCGAAGTCGCGAGCTTAGTACACATTGGAAAGGAAATGGACGCGTTCTTGGCCGCGGCGTCGCCATCGAGCAAAGCCAAGCCCCCGCCCCCGCCACCCCCCAAAGTCTGCAGCTGGAGGTACGTGATGCCTCGTTTCGACTTTCTTGTCATTGTATGATGTGTCTAGTCTCTTGCACAAAGGCAAGCTCTACGTTTGCTCCAACGTTCTTCGCACGGAACCTGAGCTCACGGGCCGCCGATGTCCATGGCATGCCCCGACCTGCCGCGCCCCAACGCACGACGGGCCATCGGCCAAAATCACCGTGCCCAACGACATGGCTCTCTGTCTTCCGTGCTATGCGGTAGCGCATGTCGGGCAACCCAAGCTGCAGCAGACACCAGTTGTCATTGACATTCTCCGACTGCCCGGCGTTCGCATCACGGACGCGCAGACCGTCGTCGATCAGTCGGCCAACGCCACGAATGCGGCTACAAAGGCGATTGGCGTCGTATATAGTGCCACGTCCCTCTGCACATGGCAAGGATTCTTTCCGGGCCAAAGCTCGCTCAAGCCGTTTGTTTGCAAAAACGCGGTGCTGCAACACCCCGTGTACCTCACGTATTTACCGCACTGTGGGTACCACACGCCCGTGTGTGTCTTTTCCAACACGCAGCGGCGAGGCACGTGCCCGGACCTCGTTCTCTTCAACCAACACGGTTTGTGCAAGAATCACTACGAAGCCTACTTGAGTTCGTAGGTGGTGCATTTTGCTTGATTTTTTTCTTATTTTTGATACTTGAAATCGTCAACTAGGTTGCCACCAAACGTGCGCGAGGCAGACGTTACCTTTACATCCCCCTTTGCTTGCCCGAATGTTGTCAACACCAACGACGTCGATCGACACAAGAAAAGACACCCGCTGGCCCCCCGAACGCGACCACCCCCGCATCGAGCCGCGGCGGCCCCCACCAGCTTTGGCGGCCCGCGATCTCTTTTACAACAACTCATTCCCGAGCCAATTCAAACGTTATGGTGGCAAGTCAATTTTCTACGCAAGGGCCCGCGCGTCGCGATAGCCTTGCAGCGCGTCTTTCGCGGCAACCGCGCCCGCCGCCGCGTCCATGCTCTCAAGATGGCACTAGCGTACGGTCTCCTAAGACAATCTGTCCATTTTTTTAAACACCGCTCCTTGTCTAGTGCGAAGAAACGTGTTGCGGCCTGCATTTTTCTCCAGACACTCTGGCGGCGGCGACAAGCCCAACGGCATGTCGAGCACTACCGACGGCTCTTCCTCGTCGGCACGCACTGCCTGCAGCGCCTCGTGCGGGGGTTCCTCGGACGCCGGCGGGCCAAGCATCTGCGCGCGCTCTCGGGCCTCTACTGGGCCATTGGCGTCACGATCATCGTGCACAAGGCCATTGCGACGCTTCGGGCTCGCGTCGACCTCCGTCGATGTCTCTCGTACACCTCGTTCATACCCGATTCCATGAATTGATTCTCGATGTATAGGGGCGATCTCTCGGCCGACGACTCGCTGGCCATCTATCTCTTTCGCCGGTGGCGCGCCGCCCGGGTCCTTGCGCGTGCCATGCGGAACTGGCGAGCCCGCCGCGCCCTTGCCAAGCTGCAAGCGCAAGCCAAATTTCAGGCATTCATGTCGGCCATCACGATACAACGGGCGTGGAAGCTGTACTTGCGCCGAAAGGAGCTCCAGCGACGCTACAGCGCCGCGCAGCGCCTGCAAGCCAGCATGCGAGGGTACCTTAGCCGGACGCTCTGGGCGGGGGACCCCGGTATCATTTTCCACGTTGCATTTACGAACCCAAAAACCGGCGTCGTCTATCGACACGATCGCGTGTTGCCACAGACCAATGCGTCGTACTCGGTACGATTCTTTTGAAGTAGGGGTAGGGTATCACCCACGAGGGGTAGGTACCCGCCCGACGCGCGCGGTACGATGTGGCAACCCGGACGCTGCAGCGACTCTATCGTGGCCTTTGCGGCCGGCTTCGCGCCAACGCCGCGTGGGTAGCCATGGAGAAGCGCTGGTTGTGGATCGATCCGATGCTCAAAGGCGGTACGCGCATCAATTCGGATCTGCCGACGACTTTTTTGCCATTTTAGACCACGAGGATCTCAAGCACAAGCTGCCGAGTGCGAGCTACCACACGGCCAAGGACTACCACATGCGCAAGATCTTTACGGGGCCAACGAGTCCGTTTGGCCATACCTACAAGGACATTGACGACCTGTATCGGGACATGCATGGCGAGCGCTGCGACGTTGTGCCACATATCACGTGCAAGCCACCGACGCCAATCGACCGCGGTCCGACAGAGGTATCGAACAAGCGGGGCGGCATCCGTGAGCTGCGGCTCGTCGCGCAGCCCCCCATAAGCTTTCACGCGTCGCCCAAAGGGCTATCGATCGACATGGCCCTCTACCCCGTGGGCACACTCGTGCACGTGCGCATGGGGCGGAAGCGACAAATGCAAGTGACGTCGCACGCGGGCCGCATCCGAAAGCAGCACCCAGCGCACGGCACCGTTGACATCGACTACCTTCCGGTACACCCTCCTCCAACAAATGCGTGCGAATCAGCCGCGCGTAGGGGCTGGTATCGCTGCGGGGTATTGCCATCACTGAAGAAAAGAACGTGGCGATCCAACGGCTCTCGATTGTTTTTCAAACACCCTCACCGGCGGCACCACGTTTGGTAGACCAAGCCGCCGCGGCGCTGGCGGCACTACATGCCATCGACGTGACGCGACCGGCGACCGTCGACGACGAGGCTTCGCTGCAGGTTCCAGACAAAGCACGCTCGCTCGCTGCCGCCTACCACGAGCTCGTGGTGACGCTGCGGCGTCAGCATACCCATTTGTTTGCTGACGACGCGGCGTTCATCGACTATGTGTTTCACCACCACGACTTGCTTTCGCGCTACTGGCTTCGGCTCGTGCACGATATTAAGGAAGGCGTCAACACCGACCCGCGCGTTGCGCCGTCCCCCACGGGCCTCGATGTACATCTCGTTAGACGCGTGCAGGTAGACGGTATTGACGGTATAGGGATTCATTGAACCGCTGCCGGCCGTCGCAGCGACGCTACAACGTCGACTGGAGCAACTCGGGTACCCCTCGGATCCGAGCGCGAACGGTGCTCCGCCGCGCCCCGAGGTTTTCCCTTTGCGCTTCATTCCCGCGTTGCGTCAATGGTATGTAGGTGACGCCGCCGACGTCACACGTCTCGATCCAAACGTCCGTGGATGACATGCATATTCTCTTTCACCAAGGTAGCATGCGACTTCCCTCTCGGCGATGTGCAATATTGTCGTATGTGTAGAGTCGACGACGACGCCGCCTTGCTCCAAAGACGACACCGAGGTGACACCCGACACCCTCTCGCTCGCCGATATTCACAAGCTCGTGTACCACCTCAAAGTACCTTGCTATCCCATTCTTCTTGCAAGGTTGAGTGGAATCTGGATAGTCCTTGCCGCGGCAACCTGCGCTCGATACCATTCTCAAAGTGACGACCCGAAACACTCGAACGTTTGTATGCAGCCACCCGCGTGCGGTCGCTGCTTCTCGTACGATCCCTTTACTCTACGAGAAATGTGATGCCAAGTGGTGATATTCAGCACCAACGAAGGGGCCAAGAGCCACCAACACGTCCACGCCAACAAGGTGCGCCTCGTCGCCGGCGATCCGCTCGTGGATCAGGTACGAACGTTCACAAGCGACGTCGCGTATCTCGTCCTTTTTCTAGTACATGGTCAAGCATTGGCCCCCCGAGAGTCCGTGGCGCGACGACAACTACACGTTTATGCAGAGTACGTCGCATCGGTCTACAACCTTCAACTCAATATTGTCTTGTAGGTAAAACCGGCTACTTCAAGTGTCCGCACTGTGACAAGGAATACCGCACCAAGCGCGAACTCTACCAGTTGCCTTCTCAAATATATATTTTGGTGGAGGTGTATGCAACCTGTCTTTGGACTAGGCACGCCAGCGATGCGCACGGCCGGGAAGCGGCCACCGACCGACAAAGCCAGAAAACAAACAGCTCATTTGGCTCGGGACGGGCGACCGCATCGAAGACCTCTCTCTTTTGTTTCCTCCTCTCTATCGGGGGCACCAGGCGCCATGTACAACTTGTCATAGCATGGTACCCAGAGTCTTTCGAGTACTATAGCCCACTGTGAGTGCCGTAGCTGCTGCGCCCGACCGCGCGCTGTCGACGCTACCCGTCCCTGAGCGTTCTTTCCAAGGACGCCGACGCCATCATCTTTACGACGGCCTACCCGACGTTCGCCCCCGAGATTCAGCTCACGTGCGCCGACTGCGGACAGCTCAGTAACCAAGACTCGATGCCAAAGCTGCGGCGGTACTTGCACCTCGAAGCACTGGTGCGCGACACGAACCAAGACGATTGGATGATTGGATACCTCTATCGGCCGCCACCCGTGGCGGCGTCGGCGCAAGAGGCCTTGATCTGGGGCTACGACTACCGCAACGAGCTGCTCTTGGACAAAAGCCGCGTCCTTTGCGTCCGCGCGACCCAGTGCGTCGGGTACGGCATGGTGTACATGTGCTCGCGCACGTACTTTCACCGCTTCCATCGGGGCACGTCGACCCACATGGAAAAATTCTGCCGTCCGCTGCGCCAAACGTCAACGACACCAGGTGCCAAACGACTCTCCGTGCTCCTGCGCGAGACGCCGCCGCATGTGGAGACTGGGGAGCGCGCGCGAACGTCGGCGGCGGCCCTGTAACTCGTTCAATCAAGCAGCGTCGAGACTTGTCACGTGCAGAGGTCGACGGCTTTACGGACTCTGACGCTACAGGATGGACAAGTAGATGCAGGCCGTGCTATCACCACGAGGGTTGAGAGAATTTGCTACGGGGTTAGGGTACCATCGAACGACGCGTGTTGGAGACCAAGTAGCTTCTTGCGCTGCGATCCTTCGCAGCAGTCGAGTGAATTGTGGCATCGAAACTACTCCATGGTCGCACGCCTGGCCCCATTGACGACTCAAGAGGGACCCTTGGTCCATGGCGCGCGTCACGCTGCACCTGACACGCACAGTGTCCTAAGATCGGATGCGCTGAACCCTCGTCTCCTTTATCTCTTGGTCGTCGAGCCCTTGTGGTGGTCCATTTCCATTTCCACCCACGCACAACGCACACAAAAGCTAGTATATTCCACGACAGTATTGCAACGACCATGTGTCTACCGCCGGATCATGCGGTCTACAATCATCATGTAGCCTTTGCCGGCAATGAAGTGGCGGAACGGCCCTTCCTCGAGGGCGCGAAGCACGTCGTGCTGGACGCGATAAAAGAGGTGGGGCGACGGGTAGTTCTCGAGCAAGTTGTTCGTCTCCGTGTCCATCGCGATGCTCAGCCGGCGATTCTTTTGGCTTTCGTGGAACGCGGTCCGGCACACGTCCATGTCGACATCGCTGAGCTCGGCGCCGGCCTTCTGCGACGCCTACTTCAAAAGCTCAATACTCGAATCGGGCGGACGGCAACCGCACCGGCAGGTACTGGAGCAAGATCGTCTTGACGTGTTCCCACTCGTCCCGCGCCGTCGACCGCAGCGTCGGGTTGGTCACGGACGGATTGATGTGGTGTTGATAGCGCGTGATGCCGTTGTGGCGAAATGCTTCGCACTCGGTCCACGTGTCGAGGAGGACCGTCTTGGCCGCCAAGTGCTGGACCATGTAATCGCGAAAGAGCTTGCGAAGGACGGGGTTGCTTAAGATCCCCGTGACCGCGAATGGTGTCGCTGTGTTTTGAAGCTCGCACGTCGTGACCGTCTATGGGGTACGTTGCATATTGTCGTTCATTGCGCAGACAGATTGTACCTCGTCGACAATGATGATTTCGGCCTTGGAGAGCGCTTGGTTCTCGCTGCAGAGACGGATTTCCCGGTGAAGCGCGTGGATCCAGCCGACCATGAGGTCGTCGCTGGCGGCGCATAGCTACATAGGGCACCGTTACATGATGGGAATCGCTGGAAAGGAAGACGAGAACGTACGCGGTAGACGCGGCGTGACGTGTGGAGTTCGAAACAGTGCGGGATTTGCTACACAAGACAATATTGTACACGTAATATCATCGATACAATGAAAGGGTACCACGTCGGCCTTGACGATGCACGAGTTGAGAAGCGGAATGGCGGTAATGTCGCGTTGGTTCATTTCCGATTTGCAGTAAAAGAGCTTGTCTTCCTATGTGCGAATATTCTCCTTTTCAAAACCCAAATTATGTGAATGCGACTTTGGTACCTTGAGGACAAACCAGCGCGTGCGCCAGACATTGGCGTCCTTGAGACTCGCCTTCTTGAGCGTACCCGATCGAATTCCCTAAATTCACATTAAAGATTGAATTCGGGGTGGGACGCGCTTCTGTCGTTATCGCCCTGGTCATACCTGGCCGAGCTTTTGGGGAAACGCAAAAACAGTATCTTGCGAGTTGGTGTTGCTCGTACGCGGCTCCAAGTCTGCGTCCAAGTCGATCGGCTTGGCGCGCGTGTCCTATCGCAAAATATCTCTTTCAATTCGGGAATTCTTGGCTAGAATAGTACGACCTTGAAGACAAATTTGAGCGTTTGGCGGGCGCGGTGACGAGGCTTGACGCGCACGGGGCCCATGTGATCGAGCGAGATCTCGGGCAGCGACTGTCTCTCGGCGTGGAATTGCTCCTGGGCCTGCAAGATGGACTCTTCGTCCTGCAGCGTTCGCGCCGACATGGACGAGCCTACGCAGCAACGATTGCGTCCGTGGCAGCCCTCGCGGCAGACAGACGCCCACCCTTGCCGCTGGCAAAGACCATGAGGATCGCGTAGTACTCGAGCTGCTTGCGCGAGACATGGAGCTTGGTGGCCATGGTTTGGCGGACCTAGGTGCCAACATGGATAAGGCGCCGACGACGAAGAGGCGCCAGCGTACATCGCGCACGAGCGTCTGCTCTTCGACGCGGAGCACGGTCGAGGATGTAAAGTTGTCGCTCTCAAAGTAGATGCGCACAAAGCCTCGGCGGACAGGCGACGGCGCGCCGAGCTTGGCGTCGTCAAGGCTGAGGCCCACGCCGCCATTCGCGTCGTCTATCCCACAGAAGACAATTCGAGGATCAGGAGGGGCATGCTGCAGGTGGGCTGGCGTACGCTGCTTGCGCAGGAGGCGGTCGTGGTCCTCCTCGTCGTCCGTGTCGAGGCTCTCATAGACAGCGACGTCGGCTTCCTTCTTGGCCATCATCTGCATCGTCGGTCGGTCGAGCGATGCGTCCGTCGCCGCTGGTCGCGCGAACACCCAAAAATGAACTTGGTGTTTCTGTCTTGCTTCGAGCGCGCGGGGATTGGCCGAAATCCTTGGCTTTTGGAACTTCGAACTTCGGGTAGCACCCAACCCCAATCGTGCCATACAAAAGCAAGGTAAAGACCGCGTAAGTGCGTTTCCAACGCCACACGGTTTGTGATTGGTCGCTGAAAATAAAAACATCCGCTGCGATGCCCATACAAATCATGAGATATAAAATAAAGTAAATTCCACTGGGCAATAGAAGGGTCAAGTGGGAACGACACCGCGGCCTCATAGACGCAACTCGTACGTCATTTCCACGTGCACATTATTGTCTAGCATACCTCGAGCACCCTTTTCAACGGTCCGATCGCCTTGACGTAATTATTTAATGAAATTATTTTTTGCGAAATGCAACCGCTGCTGGCCTCATCAACGTTTGCGCGCCGGTTCTGTCGATCTATACCCCGTCAAGGATCGAAAGCAGACGCAACATCCTCCCATCTAGTTCTAGCGTCGCTCCAAGCGAGATCCCTCACACGACTGATAGGATTATCATTCTAACACCACGTGGCCTCTTCTAGTCTTGGTGTGCTCTTCTCGTCTTGGTGTGGCGATGACGTGGCGGGCTCCAGAGGGTTCCACTCAAACACGTCTTCGCGCGGCACGAGAAGCGCATCGAGGTGCATGGCTGCGACGCAAGGTCGCTGCGACGCGACAAAGTCGGTCACGTCCACGATGCCATCGACCATCGTCGATGAGAACGCGAGCAGCGCGTCGCCGCGGAGGCCAATCTGCAGCGCGCGGCGTCCGAGGTGGCGGCTTCCGTCGGGCACGTGGTCCGGGTCCCACTGCAAGCGAATGTTGGAGCTTTGGATGCGCTGTGTCCACTCGTCCCGGGTCACGGCGCCATCGTCGCACGCGCTGAGCACGCCGTCCGTAATCAGCTGGTTGAACGCAGCGCGATGCACGTAGAGGGCCAGAATGCGTTCCTGGTTGCGCGCTGTCGCCCACTTGGACCGAAACATCATCCAGAGAAAGTTGGGCTTGATCCACGTCATGCGCTGGAGGCTGTAGCCGGCGGCAACGACGCTTGGCGCATGCAGACACTGCGCCGCCACGATGGCCGTCGCGAGTGTGGGATTGTACGCCTGGTACACGACGACGTGCGACGGCGTCTGGTGAGCCAGCACCACGCGGCCCGTCGACGGCCAGCGCGCCTCGGCGTCCAGATATGTTTCGTACGTCATCGGCTCCATTTCGTCCCGCAGCACGAGTCGCGATGTGCCAAAACAGCCATCACCGGCGACAGACCATCACTCAGTCGTCCAACGACGTACACTCGCCGTGCCCGCTTCTGTGCCAGGGCGGATCCGCATCGCGAGTCGTCCTTGTCGCTGTGGACTCTACAGTAGCGTCTGCACAAGAACAGACACTGTGTCCATTGCACCGAGGACGACAGGTGTTCGACCAATGGCCGCGCGCTACGGAGCTTCGACGCTTTTGTCGAAAAAAGGACGTAATACAGCGGGCGCAAGTGTACTTTACAAGAAGACGGTTGCGATGGACCGGTGGCTCGACTACGGACTGCAAGGTGCGACGGCTGCCGCTCTACTGCTGCTGCTCCTGCGCCACATGATGCATGCGCTTTCCCACAGGGTCTGTCGACACGTCAACGCGTGGGAGCTGCCGCTCTTTGTCTCGTTCTTGCAGCTGACCGCTGGCCTCGCGACGCTTGGCCCGCCCCTCGCGCATCGCTCGAGCCTCGATGGCTTTGTCTGGGTCTTCTTGCTGCTGCCATCACCGTCATCGTCATCGTCGACATCACCGACCGTGCGTACCGGCCTGCTCGGCTTGGCGGCGCGCCACGGGTATGCGAGCGAGACCGTCCTCTCGAGCGTGACGGTCCACGCCGCCTGTCTGCTCGCGCCGCTTCTGATTGCGCTGGTCGTGGCCACAGCGCTGTACCTCTGGCCCTGCGGCCACGTCAACATGGCCGTCACGCCGACGCTGCCCGAGCGCTGCCGGGCGGTCGCGCTCCGGCTTCTCGGCACGTTCTTTCTCGCGCTGCACTTTCTGCTCTTGCCGATGGTTGTCGTGACGCTCTCGATACTCCAAGGAGGTCGTCGAGGTCGTCGCGCGGGGCAGCTGCTCATCGTTGCCGCGATGGCGGCGATGGCCACCTGCCTCGTCCTCCTCGTTGCTGTCGCCGTCGAGCACATCCATCGTCGCTGCCGCTCCGTGTTTCGGAGCTTTCACGCGCCGTATCTCCGGGATGCCACGTGGTTTCCAGCGATCGACGCGATCACGCACGTCCTCGTTGGCGCGAGTCTCAGTCTGCCTCCCGACGACCTCGTGCTGCAGCTCGCGCTGCTCGGTACGGTCCACGCCACATACCTCGTCCTGGTTGTCGTCATTGCGCCCTTTGCGACGCGCTCAAGCGTGCGCTGTGCGATCGCGGCCAAGCTCGTGCAGCTCGGCTGCCTTGGGCTCCGCGCTAGCATGGTGTTTGCACCAGAGACCGCGCCGGCCTTGCATGCGACCTTGCTGGGCGTGCTTGGCAGCGTCCTTATCAGCACTCTCCTATGGCAACTGGAAGCGCTCCGGCGACGGTGGTGTAGCGACGATTGCAACAGCGACGACCGTCTCGAGACGTCGCCGCGACTACCCCCCGCGGTCTTTACGCACCGCGCGTTCACGCCGACGCGAGGGCACTCGATTGGGTCGTACGGGGCGAGTCCCAACGACCTCGTGTTTCTCCGGCTCATGTCGCCGCCACCCCGCCGCCCGAGCATGTTTATTTAACGATCGATGCAACAAGCATGGATGCATTACGATATGGCATAGAGCTAGCCTTGGGCCCGGATCGTCTCGGGGCCGCCCGTGTTCTTGAGCTGCACGAGGAGGCTGCGCATGCGCGTCGTGTCAAAGAGGTCGACGTCGTCCTTCTTCTTCCTACAATATCGAGATCTATCGCATCGTTGTATCAAGTTGATAGTTACTTTTCGGCGTCCGTCTTGATCTTGACCGGGGCCGACATGTCGACGAGGTCCGTCACGCGGTTCCACGGCTGCTCGGCCGACGCGGCCGCGAGCGCCGCTTGCGTCTGCTTCTTTTGCTCTTCGTGCTCGCTACATCCATCATCTTGGTACTCCATGTGCAGCGAGTGGTCGGACGATACCGGTTGGTCGCCGCGCGGTGGGCCAGCTTGTCGGTACGGTCCCCATAGTACTTGTCCAGATCCTACGTCTTCCTGAGTCGCAAGCAGCAAGAGCACAGAGGTAGATGTACCTCTTCGGCCTTGGCGCGGACTTCCTTGATGAGTGCTTCTTCCTTCACGCGCTTCTCTTCGACGTCGGCGGCCGCCTTTTGCTCCAGCTCATCCAGCATCGGCCAGCTCTGCTGCGGGTCGGGCATCGATGTGAAGCCGCCGTCCTTGGGTTGCGACGTGTAGGCGGCCGCCTTGGGCTGCGACGAGTACGCCTCTGCTTTGGGCTGCGACGTGTAGGCGGCCGCCTTGGGCTGCGACGAATAGGCTTCGGCCTTGGGCTGCGACGAGTAGCCGCCGGGCTTCGACGAGTAGCCTTCGACCGGCACCGGCTGCGACTCGATCGGCGCGGGCGGCGGGTCGTTGAACGTACTGCTCGGCGGCGACGGCGCTTCGTCGTAAAACTGCGCATTGTCGTCCGACGACGGCACGAAGCCGTCGACGCTCTCATCGTTGTGCGCGACGGCCTCCATGTGCGCTTGCGCATCTTGCTACAATATACGCCCATGAGCCTTGGCCATGCGTGTGCCATGCAGTACCTGGGATGTGTCGATCGAGAACGATTGCAGCGACGGGTCCTCGACGTGTGTGATCGGCGTCGCGTTCGCGGGCACGGGGTTCTCGCACGGCCCAAAGGCCTCGGCGTCGGCCACGAGCTGCTCGAGCGGAATCACCCACGGCTCGACCGCGTCCGTGACGAGGCGCCAGTTCTCGCCCGTCTTGTCCGGGTCGTTGAAGTCGTACACGTTGGCCCAGTGGTTGTTCTCGGGCTCGAGATTCGCGGCCGCAAAGTGGCTCCGGAGCCCATGGTACGCGCCGTTGAAGGGCGCAAACACCATTTGGTTGGACGTCTCGATGATCGGGTCCGTGAGCGCGTACAGAAAGAGATGGCACTGCGAGCAGTCGCGCGTCCTCAGCTGCTTGCTATGCCACATTGCTATGAGAGCGAGCGATCGGTGCGCGATTCACGTACCACGCCACGGTAAAGACGCAGTTGGTGCAATTGCGCACAAAGACCGACTCGGACGACGGGCCTATCGATGGCATGCATGGGCCTCAAGCGCATGGGACGCCATGCCCACCGATAAAGACGCGGCAGTTGACGAGGTTGTCGATCTGCACTTGGTCGCAGTGGTCGAGCAGCAGCACTTGGCAGCCTTCGAGGTCCGCCATGTCGAACGGTTGCCTACGCGCACGCACGTCTGGGCATGGCCGTGCAGGTCGTCGTACCCGGCGATCTGCCCCGGCAGCTTCATCAAGGTCTCGTCCTTCTTGCCCTTGAAGGTGAAGTTGGTCGCAAACTCGTACTTGCGCCACTCGTCGCGGTCCTCGAACTCGGTCCCATCGGTCGCGGTAAACTACGCGGCCGCGTTTAACGCATGACGTTTTATGCCGCGCGGCGTCTTACCGGCGATTCTCCAAATGGCGTCCGGTGGCCAAAATGCCCGCACGAAACGGCCAAATCCTGGGGTCAACGGCTCGCGTCCGGATACGGTATCCGGTATTCTTATCCGGATGCATAACGGCCCGATAGATCTTACTAGTAGAGCGTAGTGCAGCATCGATCGACGCGAGCCGCCGCTGGCAGCTCGACCTGCAGCTCGGAGCTAAAGGGCTACCGTGTACAAGACAATAGCCCATGCAAGCACACCCTCCACGACCCCAGCGCATTCGCGCGGAAGAGAAGCAAGGCGTTTCTGTCCGGATACGCCGTCCGAAGAAAGGTATCCGGAAGATGCGCTATTGATAGAGTTGCGTGGCAGCATCTCGTTCGAGAACAAGTTGCTTATCAAGCAAGTATGGGCCCGAAAGCCAAGAGTAAGAAGAAGGAGCCCGAGCCGAGCGACAATGGCGTGACACGGCCGATGCTCGTGGCCAACTACGTCAAGATGTGCCGATCGATTGGCGTGCCCGCGAACCCGTCCATGTCGGAGGCCCTCAAAGGCAAGGGCGACGAGGCCGAAGAGCGCTTGACGCAGGTACACGCCGTGCAACCTGCGGTCCTATGATATATGCTCCGTAGCTCATTGTCGACGATGAGTTTGGTCCGCTCGGCAGCGGCGGTGTCCGCGCCATGGCCTGCGCCGTTCTGATATCCTTTCCACGATGCGTGCTGTCTCGGATTCGAAGCGATGCTAGCATCCTTGACACGCTCTGTACGGTGCCGTGCCCCATAGTATCACGGCAGCGTACATGCACCTCTCGACGATCCGCATCTGGAACAACCCGATCGGGGACGAAGGCGCGTCTGCCATCGTACGCGTCACCCTCGTTCCGCGACCCATGACACGCGCCGTCGTTCTTGAATAGGCATCCATCCTCTGCGAAGGCAATGGTCTCGTTAACGTCGTGTACGTCGAGCTCATGGACTGCAGCATTGGCGTCGAGGGGTATGCACTCGATATGTCTGCATCCACGTCGGTCACAGCGTGCATACAGCTGCAAGATGCTCTCGGAAGCGCTCTACTCGAACAAAAATCGCCGCTCCAAACACTCAAGTTGAACTGCAACAATGGCATTGGTGACGCCGGGGTCTTTGAGCTGTGCCAAGGTCTCTTCACCAACACCACGCTCAAGGTATCGTCGTCTTCTTTTACAATGTCGTTGCACGAATGGGTCTAGCAACTCCACTTGGAGTTTTGCAGCATCACGAAAGAAGGCACGGTCGTCTTGGCGCAGCTCGTGAGCATGGCCAAGAGCAGCCTCCACTCGCTGAGCCTCCAAGGCAACACGATCGGCGACGAAGGACTCTTGAACCTCTCGCTGGGACTCAAGCGCGCGCGGTCGCTCACGAAACTCAATCTCTCGGACAATGCAATCCGAAAGGCATGGAATCTTGTTTGGTATTGTGTAGTACAATATTGTCGTTGGGTAGGACCCCGAAGCTCTTACGGCATTCAAGGACGCGATCGAGCACTGCAAGACGCTCACCAATATCTATTTCTCGTTCAACTTGATTGACGTCGAGGGTGCCGAGATCCTCTTGCCACTGATGGAGCAGGTTGGACTCGATGCCGATCAAAATAGGACGCGAATGCGATTAGGACGAGGGGCGCATCAAGGCCTTTGAAGTGGACCCGTCGCTACCACCCGAGATCTTCAAGAAGCTCAATCGAAGCGAGAAGGGCGAGGGGAAGAAGAAGAAGGGCAAGAAAAAGGGCAAGAAAAAGTAGCAAACCGACCAAATATTGTCCGAAAGATTGCATTTATGAGCTAATACCATGTTGGTCTAAAGCTAAAGAGAGGGACACACGTCTAGGAGGTTCGAAACCAGACTCCTGGTGCGGTGCACGACATTGGCGCGGATTTGCTACAGCAACGAGTCGGTAGAGACCGTCGCCGAAACTCAAATTTATTTCTTATAAAATTGACGCGTTCCAACAGCCAGATTCACACCTTGAGGGGCAAGAGAGGGGTGCAGGCTGGGTGGTGTTTGTAATACTGTCCTCCTGGGTCGAACCAGATCCGAGAAGTGGCGAGCGATGACCAGGAAAGCCAGCGGCTATGTCTTTTCTGCCCGACCGCTCTTCGTACCACGTACGCACATACATACATGTATCCTCCTGGACGCTTGCTGCCTTGAAAGTAGGATATGGATACTTGTAGACAGGCAACGTCGAGTCGCCAATGCAGTCACTCGTTGTCGGCCAGACACGTCATTTCTATGCAAGGATCGACGAGCGCTTTTCTTCATGCTAGTATCAAGAGGGGAGCGCGTCGAGCTTACACAATCAGATAGTACGAGTACTATGCTTCAAGCCCATTTCGTACATTGCATTTCGTCGCGGACGCGCCATTTGTGACGAAAAGATCCAGTTTCGTCAACACAGAGCGTCTACAAGCACGCAACTTGCACTTGGCGAAACACACAATCTATAGTCGCGGGAATCAACAGTGCGCTCACCATTTGCCCGCATCGTACCACGACGGGCCATCGGCTACCACCGCGCCGCGGTTCGTCTGTAAAAGCGAGCTATCTTCTAATGCTCGAGTAGAAGTGCCAACGCTATCAACGCCATCAGCGGCAGCCTTCCGATTGCATGCACCAGTTTATTCGCTACATCGAGCCAATGCCGACGCCTCGTCGCCCACAATCATGTTCTTCATCGTTGGCACGTGGCCGGAACGCACCACAATTGCAACACCAAGAGTCATTACGAAACGATCTAAAACATACAGTGTAGCAGCCAAAACGACCGAGCAGACGGGGTCGATAGCCGTCCTTGACAACGTTGGATTGCTGGCCTGTCGACGCATGGAATACGCTACGTTCCGGATCGTCGTTGAGCGTGATCAGGCGTCCGCGTCATGCTGCCGAGAGGTGCGTTCGTCCCACCGCACGTGGTTGCGAACCCAGTGTTTCGTCAAAGCGGCGACGGTGGCGTGCGTTTAGCCATGACCAAGAGGCAGCTTCGGCCGCCGTTTCGGCCAATCACAAGGCCGCCATCACCTACATTCATATGTCGTTTGGACTCGGAGTGAAGGTTCAATATTTACAAGCCAGCGAAGAGATGGACGGGCTGGACATCCTCGAGGACGGTGTCATCACTTTCTACTGCTTCTCGCCGCGCAGCATGTACGAGAGCTGCGACCTGCCGCTGCCGTCGCCGCCGCCGCCGCCGCTCAAGCCGACGCCGCCCGGCTTCCTCCACTCGTCCCGGCTCGTCGACGCGATGGAGTCGCTCGACTCGACGTCGGGTGGTATGGTGCGCAAGGTGCTCCTCAAGCTCAAGGAGCGGTCCGTTGAGCCGTTTCCGCTCGACGACTGGCTCTACTTCTGCGAGCACTGCGCCAAGTACACAACGCACACGACGGCAAATCACATTTGCCACCACTGCCACGCCATGGACTCGCACAAGAGCGAGGCGTGCCCCAAAGTCCGCGACCGCTTTTGCTCGTTCTGCGCCTCGATGGCGACACGGGCGCCGTCCGCACACAGCAGCGCCGACCACCTCTGCTTTCAGTGCCACGCGCGCGGGCAACACCTCACGTGCCTCTTGCCGCAGGCGCCGACAAGGGCCTTTACGCAAGCCTCGTCGTGGTTCCATCGGGCGCCGTTCTGCTCCTTTTGCGACAAAACCGCGTCCCACGATACGTACATGCACGTCTGTCGGCTTTGCAAGCAAGTCGGCGACCACCGATCCGCCGACTGCCCGAGCGCGCGGGAGCCGTGTGCGTTCTGCACCGCCACCTCCCACGCGACATCCGAGCACGTCTGCCACCACTGCAAGCAAGTCGGGGACCACCGCGGTCTGCACTGTACGACGCATAGCACGCCCGGCTTTTTCCCAAAGAAGCTCACCGACATGGAAGCCAAGCTCCGATGGACCTTGGCCAGCATGGGCCTCTGGAGCGGCGGGTCGCAAACGCCGCTGACGACGCCGCGTCACTTGTCGCACCCGTCGCCGCACGCCGAGCCGTCGACGCTGAGCGCGACGACGTACGTGCTGTCGTACATGGAAGGCAAGTCGATCGTACCGGCCCGCGTCCTCAAGTACATGCGGCTCCTCATGCACCACGATGTGCCGACGAATGCCTTTGACGTGGTGGTGCGCATTGACATTTGGGAAATGAAGCGGCCGGGGATGGTGAGCCCGCAGTCGTTCCCAGCGACGCCTCGGCTTCGCTCGCAGCACCACACGCGCATGAACGCGTACACGGAGAGCGTCTTGAAAGGCGCTCGCGTCAAGCTGGAAGGGCTCATTCGCCAACAGTACGGCGATGCCGCCATTCGGTGACCAGACTCTGCGTTGCCTTGTACTAGTATATTAAGACGATCAACTTACTACAATCCAACTTTAATGTATCAACGCAGCCAACGGCATGGACGCGACATGTGGTTGTCCAACCAGAGGGGCAGGCGCGGTGGCTCTTTAATGAATAGAGAAAAACAGCCCCGGTGTCCCTTCACCAACGAATTCCTTCATGGAGCAGGGAGCCCTATCCACATTTCATGTTTCGCTTGCTCGTGTGTCAAAGGCCTTGAATGGCGTTTGGCTGCAGTGCTGGTAGGGGTAGGGCTCTCAGCGCCGTGGTTCCGATCCAACGGCGAGGTAGGAGCAGATCGGTCCTGCGTTGCAAGGGTCGAGGCAGCGAGAGTGCTTCAATGATCGCATATTCCCATAGACCAGTGATCGAGACACCACACGCTCCGCTTGGTCGACGACTGCGCCACCTTTCCGAGTCGCTTGGCGACGACTGCGGTCTACGCTCCACCTGGAGTGTCATGTGTTCCACGTTGGCAACAGTTGGCCGAGAAAATTGCACGCCAAACGCTACATTGTGCGATTACCGGTGCGAAAAAAAGGAATTAGGAGATAAGCTCTACTATAAAACAACTCTAGTCGGTCGTCGCGCACGAGTCCACGACCCGCTGCAACTTGGCGATTTGCGTCATAAAGTACTGGCCCGTGCGCTGCTCGCGCTTCTGTTCGTCGACCTTGACGAGGCCGTCGGCCACGTAAAAGTGCACGTCCGACTGGAGCGACTCGGCGTGGAGCTTGAACGCCATGATCTCGGCGAGGACCGACGCTTCCGAGACGCCGCGGAAGCGCGCGAGCTTGGCCACGTCCAGGGACCGGTACAGCTTGACGTACGAGCGGAGCGACGGCAGCGCCGCGTGGCGCTCGACCAGTGCCAGAAAGAGCTTGAGCTGGAGCGCGGTGGCCTCCTTGGACACATCCTCCGACTCGGCCGTCACGCTCGGCAAAATGAACTTGGGCGCCGAGAACGAAAAGACATCCGAAAGCACGACAAGGTCCCTACGCACCACTGTAAGCTTTCCTGTCAACGGGCTTGGTACCCTACCCCTTCTGAATCGCAGCCTGCTTGTCAGAGAGCTTCTCGCGGAGGAGCGCGTGGATCTGGTCTTCGACCGTAAAGCCCGGGCAGAGGTGCGCCGCAAGCATGAGCAAGGCGAGGGCCTTCTCCGTGAGCTTGTTGACTTGGTCATAGTCGGCAAACTTGGAGTAGTACGACCGGTTGCGGTGGACCTGGAGGATGATCTTGGCAAACGACTTGATCGACGCGGCGACGTCACCGAGCATGAGCTGGGCAAAGCCCATGTGGTAGTAGACCGAGACGTTGCAGCTGTAGCTCTTTTGGTGGAGCTGGTCGCGCTTGGAAAAGTCGATCGGCTTGAGGATCGCGAGCGCGGTAAAGTAATCGCCAAAGAGGACGTGGGCGCGCGAGAGGCAGATGAGTGCAAAGTAGCCGAGCTCCTTGACCGACTCGTTCGGAACCCTACGCGTAGCATATATACCATACGACAGGACGGTGGAGCGACGTACGGGAGCGACGGGTCGGCGAGGACAGCCTTGATGTTGGAGATCGCGACGAGGCGCTGGAGGTACGAGAGCACGGCCTTGGTGTTCCACATGGAGCTCTTGACGTCGGCGGCGTTGGCTTGCTTCGCGCGGTACTGGCAGAACGACTGGTACTGGTACACGAATTCGCCGACAATGTCAAAGAGCCACTGCGACGGCAGCGCCTCGAGCTCGAGCGACGCGTCGAGGATCCCATCAAAGATCGCGCAGTAGTTGTCCCAGCTCGCCTGCTTGAACTCGCTCGTGGGCTGGAGCTTCGAGAACATGTGGCGGTAGTAGATCTGCGTGTAGAGCGTCATGAAGACCGCGTCGTCGTACACGAGCGGGCCGACGACATCCGGCTCCGGCCACGGCGACTGCTTAAAGTAGTTGGCCGTCAAGGTCGCAAACTCCTTGTCGTAGAGACGGCCCATCTCGGTCACGTTGCCCGCGATCATGGCGTTGGACATGGAGAGGAACCATCCCTTGACCGAGTCGGGGAAGATGAACTCGGGCGCCTTGTCGTCGTTGTAGTCGCTCATGCTTGCTAAAGGGAAATCTCGACTGCCTTTGGATAAGCAAGGCCAGTCGTAATTTTGGCCAATCAATCGAGTCGCGCTGTCTTATTGCGCCGTAGCCAATGGCATCGATGGACGCGATGGAATGTCCAGCATTTTGACCAATCCGTGCCGGGTGTACCTGCGCCCCCGCTTAAAAGTGGTGCCGCGCCATATTTAGTAGCCGCGCACCGGATTTACTGTAGCTTGAACATCACGTTCAACGCGCCAACGAACCGTTCGTTCTTGTACATACCGGTTGTAGGACTGCGGTTTATACCCCGCCGAAGCTCGTGGGTCTCTATGCTTCGGTTGTCACCGTCGGGAGCTCGCTGTGACAGAAATCCAGCCACACGGACAGCTTGTGATCATCATGACGCGGTTGCTTGGTATTTGAGCAATGGGAAGAAATCATTTTAGAATGCTCTCAAGCGCTACGCAGTGCGATGCTCAACGTACATCAAGTACGAGTACTAGGGAGAACAAATGCTGAGCACGGTTGATTGTTGTCTTCAAGTTACGTTCCATCCGCGCTCCCGGTGTCGGGGCATTGCAGTCGACATAAAATCCAGCCATGTACATTTAAACGACTTGTCGCTGCTGTCCTTTTTTATCGGATCCAACAGAGTACTCTTGAGGACATTTTGGCGCGCGATTTTCAAACAAAAATGGCTCAGCAGAAGTGTACAGGACCTAGTGGTAGCCATCAATTTGCTGGGCAGATAGCCCCGTGCTTATCTCTTGCATAACCTCGCCTCTGAGCCAAATGCATGTCTTGCACGCGCGATGAAAGTGTGCCACGTTGTGATGACGTGGCAGTGCCAGACGCCGTCTTGCGGGTTGTGTGTCGCAGCCGAGATCACCTCAAATTGAGGCGATCGCTTCTTCTATCGGTAGTTTGTTGAGGCCCGCAACAGACAAAAAGAAGCTCTAGAATAGACTAATACAGGTACCACGACGTCCATCTTCTGTAGCACATGGTCCTATGTACGGTGTTTTGAAAGCGGCATTTGACTCGGAGAGCAACGAGCCTGCGAGTGACGACCTTTCTCTACACGTTAGACTCGAAAACAGCAAAGAAGCAAAATCGACGGACGCATGAAGCAAGTGAGAGTTTTATCCTCTCCGAATTGGTGATAGATGTGCCACAAACAACAGCTATCGCGGCCATGGGCGCTCGGCAGCTCCCTCCACTGGGGGTGTCGTGCAGTCTTGACGCCTAGACGCGGTCGCAGTGTAAAGAAAAGTAAATCCAAGCAGTCGTCTACCTACCGGTCGAGTCGTTCACGCTCTTGGTGCCACGTCATGACTTGGCTTGGCGCTTTCGCAGTTGAACCGCACATCGCATATTCAAATATCGACAAATCCAGCGCACCATCCAGCAATATATCTGGCGGGAATATTTTGAATCCGGATACGACATGTGTATCCGGTGTACAATCGAAGCGGGTAGTCCCGAAATGCACCTCTGGAAGCGAACTTTTGGGCGACCGAGCCATCCCCAGCCGTGCGTCTTCTGCGACCGGACGCAGATCCAGACGAGTGGCATCCTCTTCGAGGTACCGGCGGCGCCACGTCATGACGGCCCATGGCACCAGCTGCGTAGGACGACCGCGTCATGGCCTTTCGCGACTGCAAGCCACGGGCGGCGTCGCACATGCTCGTGATTCCGAAGGAGCACATCGTCAACACGCACGCCTTGGGCCATGAACACATCGATCTCGGTACGCCGTCTCGCCGCTGCGATGTCGCCTCATTGAGAGGCCATGCACGTAGTCGAGCACATGGTCGCGGTCGGCCGGGCGGTCTTGGCAAAAGAGCCAGCGTGCTCATGCTGCCCGAGCTGCCAGGGTACGTCCTATCGGCTATGCAATCGCTCCTGCACGTGCTTGGCAGGGTCTTTGGCTTTCACCAGTATCCGTTCACTTCCGTGGACCACTTGCACTTGCACTGCCTCGCGCCGCCGTTCGAGCCATGCTACAACCGCCTCCGGTACCGCGAGACGTGGTTTGCCAACTATGTGAGCGTCGAGACCTTGCTGGCGTCGCTCAAGGACGGACGCCACCACTAGCCACGTTGGTGTATTTAATCCTCAAGTACCCATTTAGCGTACTGCATGCATCGTGGTATTGCACTGGGATATGCGCAACCTATCGTGTCGACCTGATCTCCACGCTTGTCTATGAGCTACTCAGCGTGCACACCAGCTCCACAACCCACCGCCGTGTTGAGCGAGCTCCATATTCCACTAGAGTCTCTCGCTGATGGCAACTGCATTGGATCCGCACCCGCTTGGTCGATCGTTGAGCCTACTACGCGAGGGAGGACGCAGAGTGTTTTTGAATCCTGTCGTTGTCTCGTTAAGGAGAGACCTTGAGCCTCTCGCGGAGGTTGGTCGAGACCACTTCGGCGCGGGCTTGGCCCATATCAAAGGCAGCGTTGGCGCGCGCCTCGGCCACGTCCTTCATGTCGATGTACGACGTGTCCGGGTCCTTATCTTGGAGGAGCAGCTTTCGAATGCCGTCGCTCATCGAGTCCATCGAGTCTTTTGTGAGCACGATGCGGTAGAGCTCGCGGACGTTCTTGACCATGCGATCGGTGAGCGGGATCTTGGGCAAAAGCTGGCGGCCGGCCAAAATGACGCTGTTGCCGTCGGCGATTTGAAGTTTGCCCTATCCGCCATGGCGTCAGATCGATCGATGTATTATGCAACGGATCACCCGCTTGATCGTCGCCTCGCCGAGCTCGATGTTTTGGCGCAGCTCCTGGATCTTCTTGAAGCCGAGCACGGCAACGTTGAGCTGCTGTTTCCGACCTTCGCGGTAGCGTGAGACTGACTCGAGGATCTTTTCACCCTCGGCGACGAGCCGCTCGCCCGTCGCGCGGATGTTGATGCCTTCCTGAAGAATGCGATGCCCTTCGTCTTCGTTTTCGCTGAGCTTGACCAGACCTAATCCATATATGTCCATAAGTCCATTCAAGCCTCGAAAATGAAAAAATGGTGTACCGTGCGTGAGCGCGTTGAAAAACCAGTGGCAAATGCCCATGACGATGCGCAGGCGATTCACCGCCTGGTCCGTCGACTCGGACCGCCACATGCGCAGCGCCAGCCGATGGGCCCGCTCCATGGCCGCGTAAATGTCGCACGATCGCATTTGCAAGAAATGCGAAAACTGCCGGTCGCATTGCTACAAGACAATCTTTCCACATCCTATATGACAGCGAGCGTCGTACACTGATGCTAGCGTCGTCGGCTGACACCTTGGCGTGGGCCCAGAGACCTTCGAAGATGTTGCGCTCGGTGGTCCGACGAAAGACGGCGCCGATGCCGTGCACCGAGTCTTTCGCAGCGTAGCCGTGGAAGCCAATGACCTCTTCGTCCGGCGCGGCCTCGAGGCAAAAGTAGACGCCGATGTCGGCGCGGCCATACCACTTCGAGCACCGATCGTAGCTCGTGCCAAGGCGGAGGCCCAGCAGTGTCGACTGCGACGCGAACCCTTCGACCTTGACGAGGCTACGTCCCATTCAGAGTTTTACAAGCAAGTCCGGGACGTACAGCTCGTGCGGCGCGAGCTGGAACACCGATCGCGTGCCGAACGGGTTGCCATACAGGCGGCCCTCCACGGTCTCGGAAAACGACTTGACGACAGTCGAGAGCCCATCGATGCTCTTGCCGCAGACCACGATGACTTGGCGAATGTGGCCAAACGAAATCGCGCTGTCGTACTCAAACTTGATGCCTTTGGTGCCGCCATACATAAGTGTCGTGCGCTCCTATTTCCCGGTTTGAAAAAACAGTATCAATGTATCAACGCAGCGAGACCTCGTAATGGTGCAGCTTGCGCTCGTTGTACGCGACAAACATGAGGCGATTCTCGAGCGCCAGGCGGCGCAGCACCTCCTTCGTGTGCGCGGCAAATAGATTTTTGAGCGTCGGATTGCTGCACACGCTGACTTTGAGAATGTGGTCGCACGCGCGGAGCACCTTGCGCACGCGCCACGACACGAGGTGCTTTCGAAGCGCCCAGAGCGACGAGCGAAGCCGCTCGACGTCGGCCGCGTACCGCGCTTCGCGCCACGACGCTCGCAAGACGACGTACGTTTGGCGCAAGTGGTGCTTCCACGAGAGAAAGACGTGGCCGAGGCGCCGAGCGTCCATCCTACATGGGACAATGTATTCCAGTTTGTGAAATCTGGAAAAAATACCGCTTGCGGAAATTCGACAAAAGAGACGTGAACCCAATGTGGAGCTGCGTCCACTCGACCCAGCGCATAAAGACAGCGCGGAACGAGTTGAACGCGAGCTTTTGGTCGAGGACCGTCGGGAGCATCATAAAGTCTTCCTGGAGCAAATGCTGCTCAAACTTGGAGACAAGCACCTACGTGTCGATCGTATCATCGTGCATCGCACGAGAGCTCGTACCCGCCGCCGCCGCATGGTCGCCGCGAGCCCCGGCGACTCGAAGAGCTGTCGGCCCTGGATGAACTTGGCCCAACGCTGCCACATGTAGTGCAAATGCTTGAGCCGATGGTAGCGTGGCATGTTGTGCAGCCAGTACCCAAACTACCCCTGATGAAGACGACACAGTGTGCACTGTCGCATCTACCGCTTGGCCAATCGGATCCAGTTGCGCAATTGGCATCGATGACAGAGCAGTGTCATCTTCTTGGACATCGCGGGCAACCGTAGCGCGCGGAACGTCGACTTGAGTAGGTGCTCGCGCGCTTGGTCTTCAAAGATGTCGAACGCGCGGCAAATGACTTCGTACAGCTTGCGCACGCGTGTATGGATGATCTAGACGCTCCATATATGGCTCCAGCATATAATGTCCCATGTCCCATGTCCCTACTTGGTTGGCGTAGTGGTGCAGCTGCGACGTCATTTGGAGCGTCTTCCCTTGCTCGTCGTCCTGGATGCCTTGTTCGGCGAGCTTGATATCGCGGATCTCGTCTTCGCGGCGGAGGAACCGAGCATGGCTCGCTTCTCTCGCTACACGGAGCGCCTCGATGGCGTCGCGGAGGGCCATGGCTTCACACGCAGCTTCCTGCAGCCCTACACGCCGGTATGGGAGGGTTTCCGAGGTCGTCGACTGCCGCCACCTTGGTCGCGCCACTCCTTGTCTTGGCGCCACTGCAGCGCGCGCCCGACCGTCCGTGACGACGGCTCGTCCGGCAGCACCAATGCTATCGCCGTGGGCGTCCATGTTGCCGTTCCTACGTTGACAAGCATGAAGAACCTCTGCACGAAACCTCAACAATCCGACGTGTTGTTTCTTGATCATGGCAAAGCGCAGCCAGCAGAGGAAGCGGTGGCGTACGACGTTGAAGACGCCAAACATGGAGACGAGGCGGCTGCGCTTCTTCTTCTCCTTGTAGAGCCAGAGGATGCGAAAGACGATCGGGCCAATGCGCTGAAAGACGAGCGCCTGCTCAACTTAGTACCGAACTGGAGACACGATTGTTTTGGTCGTGCGCACCTTGGCGAGGGTGTTGAGCCGGTCTTTTTTGCGGTACTTGATGTACGTGGTGATGCAGAGGTCGTGGAGACGCGTCTTGTGCTTGATCTTATGGCCCATCGGCGAGTCCATGATGCGGGTGAGCGGCACCGCGTCGTTCTCGACACCATCGGTCAACGTCTCCTTTCGTCGATGGCGCTGCAGCATGCCATGCAGACACACGTACTGCCGGCGGCGCATGTCCCGGTGCAGCATCGTAAAGTACCTCCAGAGGTACAGTGCGAGTTTCGTCGTGTAAAACTTGGTGTGCAGGTGCAGCGTGAGGCCGTTCTTGCGCCAAATCTAAAAGCAACTTGATACATTGATACCAAACGAGTGCGACAGTACCTTGCGCACACGCTGGCCGTAGGCCGCCCATGGCCGCCACACGTCGACAATGCTTCGCAGCGTCGCGAGGGCCCGGCGCTGCTTGCGCGTCGCGAGCTCGGCGTACAGAGCGCGCTTCTTGAGAGCGAATCGATGCCATGCGCGCGTGTGGCGGAGCAGATAGTACTCGTGAAACACGTTTTTCAAAAATATCGCTTTGGCGCGCGAGATAATCACAAACTGCGTCCAGCGTTTCCAGACGTGGAGCGGCCAAAAGCAGAGCCGGAAGAGCTCGCGGTACCACTTGCTACACGTCATGAGGTACTTCCACGCGACAAACTTGCGAAGAAGGAGGCGCCGACGGCCAATGCATTCAAGGACGTTGGCCCGCCACGTGCGAAAGACGCGCTTCGTCAGCTTGTAGGCAAGGAACGCTTGGCGTTCGGGGCAGTCGAAGATAGCCCGCCGCTCGAGGAAGCGCACGGCGCCTTTCTGAAGCACCGTGGCTGCAATATCGTGGAAGACGTGCGCGGCTTGGTCGAGCTCCAGGTCCTCGAGGCATTTGTTGCGCGCAAAGCATTGGAGGAGCGCTTTGAACACGTGGCCGATCGAGTGCTTTGTCACGAGTGACGACGACGACAACGTCACCGTCTCGCTGTCGTCGTTGGATGGCTCGTCGGGTGACGCATGCGGGACGACTGCGGCACTCTCGGTGGCCGCGTCCCACTGCAACGTGTGCTTCTTGCGCTTCGTCGTTTCAAAGAGGAGGTCATGGAAGCGCTGCGTCGTGGCCTCGGCCACGGCTTGGGATGGCCAGTACGTGTGCATGTAATCAAACATCTTGATGACGCGCCACATGTCCTGTGCCGACTCGGCGAGACGCCGCTTGACTAGACACGAACCAACGTTTACTGTCGACACGCAAAGCGGGAGCACGTACTTTTGGTCTCGAGCTCGAGCAGCTTTTGCTTGCGCATGTCTTCTTCCTGGAGCTGCGCCTGGCGCTCGAGCTCCATTTCGAAGAGCCACTGCGCCGCTTCGGCTTCGTCGTGCGGGTAGAAGAGGTCCATCATGAGCTCGTACGACACGGTGTGTGGCACGCCACTACTGATGCTGTTGGCATCCTTGACGTGCACATGGACTGCATCGGTCGTAATGGACGTGTCGGTGGCGATGGACGCGTCGGTCGTCATGGACGCGTCGGTGGCGATGGGCGTGTCGCAATCGTTGTTGTTAAGCTCCTCGACCGCGGCGCCCCTCGGCTCGTCGGGCACGTCGAGGTGCGGTGTCGCTTCTTCGGGCATGTCGACCGAGATCGTCGATCGGTTGGTTCGAAACGACTTGGCAAACACCGCGTCGATCGTCGCGTGCACGCGCTCGAGGTCGAGGCGCGTCACGCAAATGTTGTGGCTCGTCAGCACCTTCTCGACTTGAACTTGGGTGAGGTCGCCGCCGGAAAAGGCAAACTCGATCGTTGACCAGCCGCGAAATATCTTCTTGCGCAAATGGCCGTCGGCAAAGTGCACGAGCTTGCGGATGCTCTCGCGCCGACGCAGACCCGGCGTGCCAATGCGGCGGTCCGAGTCGAGCTCCGTGGCCGGGCGTCGGCTATGAACACACGCAACGGCGCCACGTCGTCGGCCTCGTTGGCATCGCCGTCGTCGTTGTGAGGTTGTTGGAGGGCTCGGCCTCGTGGGGCGTGGCGACCATCTTGTCGTCGGACAGAGAGTCGTCGACGTCGCCTTCGGCTTCGTCGAGCGCAATGGTGTCGTGGGGGTCGGGGCTGGACGAGTGGGGCGATGCGACGAGTGCTGCTGTGTCCTGGTAGATCTCGTCAATCGAGCGCGAGACGTGGGACCACACATGCGACGACCGATGCCGTTCCAGAATCGAGCCATGGTTGCCCAGAAAGGACGATCCGGACTTGGCCAGCGCCTGGCGGGTGACCGAGCTTCGCTTTCTGGATGGTTTGGGTTGCGGCTCGACAAGTGGCGCCCAGCGGTCGTCGACAACGGGCGGCGCGCGCAGCATCGCCTCCATGTCGTACGAGCTCAAGAGGACGTCTGGAGGGCTGGCGCCGGCGTCTCGACCGACCAGAGCCCAAAGGCTTCGGTCTGTTGCAACAGCGGCGGTGCGAGACGAGGCTTCTTGGGCGGACTTGCTGCCGCCGTCTGGATCTTGCGCCGATGCAGGCGCGCCGGCGATCGCAACGCGTCGTTGGCCGTGTGCTGGCGGTGGTTTGCATGGAGGTGGGACGTGGCCATCGGCAGCGCGGGCGGTCGCTCGGACGGCGGTGCGACATGCGGCAGTGAGATGTCGTACCACTTTGGTATCGGAAATTGCGCCTCGAGCTTTGCCTTGGTGGCCTCGTGGCGCGCGCGCGCAGCGGCGTCTTCCATTCGACAAGTCGCGATCTTGCACTTGTCGTTTGGCTTCAACTTCGAAACTTCGATTTTTATTGAGGCTAATTGCACGCATCTTTACAGGCTTTCCACGCATGGCGCGGCGCACAAACATCGCCCTCGTTGTGTGATTTTAGATTAGAGGCATGTATCCAAACAGAACGAACGACGTGCACCGACCTCGCACCATGGACAACGGCCACGTAATACTACTATGTACCGGTATAGTAATACCGAATCGCTTGTGGCCGTCCTGCACATGCTGTGCACACGGTAGTCAGATCCATCTTGGTCGACGTGGCGCGTCGCAGCGTCGTCGAGCCCTTTCTCGTACAGTGTGGCGTTAAGTTGATCATAGAAAAACGCAACTTGACGCAAACACCATTTCTCATACAACATGCGAGGTACTGTCTTTCCTCCGTAAAGTTGCGCCCGGTCCTGTCTCAGACCCAGTTAAGTTGGTGCATCGGCCATCCCAGAAAAGCCAGCCCAAACCACGATGGCCGACGTGGACCCGGCGGTCCTCAAGCGGCGCCAGTACCTCCGCATCAAGCAGATGCATTACCGAAGCAAGATTGCAGGCGAGATCACGGCGCTTAAGGCCGAGGTCGACGCGCTCCAGGAACAGCTCGCGCGACAGCTGCTGTCGCCCACGTCGCGGGTGCTGCCATGGGCCGAGGTGGCGACTGCGCTCGACGTCGACAACAAGGAGAAGCTCAAGAAGCGCAAGAGGCTGCAGCTCCAGCACGCCTCGTACTCGCGCCTCGCTAGCAACATGCGCGCCTGGGTCACCCGCGTCTTGCCGGTACGCCATACTACGCCTGTCCTGACCTCATTCACGACGCAGCGGACGCCGGTGGACCCGCCATGGCGGCGCACGTACCTGCCGTTGGACGGTAACACGCGCAAGCTCGGCATCGACTGGCTCACGCAGCTGCTACTGCACAACACGGACAACATGCTGGCCAAGTACGAGTTTGACGCACTCGATCCACACGCGTACTCGATTGACTTTACCATGAGCCTCTCGCCCAACGACCTCTTCGAGTACGTCTGGCGCACGCAAAAGGAGCTGCCATTGCCCATGGAAGTGGTCTGCGCGGCGCTGCGACGATGGATGCAGCAGTACACGACCGGGTCGGTCTGGACCGACGTCCAGTCGTCCGAATTGCTGCAGGACGACGTAAGCAGTCGCAAGCAATATGCACTTTGTTCTGATTGTACTATCTGTGTAGGCGCTCGAGACCGTACAGGGCGCCACGTATGCCCACACGGTGCGCGAGAATCCGACCGAGACGGTCAATTTCCTCACGCGCGAGTTTCATCCGCATGCGGACCGCGTCGTGTTTGTCGGTCAAAACATCCACCACGACGAACGCGTCTCGTCCAGCGTCCACCGCCGCAACCGCATGTTTTGGTACAGACAATATTGTCCATTGTCCATTGTAGCGTCTTAGATACTTAGAGCGATCGACTATTAGGTACGTCGTCGACCGCGTTGGCCCCAACACGACCCGGTTTCGCAACCTCGACGTCCTGTCCCACTTCTTCACCGACCACGGACCCGTGTCACTCGACGTCGAAGCCAACCTCATGGGCTTTGCAGCAGCAGCGTCCTTGTCCGAGATGGACATGCTCGCAGCTTACACGCGCCATGCGACGACCGTGTACCGCTGCGTCGGCCAACGCTCGGACGAGACGCTCTTTGCGCTCCTGGATGGTAGCGACGATAGCACTGCAGCGTGGCATTGAGCGCTCGAGCGGCGTATATTTAAAAAAGAGTGCTTGCAAATCGATCTGCCAAAGGCTATCGAAATGATTAGGACTCGAGACAACCGCTTTGGACGCAAGCCATCAACGACGTCGTTTGGCTTCCACTTGTCGTCGTCGACGCGATCTTGAGGTCTTGAGGACGGCCGTCATCTGTGTACAAGTCCGCGGCGCTGCGCCATCGCACGCAGAGGCCGGTAGCAATGGCCCTAAAGCCGAAGCAGGATGCTTGTTCGCATAGCTTTCTCAACACATGCAAGCGCGCCGGTTGATATGTGTGTGCTCACGGTGTAGAGCCTGGGCACAAGCCAACTTTCAAACGCGCTCCTCTCTGCACTCCTCTCTGCACTGCTTTCAGCACTCCTCTCTGCACTGCTTTCAGCACTCCTCTCTGCACTGCTTTCTGCACTGCTTTTCCACATGGACGCACGCCACGATTCGATTCGTAGGACTGGCTATTTGGTCGTGCCGTATGGTACTGGACCTCAAGTACAGACAATACTGTCCATCGCAGTGTCAAAATTGGACTGGAAGTTCCATCCAGGATTTAAACCGCTCGTGATTGGCTCGTTTCGGCCAATCACAGGCGGTTTGACATTGGTAATTTGCGCCCACGACCCACGCTGGACATGGCCGTCAACGCAGCAGACCGGCGCCGACGGACCGACATCCAACGCAAGTGGCGGCAGAAGCTGGCGGCCGAGATCAAGGCGCTGCGCAGCGAAGCGAGCGCGCTTGAAGCCACCTTGGTCGACCGCCGGGGCCTGGCAACCATGCTGCCGTGGCGCGACGTGGCGCTGACCCTCGCCGACGACTCGCGCGCCTCGGTGCACCGCAACCGCGTCTTGAGGCGCCAGTACGAAGCGCAGCAGCAGCTGCTTCTCTCGCTGGCCCAGCGCGCGATGCACGGCAGCCCCGTACGTCCATGAGGCGTCTGCGACGACGAGGCGTGACGTGTGTTGCCACTAGGCGCGGCCGCTCCTGAGCTACGACGCATGGCACCACACGAGTCTCTGCGCGCAGGCACATCGTCGCCGGTGCGCGCTCGAGTGGTCGACGAACGCCATGCTGCACAACACGAGTGCGATGCTGGAGAAGCACAGCGTGGCGTCCTCTTTGCATCATTTCGCCAACTACAAGATTACCGCGACCGAGAACGACGTGTTCGAGTATGTCTGGCACATGCGCAAGACGGTGCCGCTCGCATTCGAATCCGCACGGCGCCTCGGCCACGACTGGGTCCAGCAGTACATTCGAGGCGGCATGTGGCCGCTCCTCGCGCCGTCCATCGACCTCGACGTCTATGTACGTGCATTGTACTATCCACAGGACGGATCCACCGCATCTGCTGTGCGTGTAGGGCCTGCCGCACACGAGTTATGTGCAGACGACCCGTCTGCAGCCGCTGGAGCACGTGTGCTTTCTGAGCCGCGAGTTCCGCCGCAGCGAGACCCAGACCGTGATTGTCGGGCAGACGATGCACAGCGACGAGCTGCACCCCATGACGACACCGTTCCGCCACCGCATGTTCTGGTATCACTAGTACGAGATGTTGATATGACGTTGATGGCGGCGTAGGTATGTGCTCGAGTGCGTCTCGCCGACGTTGACGCGCGTCTCGATCGTGCACGTGACGTCGCACCTCTGCACCGTGTCCGACGGCGCCGTGCCGCTGGCGGCCGAAGCCGAGCTCATGGGCTGCGTCCTCACCGAGCACGGCGACCACGTCGACCAGCTGACGCGCCATGCCAGCATCGCTGCCGCCCGCGAGATTGAAGGCATGCTCCGCTACTTTGGCTGCTACGCCACGTTTGCGACGGCCGAGGCGAGCCAATTGACCTAATTTAACGCACCCTTGAACGCCCTTGGTGCGTCAAACCAAGGGTCCATGAACAGACCTTGAGTCATACCGCCCTGTCATCAGCATCGTAGTCCACCTTTAAGCTGCAAGGGCCAATCAACGGAACCCGAGCTAGGCGTCTTACTACTATGATCAAGTAAATACTTACTAGTGGAAAGCATTCGAATGGCCTCGATGTGGCACTCGCTCGTATAAAGTGCATCGCTACGTCTTGAAAAGGAACGACCGCGCTCCCTCTTGCTCCAATGCCTCAAACGCGAGAGCGTCCGTGGAGTGGCGAGGCTTTAACGTGTTTACCCTCCTAAAACCCATTTACCCTGCGTTGAAAAACGTGGCTGTGCTGATGACACACAGTTTCGGCGATGGCAGACGAGCTTCGGAAGATCAAGAAGCGCGAGGGCAGCACGCGCCACCAGCGCAAGTGGCGGCAGAAAATCGTGGCCGAGATCGAGCACCTGCGCGAGCAAGCGCTGTCGCTCGAGGCCGAGGTCCAGCGGCGCAAGACAACGACCAAGACAGCAGCACCATTGGACCCGCTGGCGTGGCGGGACGTGGCCGAGTCGCTTCGAGACGAGAGCGCAACGTCGGTCCACCGCAACCGCGCGCTCAAGCTCAAGCACGCGCAGTACGTGCGCCTCGTGTCGGCCATGGCGCGCTGGGTCCAGACCGCCTCCCAGCCGTTGGTCGCGGCGCCGAGAAGTCGCCCGACGTGGCGCCACACGGCGCTTTTGGCCGAGCCCATGGGCCGGCAACTGGGCGTCGACTGGATCACGACGATGCTCCTCCACAATACCGAGCGCATGCTGGATGCCCACGGCGTCCACGGCGCGGCGAACTCGACGCACATGGTCGACTACTCGGTCAACGTGACCGAGGCCGACACGTTCGAGTACGTGTGGATGGCGACCAAGCACGTCGACATGTCGTTGGGGCATGCGCGCGACCTCATTCGCATGTGGCTCCACCAGTACACGACCGGCGGTATGTGGCGGAAAGCCTCGTCGACGCTGCTGGACGTCGAGGTAAAGCTCATACATTCGTCTCCTCTGCGTGAAGTACGAACATGGCTCAATGTAGCTCCTCTCGTCGCTGCCACGGACCACGTACTGCGAGACGAACAAGCTCGGGCCAGACGAGATGGTGCGCTTCCTCAGTCGCGAGTTTCGCAGCGAGCACAAGAGCGTCTTTGTCGGTCAAAACATCCACGCCGACGAATGCAAGCCGATGCCAACGACGTTTCGCAACCGCGCCTTTTGGTCTACTGGATTATTGCGTACTACTACAGCACTATACGAACACGCTGTAGGTATGTCTTGGACCGCGCGGGCCCGAATGCGACCAAGGTGCAGATGCTGCACGTGACGTCCCATTTGCTCTCGCCGGCGGCCGAGCCGCTCGGGCTACTCCAAGAAGGCGCGCTCATGGGCTGCGACCTCGCGCTGGTGCCAGAAGTCGACCAGCTCGAGAAGCTCACGCACCACGCCAACCGCGTTGCTGTCAAAGAAGTCGAAGGTCTCGCGGCGTCGTTTGGACATGGCGCCAAAATGTTTGGTTACACGGGCGCGTTCCGGTAGCGCGAACGCTAAAGAAGAATCATGGGCGATGGATAGTTGTGTCGTGGATATGTGGAGCATGCTGGATAAGTGTCGTCGCGTCGTTTGGATAGAACCAACCAGGTATCCCAATCTCGCGGTACCTCCAACGCGCGATGTCGACGCACCATAGTACAAGAACACACACTATCGATCCAAATAATATCCATAGATGACGACAACTTTTCCACGCACGACGAAGGACAACTTGTCCGATCTCACGCAAACGTAAAGAGCTTGCGGATGTAGTCCATATCGGGCGGCAGTGCGTCGTGGCAGCGCGGGCACGCGTCGTGGGCGGCGAGCCATGGGCGGAGGCAGTGGGCGTGGAAGGCGTCGCCGCACGGCAGCTGCATGCCCTCTTCGAATGGCCCATTGCACCTGGCACACGCCTGCATGTGGTCGCCGTCGAACGACGTGACGAGGAGCGCGTCGACAAAGTTCGGGCACGTCGGTCGCCCAACGTCGTCGCCGCTGCGACTGGCGGTCGTGGTTTCAGAGGCGCGCGAGCAGCCAAAACACGCGCGGCCGACGTTCGAGGCCGTGTTGACGAGGTAGACGGTCCAGCTGCACGCGCCGCAGAGGACGTCGCCGCAGACGCGGCAATGGTGGCGGCGTCGAAAGAGCGAGAAGGGCCGGCTGCAGTGGATGCAGCGCTGCCGGGCAGCATCCGGGACCCACGCCTCCTTTGGGCACGCGAGCTGGACACGGACGTCCGAGACGAGGTAGTTGTCGTCGAGGAGCGTGCGCCGGTGGCGCGCCATGCCTGCTGTCGAAGAATGGCTACTGCAACCGTGTGGTGCATGGCGTGTACTTTGTGCGTGAGTGCTCTAAACTGTAGCGACGAGCCGCTAGAGGCGAGACACAGGAACCTGATGAAGGTTCGATTGGCACCCGAGAATTTCCGCCAAGAGAACGAAACCAAAAGAATGCGCGTTCCAATCTTGGTAACAATCAAGTCGTTGGAACGCTGAAAATAACAACCACAAACACAGCACCGAGCGCGTCGTCCATGGACTCTCTAGTACCGGAGAGTAGCGAAATGCGATGCTCGGCGCGATTGTGTATGAGAGAGATGGAGAGAGTAAGAGTGAGAGAGAGCTAGCGAGTGCGGTGGGGCCAGCAAACGTCAATCCATCCACAAACGCAGCAACCAAAGGGTCAGCAAAATTCACGCTCTCGAATACGAGCAGCAATCCTAGTTCGCGTTGGAACGGTGCTTTCACCAACACGTAGTACGCATGCAGGCAGGGACCACGAGACCTCATCGTCCACTTTGACGGCTGCTGTCCTTCCACGCAGGACCTCGCACACTCTTTGGTCGACTCTGTGTCGCGACTCGCGAGGAAGCGTTGGATACTGTACTTTGACGGAGGCAGATCTTTTTGTGCATATAAGATCCACAAGATCCGCAAAGGATCGGCAAGCTACGCCATCGTCTTCATCGAGGTCGATGGGTCGGCGTGTCTGGCCGCAGTCGTGAGCTCGATGGGCGGGTACTATCCTTGTGCATGCACTTGCAACAAAGGATCAAGGTTGTTTCGACGGGGATTAAATACACTCGACAAGAGGAGGACGACATGGACTCGCTCGTGTGCCAGGTTCATGGCGGCGGCACGTACGGTGCTTTGAATGTGAAGAAGCTGCGAATGTAGGCCATGTCCCGCGGCAGCGCATGGGCGCATGTGGGGCACTGGTCATGGAGCGCCAAGTGCGCGCCAATGCAGTGCTTGTGAAACACGTCATGGCACGGCAGCGACACGACGGCGTCGCCGCCGACAAAGCTCTTCTTGCACATGACGCACGCGCTCGACTTGCCGCGGTAGCTGCCCAGCGGCCTCTCGCTGTCCATCCACTCGGTCGCGCGCAGCGAGTCGAGAAAGCTGGGGCACGTGGGGCGCTTCACGACCGGCTCGGCGACCTTGGTGCTCTTGCGCGGCGCCTCGGCGACGGACGAGGCGCGCGAGCAGGCGTAGCAGGCGCGGCCGACGTTGGACTTTGCGTTGACGAGGTACACGGTCCAGCTGCACTCGCCGCAGATCATGTCGCCGCAGACGCGGCAGTTGTGGCGCCACCGAAAGAGGTGGAAGCGCTGGTCGCAGCCGCTGCACGTCGGCGCCTTGCGCAGCCAGTGGGACTTGGGGCACGCGTACCGGACCTGAGCGCCCGTCGTGATGAACGTCTCGAGGCCGACGAACGTGTTGCTGCCGTCGCGCCGCCGCATGGGAGATTGCCAACTGCTGCTCTCTGCCACATTGCACTGCACACTACAATCTGCAAATCATGCCAATGCACCAATCACGCGCCATTGGGAGAAGGATTTGCACCAATCACATCGCGCTAATCCAAAATACGACCCAATCCCGGCCCAGCGCTTGCGATCCAACGGCTGGCAGTGGCGAGATGTGCGGAAGATGCGTCGGATAGGGTTTCGCACTCGGCCTAGCATGGCCAGAGGGCATAGCATCCTTTCGACCCGAGCCACAAAGGAGGATGTACCTAGAGCATAGTACCAAGCTTGGTATACGCTTAGTACACTAGTGGATCCAGCGCGTCTGGAAAAAGGCTAATGTGTGTAAAGCATAACACTATGGATGTGGTGAAAGGCTGACGCGAAGGAACATCGTCGAGGGGATAGCAGGGATAGCAGTGCCACGAGACATATGTCGTAGAACTTCTACCACATACGGAAGACCCACCGTTGAAGACGATCCCAAGGGCTCTCTCTTGTGGTCGCGTTGCAGCGAGACAATGGCAGCGGCCACTCTTCGCAACCACGGACTGGCCGCCAAAGTTTCGAATCGTTAAATGTGCTATCACTCGGACGACGCGCCTTCTCAACGTGCTCGTAGCAGCATCAGCGCACTGCAGATCTTCCGAGATGCGTTGCCTTTTTCGCTACTTTGAAAAGTACATTGGCATGACAACATCGACCCACGATTTCAATCCACTCGCTATACAATATGTCGTTAAAATCACGAGGAAGCGCCGAGGTCCGTACTGTTTGATACTATTGTGCAATTAATAAGCTATTGTACAATTAGAGAGTTTGCGAAATTCGTGATTGTACTATAAAATTATACTATACGAGATAGTTGAATTTCGATCGTATAATAGAAAACTCCGTTTGCGAAAACCGCCGGTCACAAAAATTATACTATGGCAGCTCATGCCTTCGGTGAGAGGTTCGGGTCGAGAGCCACTCATTCGCTGGTGCACTCGACAGTGGAGGCGCGCGGACATGGACAGTCGCGTGGAAGCCCAAGTTTCGTGCGATGCTATCGACCTATGTACTAGAATGATTCCAACTCAACAACTCTCAAGAGCCTCCTCGTCGTCTCCCATGCATGCCGCGTCTTCGATCGCGCGCGCTCCTCGCTCGCTCTGATCACGCACACCTCCAAGCGCAGAGGCCGCTGCGCGGAAACGAGGCGCTGTATATGTTCATGAGCATACCTCCTTAACTATTCGATGGAGCCGGTGGTGCCAGCAAGCGACGGCTGAGGCGATGGTATGGTACCTGGTTGGCTGAAAAGCCCCATATTTCATCCAATCGGCATCACTCGCCTTTTTACTGTCAGAGATTATTTATTGGCCGTATTGTCTGATATCAATTCCCACAAATATCATTCTTCGACAGGTTTTTTGGAGCTATTATAGAAGGCCTCTGGAGGCCGTTTGTAATATAGAATTCTATTATAGATTATGCTTTTTCACAGTGACCTGTGAAACTCGATCGAGATAGTATAATTTTTAGTATAATTAAAATCGCAAACTCACTATTATCGATTATTTATTTATTGCACTCAATGTTACCCAATCATCGATGGCGATAGACCGCGCTTCGAATTGAGGGGTGCCAATTACGTCTCGCAATCGTTTACTATGACAAGGTTGGTAGTCAGTTTGTTGCTCGTCTAGTATCGTCATTGGAAACCCATCCATGCTGCAAAGCACATCGTCATGCAAGCTACCAAGGGTCCATGAAGCTACGGTGTACGTTGATGGCGCTGGACAAGGGAAGGAACCTTGCCGCTGGAGAAACCCACAGGTACCAATCGCGTTGATACAAAACCAATGGGTCGAAATTGCTGCGCGACAACGATGTTCGGGCGGCGAGAAGCTGCGCAGGCTGCTTAGGTCGTGCATCGCTGCATGGAGCGAGCTACTACTAAAGACGTCATCTGCAAAGTGGCCAAGACGCACACCGCAGTGGCTGCCAAGGACGCCGCTGCCTTGCTAGTCCTCAAAAACACTGCAGGAAGACTAAATACGTGTGCAACCCTCTGTTTCATTTAGCGTCGTTGGCCGTTCCATGAGGGGTGGTCGCATTGCCACCATATCGGAGCCTTAGAGCAGATTGCCGAGCGGTGCCTTGTAGGTGCTCGTCGATTGCTGACACTGCGAAATGCCACCTACGAGTCTAAACTGCTTGCACCGTGTACTGGCAGCTAATCGACCACGAACGCAGATCCAGGGGCATTGGGAAACCGCTCGATAGTGGCGGGCGATGGAAATCTCATCGGTTTGTATTCGCGTCAAAACCAGCGTGCGGTCGTCGCTAGCAGCCAAGAGACCTTGCTCTTCTGGAATAACAACGTCGTTGAGAGCATCGAGGAGCCCAACGATGAAGACGATCATCCGACGGTCCTATCAATGGGGCAGCTGCGCGCTCGATGACGCGACTTTTTTAGGAATGACATCATCGATCGCGCAATACTACTACCGCACGGTGCGTTGCGCACGCTACAGAGCGTTGCGGCAGGAAAGGGCGCCGTCTCTGCACCCAAAGATGCTTCTTCCGTGCCAGCGTCATCTCGTTTACTGTACTGTCGGTATCCCAGAGCTAAGGCATTACAACGTCGGCAGGCGATTGAAGCGCGCATGACCAGAGTGGGCGTGCACAGCAGTACGCACCGCCACGACGATTCGGAACCAGTCACACCGACGGCTGCGTTCGCGCTGCTATTACTGACGCCACGCAAAAGGAACCCAGTTTACTTTTGCTTCTTGGCACCGTTCTCGGCGAGTAGAATGCAACAGCAGGAGATGGCTCGTCGCCGCTTGGATACGAGCGGTGCGATGTCGTCTTGCGACCAGTGATGATTTGCGGCAGCATCTATGGTATGTTGTGTTGGAGGGAACGTGTGGTGGCGATGCAGCGAAGTACCGTAGCCGTTGGTTTGATGGATGAGGATTCGTCACGCTGTTACTCGCCGATCGCGCCGATGCGTTGGCACACCCAGAGCGGCTGCAGCACCCACAATCTGAACGATCGCAGCGTTCCGTTGCTTTCTCTCGTCGAGGTGTGTTCGACCCACGAAAAGCACTGGGATTCTGGCCCTTGAACTTAGCGCTTTGTGGGATGAGAGAGTAGCGATACTACTAGCATCCGACTGTCCCGCTCGACCGCTTGTTTTTCCGCTCGCGTCAATTGGCCATGGGTTCGAGCCGCGGTGGTACCGTAGTGGTTTTTCACCATTTCCCACGAGACGGTCGCGATCGCGTCGAGCTTCCAGCAAGGAGTCGTCGTCGTCGTCGTGGCGTCGCAGTGGTCGGTGGCCGCTGCTCTGGCGACGGCGCTGGTAGCTGGCTGCTGCTAGCGGTTGCGAGTCGGTCATTGACGGGAAGGGCGCGAGGGGCGCGCCGACGACAACGACGATCGATGTGCATTGTCCACGTCCACATTTGTGGTTTTCCACATTGCCTTTCACACCACATGTGACACGAACAGCCGTCTGGTCCGTTGCACATCCTACAGCTGTGCGTCTGAGCGATGACTGAGGCATCCGGATAGATGCCACATTCGGTTTGGCGATGCCGGGCACAGCCGAGGACCTCCGGAGCCTCCCGCGCGGCTGGATTGTGCTGGCGCGCGACTCCAAGAGTCCCGAAGAGCACGCCAAGTACCTTCGCTACTGCCGCCTCAAGCAAAAGGGCTACCGCGAGCGCGCGGTCTCGGAGATCAAGCAGCTCGCCGCGACGGCCGCCGAGCTCGAGGCGCGGCTCGCATCGGCCAAGAAGCAGCCGCGCGTCCTTGGCTGGGTCGATGTCGCCAAAGCCCTCGAGAACGACCTCGCCGACGTGCGCATGACCAACAAGCAGCTCAAGCGGCTTCGCGGCCTGCGCGCACAGCTCATTTGCACGATGCAAGACTGGATTGGCACCGTCCTCGCGGTATGAAAACCAGAGTTGCTACATGTCTGGAACGATCAGATCTGGTGTGTAGAAACCCGTGGGCGCCAACGCCGTCTCGTGGCAGCTCACGACGCTGGGGGCTGACCCGACCTCGCGCAAGCTCGGCATTGACTGGATCACGCGGGCTCGCATGCACAACACCGACAGCATGATGCTTCAATATGGATTTCCGTCCTCCAACGTCCCGATCCTCGACTTTGATATGAAGGAGCTCGAGAACGAGACGTTCGAGTACGTCTGGCGGGACCAGCTCGTCATTCACCACCCGCACGACCTCGTCCTGGACGTGATGCGGTACCGACTGGACCAGACAATGAAGGGCACGCAGTGGCGAAGTCCCGACTCGATCGCGCTGGAAAAAGACGTACGTCGAAACGCAGATGTGATAGCCTCCTCGACGTACCAGATTTTGTTGTCTAGATCGTGCAGGAAATCGGCCACACGCGGTACCAGCGAACGCTACGCGGGACGCTCGAGCGGCCAGTCGAGTACATGAACTTTATCTGGCGCGAGTTTCACTTGCCAGAACGCACCATCATTGTGGGCCAAAACATTACCGACGACGCCACGCTTCACGCAAGCCCGCAGTCGCGCTACATGATGTTCTGGTACGTCTCGATCTGGTACTATCTCGATTCTAAAATGTGGCGTAGGTATGTGCTGGACCGTGTCGACGCTTGCCAGACCAAGCTCCGCGTGCTCGCGATCTCGTCGCACTACTTTAACGCGCGTGGGTACGTCTCCCGCGACGACGAATTCGCGTTGATTGGGTACAAGCCGACCGGCGCCGACGAAAACATTGAGCTCGCGCGCTTCAAGTACCACGTCTCGCGCATGTACACGCGCACGAGCGGCATGTTTGAGCGCGACCTCGATAGTTACATTGCGGCCACGCTCGCGTGACAATGTTGTCTTTCACTATGTGTGTGGTAGTTTTACGATTTTTGGTGATTGTAGCATTTATTTGATGGTTTTTACAGTTGCTGTTGGGTCGAGGGGTAGGGTACGCAGGCCAAGCACCGGAAGAGGACGGCACCGGCACGTATGCGCACCCATCTCGCCCGTCACGCTGCACGGAGACGTTAAACGTACGACTACTGCCTTTCGGGATCTGTTGGCGATGGCCAGCGTGCGCTGCCCACAAGCGCGGTGGAGAGGCAACGCTGCGCTGGAAAAGCTGTTCCGCGCTGCGTGCATACCACGACGACGCGGCATGCGTCGCCGAAACACAGTTACACGTCTGGATTCGGCCTCTATCATGAGAGAGAGAAAGCTGGCCGCTGTCTACTCTGGCGAGCAGTCTTCACGGCACCATCGAGCCACCTACAATGACGATGCGGCGTCACCGTGGCTTGGGTCCACCAAGAGGCACTTAATGAGAGGCAACAATCGATTTCATCGCTTGGTACGTGCTCCCGTCAGTGCCACCCAAGGTTCTAGGCGGTCTTCCTCGCACACCTACTACTACGGGCGACGAGCTGGCGGCGGCCTTTAAGTCAACTCGGGCACGTACTTTGGGATACCATTTCCGTGTCACAGTATTAACGACAATGCCGCAAGAACGTAAATGGTGTATGCATCCACACCATTTCCGTGTGTCGGTTAGAAAAACCCGCATATGAGCGAGCATGCGTAATCGGGCCAGATTCATTCATTGCAAGGGCAAGGATGAAGGTACTGGCCGAGGGCGACCTCCGGAAGCGCTGTGCGACGCTGCCCATGATGCGCCGGCGCTACTGCATGCTCCTTCTGGACGACAGCAATACGTCCAAGCTCAAGGTGCTCCTGCGCTCGTACAAGACCAAGGCCGAGCGCGATGGCAGCGCCGACAGCTTTGTGTCGTCGCACGTGGTCAAGTGCATTGGCGAGTGGACGGGCAAAGGCAATCTGCATACGTATCCGCACGCGTTTGTCGTCGAGACGGTGCAGAGCAAGCTCTTCCACTGCTCGGCGGCGTCTAGCGAGGCCAAGCGGAGCTGGATGCATGCGATCCCGTTCGCCGAGGATGGACTGTACGCGCTGGTCGGGCCCGGCGTCACGCCTGTCTTGTCGTCCTCGTCCCAAGATGACGCGCCAACGCCCAACGACGCGCCGATGCCAGCGTCGTTCCGCGAGTCGACAGCCATAACGGCCACGCCAGTGCAATCGACGACGCCCCCGCCACCCCGTACGTGGTTCGCCCGTCGTAGCTAGGAGAAAGCATCGCGTACCTGTAGCCTCGCGCGCGTCGTCGCGTCGTCAAGATCTCGAGACGCCGAAGAAGCCACCCAGCGTGCAAGACGCCTTGTTTGAACGCAAGGCCAAGCAGACGACGAAGCGGGACCTCGTGGCCGACCTTGAAATCGAGAGCGACGAGGAGGGTGCTGCGCCGGTACTTACATTGGAGGATCCCTGTCTGTATGATTTTGACGGAATGCGGTGGCTAGGAGAGCTTGCTGCTCGAGCCGTCGTTGCTCGGACCCAAGGTCGACCCATACGAAGTCGACGTGCATATTGGCTACGTGCCGCCAGCACCCATGAAGCTCCAGTTTGAGGTCGACCCGCAGGCCAAGGTGATGCATTCCGTGACGCCATCGAATGACAGCGACGAGGACGACGAGCGCGTACCGATGGACCCGACGCTGTATGCGCGCATTTCGCAAATGCGCATGGACGAGGCCAAGGAGGCAACGCGCAAGCCAAGAGACGAGGTGCGACCTCGGCGGACCGAGGCCGAGCCCCGGGTGGCTCGCAAGGTCAAGGCCAAGAAGCACAAGAAGAAACCGACGGACGCGAGCAGTACAAGCCACGCTTCTCCGCATCACCACCGCAGTAGTCGTGCCAGTGGCTCGACGAGCCATCCAATGTCGACGTCCAAGGCACACAAGGCGTCTCCGAGTCCACCAGCTCCACGCCGTACCCCGCCACTGGTTGGCCCTTGCATCATCGATCTGCATAGGATGTCTGATGCGTCGTTTTGTAGCCCGCGGACGATGCACCACAGCCGCGTGCTGTACGACCAGCGCCCTTGCCGCCGCAGAAAGGACCAACCCTGGCGCTGCCCGACATTGAGGGGTTCTAAGTCTATCCATTGTATGTCATTAAAAGACACGCGTTTTAAAGTTGATGCAAAACTCGAATTGTGCGCTCGTCGTCGCGCTTGTGACCGAGAAGGTGTCGCGCTCGGTGGCACTGGAATTGAATGGTCCTTTCAAGGGCAAGCGATCCCACCGCACGCCTTCTCTCTGTAGTTTTCAAGAGAGATAATTTGTCATCTTCTCTCACAATATGCATGGCGTTCATCCAAGAGGAAGCGACTCGCTCGGGATCCAACCAAGGGAACAGGAATATCAATTTCTTCGGATCAAACCCAGCTCGACCTCGAGGTAAATGCCAACAAATCGTTCTCGCCTGCCTTTTCCAGCGAGGGAAAAACCACTCCACTGACTCGTTGTACAAAAGTGCTCTTGCCGTTGGTGTGGTATTGGATGAAGCCAACGCAAGCCGACGACGCCTCGAGCAGCGCCGGTCACCTGCCAGTGTTGCGACCAAGTACTTCGCTCGAGGCGGAGGGATCCTCCGAGTCGAACGTGCTCGTTGCCTCGACGATCGCTGCGCTTCTCGCGCTGCTCTTGGTGGCTGCAATCCTCGTCTGCCGACGCTGGCGCCGCCGCCGACAAGAACTCAACCGCACGACTGCGCTTATCACTCTGCCGTACGGCTTCAACCTGCCAGTTCTCTCGCCAATGGGCCGGGCGTCGACTTTGGAGACATACGAATGGGTCGGCAGCGCCACATCGCCCATGCTCGCCATGCCCGAAAGTGTCCTTGCCAGCATGCACGACCGCCTCGCGCCGTTGTGATCCATACATACCCGACTTGCCTGAATACTGAAGCACGGTTGGCAATGGACCGTTCGAACGAATTCGAAGTCGATACATAGTCCATGAGAATAACCTTGATATCTCCCAACGTATTGTGCGTTCTCGTCGGGCTCGCTAGCATCTGCGACAACAAACAATCATATCCATCCCTGACGAAGCTCGCTACGAAACCGGTACCCAATCTGGGCCGTGACTGTCGACGCGACAGCAAAGGGGCTCATTGACCTCGTCTCTCGTTCCCTTAGGAGACTTGCGAACATGGACGCGGCCCATGACGACGCACTTCTGCGGTAGGTCCATGTGTGCGTCTGGATTTTTTGACAATGCAGCGACGAGGTCGTCGGCGAGGGACGGTGACGGTCGAGTGGTTGTAGAAGCTTGGGCCGTCGAGCCACTCGATGTCACAATCCATACAAACGTCGTGTGTTTCCATTTGGGAGAGACTCTCGGTCGGTGTGTCTCGGGCACTCGCCTCCGATGAGCGGTTGTGCTTGGCACTGCGCGCAGAGCGTGCCACGTCAACGGACGTTTAACGCGTTCACGGCCGCGAAAACGCGTTTAAACCATTTTCCAAACGTCGCGCGGTGATTGGTCGGCGAAAATACCGAGCGTCTGGGGCGCAGTCTTGACTTTGCAGCAGCATGTTCAGCTACCTCAGCGAGACGCTCAACATCAAGAACCTCGGCGAGCTCATTGCGCCGACGCTGACGCCGGAGCAGCAGCTGCACCAAGCCATCAGCGACGGCCTCCCGGAGAAGGTCCGCCACCTCCTCGACGATGTCAAGGTCAGCGTCAACGCGCGCACGCCAGAGGGCTCGTACCCGATCCACTCGGCGGCGTACGCCGGCCGCGTCGACATCTTCAACCTCCTCCTCGAGCGCGGCGCCGACATTACGACGCTCGGGCCGCGCGGAAACACGCCGCTGCACCTCGCCTGCGCGCAAGGCCACTTTGAGCTGGCCAAGCTTCTCGTTAGCCGCGGGGCCAACGTCGCCCAGCGCAACCAGAGCGCCCGCACGTCGTACGACGTGGCCAAGGGCGACAGTTTGCGCCAGTTTCTGCTCCCGCTGCAGTTCCAGCACGAAGACCCGACCGAGCGCGCGGCCGCAGTGCAGCAGGCCCACCAGATGGGCTTGACGGGCTTCCACGACCCGACGATGCCGCAGGCTGCGATCGCGCCGCCGCCAACGAGCATGCCGCCCATGGGGGGTGGGTACCAAGACGCACCGATGGCGAATGACCCGCACGCGGCCCTGTACGCGCCGCCGACGCACAGTGCGATTCCCCGGGGCACCGCCGCCCGTCGGGACCCCAAGGTCACGCGGCCCATTGTGGCTGACGGCTTTGGGTCGAGCGTCGGCAATGCGGAGCTCACTGCGTTTTATGGCAACACGGTGTCGATCAACCAAGCGGTGCCGCCGCCGCCCGTCATGTCCGGTCCGCCGGCCCACCAAATGACGGCCGCACCGGCGATGGCGCCAGCCCCCGCGCCGCGCAAGAGCATTCCACCCCAGTTCAAGATCTTCAATCCCAAGCTGGCCCAGCAAAACCACAGCCAAGACGGTAGTGGTCGTCCCCAGTCGGCCGGCCACCAGCACCCCGAGCCCGCAGCATCAGCGGCGTCGTTCGGTCCGAGCTCGGGCCCGTCGGCCTTTGCCCCGCAGCAGCAGCCGTCGTTTGGGACGTACCACGCAGCGCCCGCGTACAACACGTCGTCCTTTGGCCACCAACAGCAGCAGCAGCAGCAGCATGCGTTTCCGCCGTCGCCCGATGGCCGCTACGTGCAAGAGGAGTCGGTGGACTTTTCGGCCCACACGAGCGCACTGCAGTAGTAGCCTAGGAAAATAACGATCGAGTAAAAACGAGTTGTATGTAGTGCGAGGGGTAGATGGGAATCCAGGGAACTTCTGCATTTTCATTGCTCCTTGGCGGGGATCGCCGTCTTGTGTGTCTACTGGCGTGCGCAGCAGAGTCGCACGCCAGGCTCCAGAATCATCCAACGATGACGCATTGGCACCTCGAGTCACGCCGTCCAGGACCCTCAACGATCTGTAAGCGTACCAAGAGGGAGCTGGCGATGTACGACACGGGAAGGAGTTGCAACACTCCATTTCGTTGTTGCCATGGGGTCTTCCATACAATGATATATATATGGTGGACTTCGATTGCGCTCGTGAGGCGTGACGTCAAGCGAGGAGCGTCTGTATTCACGATTGTGCTTGGGACCAGGTAGCGGGCACACCAAGGGTCGTCTCGGAGGGTGATGGAGCGATCCATTTACCGAGCGCCGCGACATGTAAATCACGGAACTACGGTATATTGGACGAAATGTAAATGGCAAAATTTGCTCAAAATCTGGCACGCCAGATATCAGGTGGGATACTTGTGTATCTGAACACGGGCTTTTGCACCTGGAAAGCCCGGGTGGACGGAGATATAGCCAAGGTATTACCGGTATGCTTGAAGCAATGTTGAAGCGCACGGCGCATGCCACATTGCGCTTGCCCATCGATTCTCTCGGCGACCGACGATCGATTGCGCGTAGTCCAGGACAGCGCGACGACGAACGACCAAGCGGCGCTGCATGCGAGATCGTTCGTTCGGTGGTCGAGACGGCGCGATGCAAAAGCCAGCGCTGGACGAACGCGTGAGATCCCGTCGCAGGCAATGATATCCATTGGGTGGCGACAGTACCATCTGGCGATTCGACGCGCCGCTCTTCGTCGCCAGTTTGCCTTTTGGACGCGATAGAAACAACCGGATGCACACAGCGTCGTTGGTGCTGCTTCTCGCGGGCGCCGCCGCCGCGGCCAACTCGACCTTTGTCTTCAAGGTCGACATGAACGTGCCAGGCGTTCGCGCCAGCCGCAACCAAGACAACGTGCTCATCCCGTGCCAGAGCAACGTGTGCGTGCCGTCGGGCGGCGCGAGCTTGGAGTTTTGCCGAAAAGCGTGCAACTCGGAGGCCGGCCAGGCCGACTGCGCCGCCCAGTGCACCTGCAACGGTGCGAAACCCGGCTTTATGTGCGCCGGCGTCTGCAACCCGGCCAAGACCGCCGACGAGTGCGGGTCGCCCGTCTTCCAAAAGTGCATTGGCCAAGACCTCGTGTGCGACCGGACACCGCCGTCGCCCGCGCCGAGCCCGTCGACGACGCCGGCGCCGAGTGCTTCGCCGACGCAAGCCCCGACGCCCAGCACTTCGCCTAAACCGACGCCTAGCCCATCCTCCAACCCATCGCCCAGCCCATCCTCCAACCCATCGCCCAGCCCGTCGCCCAGCCCGTCGCCCAACCCGTCGCCTAGCCCATCCTCCAACCCATCGCCCAGCCCGTCGCCGAGTCCGGCGTCGACGCAGCGTGTGCGCTTCGTCAAGCTCCAGAGCCCGGGCGAGGCCCACCTGATCGAGTACTACACGGGCGTGTACTTTGGCGCGGGTCAAAACAACGCGAACGATGCGTTCGATTGGGACCCGTCGATCGGGTCGATTCGCTCGGTGAGCGGCAACGCCTGCCTCGACGCGTTTCTCGCAAACGACAAGAAGCTCTACGTGCACACGTACCCGTGCGACGCGTCCAACCCCAACCAGTTGTGGATCTACGACGACGGCGCGCGCCAAGTGCGCCACAAGACGCACACCAACATGTGCCTCGACGCGGACCCGTCCGACCCGGACAAGAAGGTCCAAATGTACACGTGCGCCCAAGGCAATGCGCACCAGTACTTTGAGATGCGCCCGATCCTGTCGCGCGGCCAGTAAGAATGCACATAACCTTTTTTTCTATTTCGTACGATACCGTGTACAAAGTGTACATTGGAGCGGATTCCAATTGAAACCGTCGCCATGAGCCGCGGCAAGCGGCACCCCAAGGCAAAGCACCGAGGACGACCCGAACGGACTCCCGACGAGGCCAACGACAAGGACGCGGCTGCAGACGACAGCCCACCGAGTGTGGCCACCGATGGCAGTGCCAGCAGTACGGACTCGGCGCTGTCCTCCGAGGCCCACCAGCCCACCGGCACGCCAGACGCTAGTAGTGCTGAAGGAGCGTCGTCCAGTCCCGCCGCGCCAGTGGCTACACCACCGGCCACAGACCCATCGCCGTCAACTGGGATCGATGACACACTGGCGTCAGTCATCGACGTGGATCCGCCGCTCATATCAAATACCACATCAGAAACCACATCAGAGACCAGATCAGAAACTAGATCAGACACCACATCGGAGGCCGTGTCCGAGACGCCAGTATTGACAGTCCCACTGCCATCAGTGGTCGATGTGTCTGCAATCTCTGTAGCCACGACCGTCGACAGAGCGACCGTTGTAGAGACGATCCCATCCAATGACGTGGCAGCGCCTCCGCGACGACTCCTAACGCCGCCCGAAGCCGAGCGCATGGTCCAGCACCTCGTCTTTGGCCTTTTGAAGGCGTCCGTGCCGCTCGTGCGTATACTCAAATCCCTGCCGTCGCTCCAAGAGCTCGCGTTCAAGTTACAGTTGGAGTGTCAGATTGGCCTGACGGCGATGGACCTTCAAGCGCTGCACGTCTTCTTTCACGTCGCCGACACCAACGTACGTCTACACATTTTGTCTATTTTCTAGAAGACAATATTGCTATTGCAGGTGTTTGACGCTGCTTCGTGCTTGGCCTTTGCCGCAACCAAAGTGTTTGTGCTCGAGCTCTTTGAGTTTCAACTGCGCAAGGCCATTCTTGAGAAAGCGACGAAGCTCCGAGGCAAAGCCGACGTGCCTCGCACGCTCTTACAGCTGCTTCCGGACGCCACGTCCTCGTTTGAACCGGCCGATTTGAACACGCTCGCGGTCGAGAAGCTAGGCCTTTCACACAGCCCGTACTGGGTTCTCCACTGCGTCGTCGGTCGCATCGCCCGCGCGCCGTTCGAGAAAGCGGCTCTCAAGACGCCGCCGTCGTACCCATGGGCCGTCTTTCGTCGTCACTTGGGGCAGTTTGTCGCACGCGCCGCGTTCGATCCGGACTCGGTTGAAGGGGCATTGCGGTCGCTCGTACGCGCCGACGCAGTGCAAGGGTTCCGAGCCATTGACACGGACGGCTCGGGCACGCTCTCGGTCGATGAGTGCACGGCGTTCCTGCACGCGCAGCACTTTGCGGGGTTCCCACATGGCGTTCTGCGGGATTTCATCGCACGTTTTGATCGTGACGGCGACGGCACCTTGAATTTGGACGAGTTCTTGGCCGTGTGTCGTCCCAAGGAGCAGTTTGGCCTTCAGGTTGTGACTTTTTGGGGCCGATTCTCAAACTGGTGAATGCATATTTTTTCATTTGTGGGTGTAGGTCGTGACACCGTTTGGCTCGTTTTACATGGCTACGACGCCGACGACGTTGGTCAAGGACCTTGTTCCCAAGATCCACAAACGCATGTTTTGGCTCCAGCACAACCACATGCTGGGCAACGCCGACATGTCCGGTAAAATGGTACCACGTCATGGCATAGACCTACCCCTGAGTGGATCGAAACGATGCGTAGCTCGTGTCGGTGGACCGGTTTGTGATTCAGCGGCACTTTGGGGCCCTCCCGCTGGAATACACGGCGAGTGACACGGTACAGACGATCTTGGTGCCGGGCGAGCTCGTCGTCGTGATGGAAACCACACCGACCGGTGCTTTTTCTGATATTTTCTGATATTTTCTGATGTTTTCGGATTGTTTTCGGATAGGCCCGACGTTGGTGTCGAAAGAAAAGTACATCGGAAAGCGAGTGGCGCCTTTACAGCGGCCGTTGGCGGCAGTAGTCCCTGCCCCGGACGTTCCCCTAAGAGCAGACACGACATCCACTGGCATTGACGTGGAGGCGGTTCGTCGGCGGCGCCCTCTCAAACCAACGCTGTCTTTGTCGCTGCCATCGGACGTGAGCACGTGGACAACGCTCGACGTCAAAAAGTGGGTTATCTACGAACTCAAGCTACCGACGCTTGCCCCGAAAATGAGCCAAGTCAACGGCAACGCGCTCTTGGGCCTCGCGCGCGCCCCAGCTGCGCTCGAGAAAACGCTCAACCACACCTTTCACATCCACTTGCCGCTCCAGCGACTCCAGCTCCAGCAGGCCATCCTCCGCCTCGTGCCACCTTCGGCCAAGACGACGCACCAGCAACGAGAGAAGGCGAGGACGAAGGGTGGGAAGCACGCTGGTCGCATGCCGCACCACACAGACGAGAACCGCGATGAAATTGTCGCAGAGGAATCTTTTGAGAACGCGCCGATGGACCCCGCGGCGCCAGATAACCCGGACGACAGCAGCGCAGACGACCGGGATCCAGTCAACCCTACCCCTTCGCCGCCGCTCCGCACCACATCAAGGACGGAGGGTTCAGCAGATGCCACCAACGAGAACGAAGCAGAGGAGCACGAGCCATGTCCAGACGCTCCGTTAATGACACCTTGTTCCATGGTGCTCAAGGCCGTGGCTTCAAGTCCCGATTTGGATGGCTCCATGGACGAGCCGGTGCCGCTTTTTGACGCCCGCGACAGTTTGAGTGACGACGACGACGACGACTTGCCGGGCTTTGAGGGGCCTCGTTCACCGAGCAGCGCCGCGTCGTCGGATGACACGTTGCCTGTCTTTGATCCATAACATAATTTTGAACCCGTTGTGTCAAATCAGATCTTGTTTGTAGTGGTACGGGGATTTTTAAACTCCAATTTGGTGTAGTAAATAGGAAAGGCATATGACGACGACGACGACACATCGAAAGGCACGGACACGGACTCGGTAAGCTAGATGAGCATCATTTTTTTCTTGGGCGTGCTCTTGGCGCGGGTGCGTCGTCGGGGTCGCTTCTTGCTCTCGAGTTGGAGCGGTTTGGTCTTGACCGAATTCGGCGACGACGCCTTGGCCGCCACCATGGACGACTTGCCACACGAGCTCAAGCTAGCAGTGGACGACGACGACGACGACACGGGCGACGCCGCGGCTGTCGGTGGCAGCCACATGTCGGGGCAATCCCGGGGCTTGTGCGTCCGCGCGTTGCAGATGAAGCACGTATGCTCGTCGATCGGCGAGCAAATGACATCGAGATGGCCGTCCGGCACAAGCGCCATGGTCGCCGCGCGGCGCAGCTCGTCGTTGAGCCGGGCTTGACCCTTGGGGTGAAAGATGACGCGCCCGACGTCATGGCCCAGGTCGAACGGGTCTTCGATCGAGAAGCGCCACGTGCCCAGACCGAGGCCCCACTTGCCAATCTTGGGCAAGCCGACGCCGGCCCGGATGCTCACAACAGTCGATTGGTAGTCGAAATCCCACGCGTAAAAATGGAAAAATCCCGCGAGGAGCGCGCCGACCGAGTCGTGGCCGCAGCGCGACGGCATGGCCTCGGGCGTCGGACACGCCGCGACAAGGCTGCTGGAGGCCTCTGTCGGAAGGCACGGCAGAATCGGCGTCGACCGCGTCTGGAGGTAAAAAATGACCAGCATGATCCAAGCTACCCAGGTATCATCGCCATCAGCATGGATAGCGACAGATAGAAAAAGGCTACCGTAGGAGCTCAACGAGCCATTCGATGCGTCGTTGATACCGCGCTGCTTGGCCCAGTGCTTGACGGCAAAGACGAGCGGGCGCACGCGCGCGTCGACTTGGCCGTACTGCCGCAAGAGCCGGGTGTTTTCCAATGCAAGCGGGTTCCCGACCGTCACATCAATGGCAATCTACGAGCAAATGAGACGCTACGTGCTGCGAGCGCGCAATAATATCTGTACCTTGCGGCGCGTGTCCCAAAACTTGAGCAGCGGCACGCGGGCGCTGTAAACAAACTGCTCGAGTTGCAGGCCGCCCGAGTGCGTGAGGGTGCCCGCGATGCTCGCAAGGATCTGGACGCGGTCGTTCCACGTGAGGGCTGCGAGCTTGGCGGGGTCGAGAAAGAAGAGACCAATGTCGAGGTCGCTGCTGCCGCCGCCAAAGCCACTACATGCCCGATGACCATCATTACCACATCGACATTGCACTTACTTTTGCGACGAGCCAAAGGCGCAGAGGCGCAGGTGCGGCCACTTGGCCCGCACGAGGCGCTGCATCGCGTCGACGGCTTCGGCCTTGAGCGCGACTTCGGCCGGCGTCGGCTCTAAGGCCTCGAGGAGGCCAATGGTCTGGATCGTGAGGCGGCGCACGCTGTTGATGGCGCCCATGACTGTGGATCGAAGGTGTTGTTGATGGAGGTGGTGGTGGTCGTCGCACTAGTTGTGGCTGCGAAGGTGTGTCATGAAGGGCTTGCTCTCTTAGCACGTCATTATCGCTTGCGGATAACGACGACGACGATGAGGACCTTGGAGCAGCAAAACAGAAATGGAAAATGGCATTTTTCACATGCCGAATCTTGACCCAGATTCGCCGCCAGGCCATTGGCCAAAATTCACACGAAAACAACACGCCTCGCTTTGTGTTTAAAACAGTCTCGGGCACGATGGCGTACGAATACGGTGGCGGTAGAGGCGACTGGGTTTCTTGGTGCCTTGCAGTCAACAAACGAGGACAGTAGACGGCGAGGCCGCGAGTCGACCGAATCCGATTCGCAGCGGACGGTGGGGAACGCGCGAAAACGGCTGATCGAGCGAGGATTTTCGAAGGTTTGCAGTGACCAGATCTGCGAAGACCAGTTGCGGGCCGTCGTAGAATGCTCCCGTGGCTCGCATTCCACGGAATCGTTTCTACATACACGAGTGTACTGGGCATGCAGCGAGACGACGCACCTGCCATCATAGCGTGCGTGGCTCTAGCTCTACAAGAAAGCGCTGCTGACAATGGCTTGGATACAGACGTTCATATATGCGAGCGCTTGATTGCATCAATGGTTGTTCATTTAGTCGAAGCTTGCTTGCAAGGCCACGAGGCCAAGCGTCGGGTCCATCGCGGCCGAAATGGCGCGCCACCTCAACCTGGCCGTTTTATACAGACGTTGTAAACACCTGTTTGAAACACTTGGGCCCTGTGTCGCGCCTTGTATCCGGTAGATGATATACAAATGCCAAGCTCGAGTCTCCGTATCCGGATGCACACGTGGCCAAAAAACACGTTTTCCACGTGGGGTTTTCAGGTTAAAATGGACCGCGAACGGAAACGAAGCTTTTTTGTGCTCCAGATGGCGCCTAGCGTGGGTCGACAGCGCCAGTTCTGCGAGGGGACAGCGTCTCGCAGCGTCGTGTCTGCAAGCTGCGTATTTCTCGTTCGTTTAACTTGAACGCTGCTATTTCTTTGAACCGCGACGGAATGACGAGCTTGCGACAGCGGCTTGTGAGGGTGTGACGGCCGTGTATGTGCTGACGGGCGTAGAGGCACGGGCTACTACTAGTAGGTAAGCATGTCTACGTCCTCAGCGTGTCGTAGAACCGCAGACCGCCCTTCGTGCCGTCCGCTTTCTTGCTCCGAGTTGCAAGCGCCGAGCGGTGGCGCCACGTCAAGAGACTAAAACGCGTTTTATTTAGGCCGTCGACGCCACGCGGCCACGTCACGGCAACTTGTGGTGACTCGATGGACCACAACTCGCCACGCAAGCCCCATATTTGATACATCATAGTAGTAGTATCGTGGATGGCGTGGCTTAAACGCGCAGAACTTTTGGTAATTCAGTCCTGCAATTTAGAAACAACTTGCCACACGGCAGGCGAAAAGGCCATCTTTTCTCCTGCTCGACAGGCTGCACTCGATCCCATCTCGCAACAGGTCGGCGTCCTTGACGTCGAGTGGTAATGGATCTTTGTTGTCTAGAGATAAGAGAAACCAAAGGTGCGAGCAGCAAACTCCATAAAATCACCGAATCGGTCGTCGCCGCCTCCTCCAATGTCTCTAGGAAACGTACGCTTGAACCCAGGGACTTACGAAGGGAAACATGCCAAAACGCAGCATGGAACCATTTCTTAATATAACAATGACGTCGATGGGTCAGTTCTTTTATCATCTTTGATATGAAAAGAGGGCTACATGTAGTCGTTCGACTCAACATGGACGACGCATGACTGGCCATGAGGCTGCACAAGGACAGCGGGCACAATGACATTCCTGAAAAATATTTTAGCGCGCATCATAAAACCTCGATCGTCTGTGTGTCGATTATGTCGATCGTGTGCACAAGAAGACATTAATGTTTGGAAAAATTTTACACGGTGAAGCCGTATACACTAATGTTTGTATGCCGCTTGGAAATCCCAGATTACCACGAGACCGCCGTCTTCTCGATGGTCTCGATGAGCTGGGACGGCAGCAGCTCGCGGCTGAAGAACGCGACCGTGCCAAACTCGGAGCTAAACTGATCGCTGTAGAGCTGTGCGAGCCAGTGCCAGTACGGCTACTCTTTGTTTGCCGTCAACAGCTGACCGCTGACAGCGCTTCCTGTCGACGTCGACCACCACGCGGCGTTATTCGGCGACGTCTCGGTCACCTGGGAGATGCACGCCGCGTACTCGTTCTTGAGATGCGGCGTCTCATTTGCCCCGGCCCGCTTCAGCACCTCGGACAGCGATCGAACGCGGTACTTGGCGTCAAACGTGGTCTCGTGCCTTGGCAGCGTCGTGAACTGCCGCAGGTCCGCCAATTCCACCGTCTCAAACGCAGCTTCGAGGCCGTCGCGCTCGATCGTTTCCTTAAAGACGTCGTAGCGTTCGCGAAGACGCATGGCTTCGGTGGAGAAGGCAGCGCGCCATTGCCACTGACTGCGCTCCTTGGGCCACGGCTCGTGCACGCGCGTGTGGTAGAGCTTGAGGTGGTCCAGCAGCGCGCGGCGCAGCGACCAGACGACGAGGAACGGGTTGTGGAGGCCGAGGCCGCCGAGCGTCAGCGGCCATTGGGCCCACGCCGCGGGCAATGTCTCGCCCAAGAGCCCTGGATGCCGCTGCACAATGCGAGCTTGCAGCGCTGCGAGCACATTCCCGTTGGGAAAAACCTTGCGGTGCACGCGGCGCAGCGTCTCGGCGACCGCGTCGGCGTGCGAGAGGCCAAAGACGGGCGAGACCGAACCAAAGTTGCGGACGAAGAAGACCATGTACTTGTTGTAGACGTTGATCCAGCGAAAGACCGACGGCGCCGCGGCGAGGCGGTCGCAAAGCTCGAGTGCGAACGCGTCGACCTTGTCGTTTAGGATGCGGACGGTCGCATCCGACTGCAGTTCGAGCAACCCCCAGCGAATCGGCGTCGACGGCAAGGGCGCCGGCGCGGCGTGGACACCGGTGAGCGCGCTTGAGAGCAGTACCGACCCGCTCTTTCCATGTTGAACGACAGCCCGGCAACATCGTTCCAGGCTTGCATCGCGCGCCACGCCGCCGCGGCCTTGTCTCCGTCCGCATCGAAGAAGATGATGTCGTCGTGGCGCCGGAAGAGGTGGATACCCGTCGTCGACCGGACGCTAAAGTCCATGACGAAGAGGATGACCTCGCAGAGGAACATGGTCATCGCACGCCCGACCGAGAGCCCGCGCTGCATGGTGCGGGGCGAAGTCGCACCGGGAAATACCAGCGGCAGCTGCATGTACCGGGTCAAGATACCGCGCGTTGGCTCGTCGACGCCAAAGAAGCGGAGGCAGCCGAGCACGGCAGCGTGCGAGATGGACGGCCCAAAGAACGTGAGGTCGGTCGTGACCGCCGTCAGCGACGTGGTTGCATTCTCGGGAGTGAACGCCGCCTGGTACTGCGCCTCGGCGCTGAGCATGCGCAGGAGATCGAGCTTGGACGCGCCGGCGAACCCCGATGTCACCTCGCCCGACACTTCGTCGTAGCTGCCACTGGACGTGTTGAGGGCTGCGAGCGTAAAGACGTCGCGCAGCTCCTTGCGCGTCGCGTCGACGGATCCGCGGGCCGGTCGTGCGGTCGGCTCGAGGGCGTGCAAGAGTGTCGCCATCTGCTCTCGAACCTTGCTGCCCCAGACCATGCCCACGTGCTGGAAAAGCAGCAGCGAGACAGCGTCTTCCTGGAGGTGGCAGCGGTACCGTCCGCTAATACCGCGCTTGAACTGAACGGCGACGCCGTTCACTGGCCACGCAAACTCGGTCAAGTTGCCCAACTCGATCGTGAGCACGTCGGCGAGCTCTTGTTGCGTCGTCGCGTTGCCTTGCACGTCGCGCAAAAAGCCGGCCACGTCGTCGGCCAATGTCGCTGCATCGCGCAGCAGAAGCGTTGCTGCCTCAACCACGTCGGCGCTCGAGACCTTGGCGCGCAATCGGAACGCTTCCGAGAACTCGCTGAGCTCGATGCGCACGCTGCTCAGCGCATCTCGGACGCGGCCCCACTTTTCACGGCCGTACTCGGCCCGCTCGGCAAAGACGGTCGAGTCGAGGTAGGCAAAGACAGCGTCCTCGGTCACGCCGGGGCCGGGGCGAAGAAGTAGTGTTCGAGCTGCGCCTGTGTCTCGGCCACCGTGAGCTCGCCGACGCCGCCACTGCTGGTCGCGTCGCCCACGGCTTCCCACTCGACATCGACGGGCGCAAGCTCTTCGGCCAACGACTCGTGCAAGAGCGCGCCGAGCAGCTTGTTGTGTCGCCAGAGCGACTGGCGCTGGTCGATCTCCTTGAGCAGCGACGATCGGTGCTGCGCCACCGCCTGCGCCGTGGTCCAGACGTCGCTCGTGGCAAAGTCGGCGAGCGCGCCCATGTGATCCAGGTCCGGATGCAATGGCGTCTGCACGACCTGCAAGTCCTTGACACCTGCGTACAGCGTCTCGAGCTGGTCGCGCATCGGCGCCGCAGCGTGGTTGGCCGCTGCCAGCAGCGCCGCGTAGTGCGATCGCAGGCGCTGCTCGTGGGCGTTGAGCTCGCGCAGCTTGATCTTGGTCGCCGTCTGCAGCACTTGGTGCTTCATCGCGCCATGGCTCGTCGACATGCTGCTGGAGATGGAGATGGCGGGGAGAGAGCAAACTCGGAAATGACCGCTTCAAGCTCGCTGGTGGTGTGTATCCGGATTCGAAAGATATCCGGATGTTGTCGATTGTGAGGTGCCATGGGATGCTTTTCTGTCGCTGGTGTGGAAAGAACGTCACTCACATCGTGGTCAATGGGTCGACTTGGTGAAATTCTCAAGTCTTTTACGCCAAACGACCTTCATTTGTTCACGATGCGGCAAGAGGTTCGGCGTCACTGATGGTCGGCACGGGCTCCATCAAGCTGCATTTTGGCCTCTTTTGGGAATCGTTGGGAATTTTACGCGACTTTTCGGGAATGCTGATTTTGGCCACAAGAAGAGGCGACGCTATAGAGACTTTGCAAATTACGTCGGTCCCGCGACAGACAGTCGTGCATGAAATATCAGTGGCATGCAGCTGGTCAACCTCTTCGATTGCTATCCTTTGCGCCGTTGGTATCTTCGTGAACGCAGCTCCGCTAAATCGTTCTCGTACCGGTACTCGTACGCAGTGCACTAAAACAACAACCCAGTGGTTCAAAGACAACATTGACACTGGATTAAACAAAATATGAACAAAATGAAAAGCTTACGCCGAAGGGGCATCGAGGCGGGCGTCGGCGCGGGTGCGCTTGCGCTTGCGGTGGCGACGGTAGTAGGTCCAGTCGCGGCAGAGTGTACACTGGTACGTGCCTGGCAACAGCACCGTGTTGGTTGCCGACGTGAGCGCGTTCGGGTGGAAGCGAGCGCACTCGTTGCAGACGGGCTCTGGCCCGCGCTTGCGCAGGTTGAACGGATGCTCGTTCGTAAACGAGACCATCTCAATGGGCTTGGTGGTGACGGCCAAGGGGTGCGGGACGTCGTCGAGCTGGTCGTCCGCAGCCGTCGCTACAGCGACTTGGTCCGAGGCCTCTTGTGCGGCGCGAAGGTCGGCCAGCGTGGGAAGCGGCGGGGGGACTTGGCCGGCAGCAAGCGCCTTCTTTCGCGCCCAACTAGGAAACGAGAACGTGAATCGGTTTGGAGGCAGGGAAATCGTACCGAGCTCGGGCGTACGCCACCTTGCACGCCCGGTTCGCCACGTTCCACGATTTTTTGGTGGCCTTGACGGCCTCCTTGTGCGTTTGCCGGTACGTTTTCGACCGCATCACCTCTTGATCGCGGTTCTTGTCGTAGCGGGCCTTGCGCTGCGCTGCGAGCTTCTCGGCGTTTGCTGCATAGTACTGCTTCTGGTAGGCCCGCACTTCTTCCTTGTTGGCTTCGTAGCGCGTCTTTCTGGCGGCTCGCTTGCGCGCCTGCTTCTCGCTGTCCGACGTGCTTGTGACCATTGTGGCTTGTTGAAGAATGACACGTCGAGCTGTGGCGCCAGCCCATGAGCCCGTTGGATTCGAACTCAGTATCCGGATGGTAGTGAGCTGGCAGGCGGTGGCGCGCTCATAATCCGGACACGACCAACGGTGCGATCAATGCTCTCCAGTCGCGGTGCGCACATTTCACCTCGCTATAGCTTCGTCAACGGCCCTGGATGCTTCTGGAATAAGAGCTATTGGTGCACACGGCACCGCAACCCTACGACTCTTTCTCGACCACTTCGCTCGCAAGCGTCACCAGATCGACCCCAAGGAGCACCACGTCGCTGCCTCCAGAGGTGCAGCCCTCTCTCGTCTTGCCAAGCATGTTGGTCGAAACTCGATCGAATTGAATGACAAGTTGCACCTCGCTGCGTGCCAAGAGACACACTACTAGCTCCAACGTCGTCGACTCGGTCCAAGAGGTAGGGTAGCACAGCCATCCATGCATCACTGCGTACACAAGAAAGCTGCGGGCGTGGCCTTCCACACCTCGGTTCCTCAATAGCTAATGACGGTGTCAACGCGTCCACCACAACATTGGTTGACCTTTCAGTCCAAACTCCTCGTTCGTCGACTACAACTCTACAAGCGGCGCGTCAAAGCGTCTCGGAAGACCGTTGAGAACGTACGCCGACGCGTTCGAGCCGGGCGGTGCGCCAATGTGCGTGGCCACTTTCGTCGTCAGCGCTGCCACGTGCAAGCCCGCGCGTCGTACTTGCAGTGAGAACGCGCGCTCAAACACATCCGACGTCGTATCGAACCGCAATTGCAGTGTCTTGAGCCGGTCCAGATCCCAAACTCCCGGGTTGAGCGAAAAGCCCGGCCAGGACGCCATCTTGTGCGCTGGATCTGCCACGCCCATCTCGAGCACGCGGTATGCGACTCGTCCCGAGGGTGTCGTATGGTGCCACCCGCTCTCTTGGTCGTTGAGCAGTACCTAGTCTTGTATGACACTAGCCTCGTCGACGCTCGATCTGCGTACCTGCGCAAGCCGAATAGTTGGGTCGTTCCAATGGCTGCGAAGGATCTCCAGCGCGTCGTGGACCGACTGCAGCACATTTTCCGTAAAGACCCAGTCGTCTTCAATGTACAGGACGAAGCGCGTGCTCACGATCGAGAGCAACGTGTTCATCGAGACGGCGTGGCCCTTGAGACGCGTGTAGAGGAACCGAACGCTTGGAAAGGTCGTCTTCATGACGCGCCGGTCGTCCTCGCTCGAGTGGTCGTCGATGACGAGCGTTGCGCACACGATCGAGGACTCACGTAGTTGGCGTAGTGAGGCCATCGTGCGCTGAAAGAGCGGGAGGCGCTTGCAGGTCGTGAGGACGAGCGTCACGCAACTGGCATTGACTGGCGTCGGGGCGTAGTTGGTCTCGGGAAACCGATCTCGGATGGCCCGCCACTGCAACGTCGAGTCGAGCTGGCCACCGATAGCTCGCCACTCGTTTAGAATGCGATCCACAAGGTCTCTCGTGCTCTGAACGCGGTGTTGCCAGAGTGCAGCGAGGGCGGCAAGCCAAATGTCGTCGCCGAGGCGAATGTCGACTGCGATTTGATCCGGGTCGAGTCCCTACGCGTATCCATGTCAGCTGGGATCGATTGATAGTTAGTTAGTAGATGGAAACGGACGGGAGAGGGTACGTGCAACGTGGCAACGATCGGTTGGTCGAGGCGCGAGACGCCCTTGTGCAGCACCGTCTCGATGAACGCAACGTAGAGCGGCTCGAGTTCGTGCACTTGACCGAATTTGGCGGCGATCTCCATGGTCCGATGGCGCTCGGACGCGCGCACTTGAAACGCAAACGTCTCATGGAGTACTTCGAGGTAGAGGTAGACGCCAAAGACGACCGGGTCCGTGTCGGTCGGCGTTTGCTGGTTGGGATCGGGCGGCGGCGTGGCCACAATGGTTTGCAGCATCCTCGACCACTCGTCCACGGCGCTCGACTGATTGTATAAGACGTTGTGGCGGGCCAGAATGCGCTGCGAGAGCAGGCGTCGGTGCGTGGCATTGCGTCCGACGGCCAGTGCCTTGGCGACTATGCATCGCACAGCTAGTTAGTTAGTAGAAAAGTCGACTCGAACGCAGACCATAGTCGTCGTCCGAGTACGCAATCAGCTCGGACATGTCCATCAACGTGTACATGGCGGCGCTGAGCTGCAAGATGGTCGTCCGCGGCTCGTGCACAATCACGGGCGTCCCGACCGCCAAGATCTCCAAGGTCGTGCGGCCACCGCCGACCGGAAACGTGTCGAGCACCACTAGCAAGACAAGGTGTCCATTTGAAAGTTGAAACATTGATACTATGAAAGAGTGTACCGTCGGCGGCAGCACAGACGTGCAGAAACTGCTGGCGGGGCATGTTGTGTAGATAGTAGACGCGCGCCAAGACGCTCGGCGACAACGTTCCCGTCCAACGCTCGTACACCTACCATGAGTCTGAGAAAGAAGCACGAAAGACAATAATAATGTGTGTTGTACGCGGTTGGCGAGGTCGGGCGTCTCGCCCTTGAGAAAGACGACGACAGCGTCGTCGTGGGCTTGGAGGATGCGCTGGAGCAGCGGATCCAAGGCCGGGTGCAGCTTGTAGAGGGTTTGCGGCACGAGGTAGATGGTCTTTTGCAGCTGTTGCAGCTCCGAGACAATGGCATCGGCAGCCATCGCGTCAGGAGAAATGACGGGTTTGTAAAACGCCGTGGTGAGCCCTTGCATTTCGTACAGACGCTCCGTGTAGTGCGTCTACGCACCATTCATTAGTGCGCATGGATGGCCTGGGATGCTTTTGGGATGATTTTTGAGCGATATTCCAATGATTTTGAAATCATTTTCAAGAAATTACGCCAAAATGTTGAGAAAATACCTGATGCGTCCCAAAGAGTGGGGACGTGATCGCGTAGTCGATGGTCGAGATCCCGGACGTGACGGCGTGGCCCCAAAACACGACGCTGCGCAACGCGAGCTGCGCAAACGCGAGAAAGTACGTCGCTTTGTCCATGCCAATCTAGACATCCAAACGGTAGAGGACGCTCGATACAAACACTAACTTTCCAACCTCGGAGAAGAGGACAATGTCCAGGGCCAACGCAGCGATCGTGTGTTGCGCCGCCACCACGCTGGACGGCAAGAGCATGTCGTGGTCGGCGCGCGACCGGAGGTGCTGTGTCACAGCATCCTCGCTGCGTGACGTGCGAAGGAGGTAGATCTCAAACGTCACACGGTCCAGTCTACACATCCACAGACAATCTTTCCACACTATGACAAAATAAGGAAATATACTGGGTCAAGACGCCTTGGAGAAGCAAGCCGACCGTATGGCCGTACAGAAATGCCGAGAGAACGCCGAGCCGAATGCGTCGACCTTCGGTTCGATGCACGTTGATGTGGTGGCGGTGAGCTCTCACGTGGGGCGCCACGAACGACAGCGATGGCATGGACGCTCGGTAGATGGTCGCGAGTTCTTCGCGCAGATGGCGGTCGATGCCGCCTTGGTAGATCAGCGAGTAGCCCATCGAGCCACAGCTACAACACTCGGTCATCCTCGCCGTTGGTTTTACCAAGGTGCAGATTGCTCTACCCGATCGTCTGGAGCGGATCAATGCCTAGCTGCAATGGCAGTCGCCTCGAGAGATCGCGGAGGCGGTTGGCGTAGGCACGCCGTGACGCAGCGATCGCATCGTTTGAAAATGTGATCTGCGGGATCCCCGACGTGGCTTGCATGAGCCGAATGACGTCGGCCATCTCGTGGCTGCTCGGAATGGCAAGCGCCGAGTCGAATGCAGCGACAGCAGCCGCCGAGTCGCCCATATTACAGACAGCGATCCCGATCGCCATGTGGGACTGGACCAAGGTCGGGTCGAGCTCGGTCGCGCGCTGCGTAGTATTAAGAGAGAGGGAGGGAGCTGTGGAGAGCTCTACCTGAGAGTAGCGGAGCGCCATTGGAAAGTCGCGCAAATGAAAGTAAACCGAGCCGAGGTTGTGGTGGACGAACGCGTTCTCGGGCGCAATGACCTAATGGTTGGAGGCATACATAGCTCTACCTAGACGAGACCGATTCGTACCAGAGCGTCGTTGGTCAGCGTGAGGGCCGAGTGAGGGTCGTCTCGTTGCAACTGCACGGCCGCGAGGTTGATCAGAAGCGGCAGAAAGCTCGGGTGCGACCGGTTCGTGGGTGTCAACGGTATCGCATAGACAGACGCCGCCTTCTCGAACGCGAGTTGGTCGCGGTAGAAGAGCCCAAGCGTGTTGAAGGCGTTCATGTGGGCTTGGTGGTATGGCGGAACGGCCACCGCAACGGCTGCTTCGAGCGCGGCAAGCACGTGAGGACCTGGGAAATAGTCTTGAAGCAGCTGTGCGTAGGCGTACTGCGCGTCAAAATCGTGTGCTTGGAGGTCCAGGAGCGCTTCGTAGCAGCCACGTGCCACGTCAACGTGATGCGCAGCGGCGTAGGCAGCGCAAGTCTTGAGCATCTCGGTGACGTTTGGAGCAGCCTACAAAGATGCATATTCAGTGCACGAACATGGCGACGTAAGCAATGGGCTTGTACGGTTGTGGCATGGGCTAGCTCCTCGGTATGCGTCGTACTAGTAGGCGAGCTGGCAGCGCTGGGTGTAAGGGCGGTAGAATGCTTGTAGCATCCCGCGTCAGAAGCGCCGTCTCGCCGAGGACGCGATGAGGTAGAGAGGCCAGACCATGATGAGGTAGAGAGGCCAGACCATGACGAGGTAGAGATGCGCTCGCTGCCAGTGCCACGCGATTGCGATCTTCGGGCGCGTTGATGTCAACCGCACCTTACCGAGCACAGTGGTACGGTAGGTACGACTAGAAACACCCAGTTTGCGCCGGCTGCAAGTGTGTGCCGAGTCGGTCAAGAATGCACCGCTACAACGCCCACAGTGACTAGCAGCGTCGCTCTCTGGATGCGGCGATACGTTGCGCAGTCGAGAGGTTCCATGCGGCAGTCGTCGGCGGGTTGAGATCGTCGGTGCATTTTGGATGCGACGAAGGTACGCTTCTTGCGCCGTGGCTGTAGTTTTTCTACCCACCGCCTGCAGTGGCTTGGCATTTGAAGTGCGTTGAAATAGTCTATTGTAGCACCACGGGAGTAGCACGCAACGCTGCAAAGAGGCTTCGTGCGGCTTTCAACGTGCGACTTCTGGCGCGTTGAAGCGGCAAATCCTGGCGTGCAATTAGCCATTCGCTCAAGTGCGCTCTTGAAGCACCCGGTGTACGCGGTGCCCGTATTGTTTGAGGAGGTCCCCACGTCTTTTTATTCTTTGTTTTTTACTCTATACAAACAACAAGTGAGAGGCGATGCGCATGCAAAGATACAATTATGGGGCCCCCACTTTTGGTGGTACCCCGGGGTACACGACCAGCGAATTGCTGACGAGCCACTCAGCATTTTGTGGCCGACGCCAGCCGCCATGTCCAAGCAGTTGCCCTCGAAGGAGAGCACGCTCTTCCGCTCCATCGTGGTACGTCATGCAGGTGCTCCTCAGCGTATGGCTCATGCGCCAGGTAGAAATACTATGAGATCAAGCAGTACAAGAAGGGTCTCAAGGCGGCGGATGCGATCCTCAAGAAGTTCCCGGAGCACGGCGAGACGCTCGCGATGAAGGGCTTGACCTTGAACTGCATGGGCAAGAAGGAAGTACGTGCATCCGAACGACGACGCTCCTCCATGCTAAGACGATGCTCTAGGAAGCGTACGAGTTTGTGCGCCAGGGCGTCAAGCGCGACCTCAAGTCGCACGTGTGCTGGCACGTGTACGGCCTCCTGTACCGCTCGGACCGCAACTACGCCGAGGCCATCAAGGTACGCGCTCGTAGCACGCGTTGTCGCTCACGCCCAAGCTAGTGCTACCGCCAAGCGCTGCGCATTGACCCGGACAATGCGCAGATCCTCCGCGATCTCTACCTGCTCCAGGTGCAGATGCGCGACCTCAAGGGCTACTGCGAGACGCGCCGCATGTTCCTCACGCTCAAGCCCAACAACCGCAACAACTGGATCGGCCTCGCGATCGCGCACCACCTCCATGGCACGCACCAAACCGCGATTGACATTCTCGACAAGTACTCGGCGACGCTCGAGACGTCCCGCGATGCGTACGCTCTCATCTCAATCTCTCATATGCCCATGATGTGTCGGTAGCAACTACGACGACAGCGAAATGTACCTCTACCAGAACGAGATCATCCAGGAAACGGGCGACATTGCCGCGTGCCTCTCGCACCTCGAGACCATCAAGCCGTACGTGCTCGACACGCTCGTGTGGCGTCAGCGCAAGGCCGAGTGCTTGATCCTCCGTACCACCACCTGCCCGACGCTTCGTATCGCTCATGACATGCATGTCGTGTGTAGAGGGCGCGTACGACGAGGCGATGGCCATCTACGCCGAGCTCCTCGAGATCAACATGGACAACTACGCGTACCACCGCGGCGTCCAGGCCGCGCTCTGCCAGCAGCCCTCGTGGCTCGCGCTCTCGTCGCTGCCGTCGGCGACATCGGCGCTCACGCCGGCCGAGAAGACGACGCTCGGCGCCTTCTACAACAAGACGCCCGACTGCCCAACGCACTGCCGCATCGCGCTCGACGTTCTCAGCGGCGCCGACCTCAAGGCCAAGCTCGATGCGTACCTTCGCCGCGGGCTCAAGAAGGGCGTGCCGTCGCTCGGCTCGGACGTCAAGTCGCTCTATGCGTCGCCGGCGTCCAAAACGCTCCTCTCGGAGCTGCTTGCGATCTACCTCGCGGAGGAAGCGAGCGTCGCGTCGACCGAGTGGGTCTGGCGCCTCTACTTGGCCGCGCAGCACTATGACCGTCTTCGCGACGTGACCCGCGCGCTCGAGTTCATCGACAAGTGCCTGGCGCACACGCCGACGGTCCTCGAGTTTTACCAGATGAAGGGCCGCATCCTCAAGCATGCTGGCGACTACTCGGCGGCCGCGACGATCGTTGACGAGGGCCGCAAGCTCGACCTCGCGGACCGGTACGCGCTTCGAGCCCGGGCATCGCGATTCATTTGAGATATAATGCGGGGTCTAGGTACATCAACAACAAGGCGACCAAGTACTTTTTGCGGGCGAACCGGATCGCCGAAGCCGAAGCGACGATCGCGCTCTTCACGCGCCACGAAGGCGACCCGCAGCAGAACCTCTTTGAGATGCAGTGCATGTGGTACGAGAACGCGGTCGCGGCCGCGCACTCGCGTCTCCAGGCCAACGGCCCCGCGCTCAAGAAGTTTGCGGCCGTCGAGAAGCACTTTACCGACTTTATTGTGCGTCACTTTTGCATGCTTTGCATGACTCATTTTTCCACTCTAGGACGACCAGTTTGACTTTCACAGCTACTGCATGCGCAAGATGACGCTGCGCGCGTACGTGCAGATGCTCCGCATGTGCGACACGCTGCTCCAGCACAAGGTCATGGTCAAGGCGCTCCACGGCGCGATCGCGGTCCAGCTCGCTCGCTTTGACGCACCCAACGGCAGCGCGGTCGAGCCTGCTGCGGACGCCAAGATGTCGGCGGCCGACAAGGCCAAGGCCAAGCGTGCGGCCGCCAAGGCCCGCAAGGCCGAGTTCCGCAAGGCCGAAGAAGCCTCGGTGCAGTCGCAGCTCCAGAAGGAGCAGGAGGCCGCCGAGCGCGAGAAGCTCGACAAGACCAAGAAGAAGCCGACGCAGCGCGCACGCGAGACGCCGGTGGACAGCGACCCGCTCGGCGAGGCGCTCCTCGCCAAGGCGCCGCTCGAAGAGGCGTGGCGCCTCGTGAGCATCCTCAAGGAGTACGCGCCAAACACGGTCGAGACCAACGTGGCCGCGTTCGACGTCGCGTTCCGGCAACAAAAGTACCTTCTCTGCCTCGAGGCGCTGCTCGCGGCGCCCCGCGATGCGTGGAGCGCGCCGCTCTTGGTGCGCCTCGTGCAGCTCTACTCGGTGAAGACGATTGCGTCGCCTCTCGTCCTCAAGCTCCTCGGCGAGGCCAAGGCGATCCTCTTCCGTGGCGCCAAGGACCTCGCGGCGGTCGTCGCAGCGGTCAAGACCTCGGACGGTGCCAGAAGCTTGGTGTGGCGCGTCGCAGTCGCCGAGGCCGCGTGCCTCGTCGACGCCAAGACCAACAAGAGCTGGATCAGCGCGTGGCTCCTCGAAGACCAGGCGCAGGGCGCAGTCGCCGCGTACGAAGCGGCCGTCGCAGTCGTCGCACGCTTTGCGGACGCCAAGGAGTCGGCGGCGTTCGTGGCGAAAGTCAAGGGCTGGTTCCCCCATGCAGTCGCGTTCGGCAACGCGTACAAGCACTAAGTGCGTAGAGACCATAGACTACTTGCATGCCGCTACTGCTCCAACCAATCGCACGTTTTTGCCATTGTCGTGTCCCTTGTGTACAATATATTTGTACACGCTCGAGACGAGGCGCAGACCGCGTGCTCCAGATGGGCGTGGCGGGTACTGACGGACCTGCTTTTCGCTCAACCCGGGCTTTTGGGACCTGGACCGGCTCAAGACACTGCAACTGCGGTTCGATACGACGTCGGATGTGTTTGAGCGCGCGTTCTCACTGCAAGTACGACGCGCGGGCTTGCACGTGGCAGCGCTGACGACGAAAGTGGCCACGCACATTGGCGCACCGCCCGGCTCGAACGCATCGGCGTACGTTCTCAACGGTCTTCCGAGACGCTTTGACGCCTTGCCGCTTGTCGAGTTGTAGTCGATGAACGAGGCGTTTGGACTGAAAGGTCAACCAATGTTGTGGATGGACGAGGTGACACCGTCACTAGCTATTGAGAACCGAGGTGTGGAAGGCCACGCCCGCAGCTTTCTTGTGTACGCAGTGATGCATGGATGGCTGTGCTACCCTACCTCTTGGACCGAGTCGACGACGTTGGAGCTAGTAGTGTGTCTCTTGGCACGCAGCGAGGTGCAACTTGTCATTCAATTCGATCGAGTTTCGACCAACATGCTTGGCAAGACGAGAGAGGGCTGCACCTCTGGAGGCAGCGACGTGGTGCTCCTTGGGGTCGATCTGGTGACGCTTGCGAGCGAAGTGGTCGAGAAAGAGTCGTAGGGTTGCGGTGCAGTGTGCACCAATAGCTCTTATTCCAGAAGCATCCAGGGCCGTTGACGAAGCTATAGCGAGGTGAAATGTGCGCACCGCGACTGGAGAGCATTGATCGCACCGTTGGTCGTGTCCGGATTATGAGCGCGCCACCGCCTGCCAGCTCACTACCATCCGGATACTGAGTTCGAATCCAACGGGCTCATGGGCTGGCGCCACAGCTCGACGTGTCATTCTTCAACAAGCCACAATGGTCACAAGCACGTCGGACAGCGAGAAGCAGGCGCGCAAGCGAGCCGCCAGAAAGACGCGCTACGAAGCCAACAAGGAAGAAGTGCGGGCCTACCAGAAGCAGTACTATGCAGCAAACGCCGAGAAGCTCGCAGCGCAGCGCAAGGCCCGCTACGAAAAGAACCGCGATCAAGAGATGATGCGGTCGAAAACGTACCGGCAAACGCACAAGGAGGTCGTCAAGGCCAAGAACAAATCGTGGAACGTGGCGAACCGGGCGTTCAGGGCGGCGTACGCCCAAGCTCGGTACGATTTCCTTGCGTTCGAACCGATTCACGTTCTCGTTTCATAGTCGGGCGCGAAAGAAGGCGCTTGCTGCCGGCGAAGAACCCGCGCCGCTGCCCACGCTGGCCGACCTTCGCGCCGCACAAGAGGCCTCGGACCAAGTCGTTGCATCGACGGCTGCGGACGACCAGCTCGACGACGTCCCGCACCCCTTGGCCGCCACCACCAAGCCCATCGAGATGGTTTCGTTTACGAACGAGCATCCATTCAACCTGCGCAAGCGCGGGCCAGAGCCCGTCTGCAACGAGTGCGCTCGCTTCCACCCGAACGCGCTCACATCGGCGACCAACACGGTGCTGTTGCCAGGCACGTACCAGTGTACGCTCTGCCGCGACTGGACCTACTACCGTCGCCACCGCAAGCACGAGCGCACCCGCGCCGACGCCCGCCTCGATGCTCCTACGGCGTGAGCTTTTCATTTTGTCTACTGTATTTTGACTAATCCAGTGTCGATGTTGCATTTGAACCACTGGGTTGTTGTTTTAGTACACTGCGTACAAGTACGAGAACGATTTGAGCACTTGTAGAGCTGCGTTCACCGAGCTACCAACGGTGCAGAGGATAGCAATCGAAGAGGTTGCACCAGCTGCATGCCACGGATAACTCATGCGCGACTGTCTGTCGCGGGACCGACGGAATTTGCAACGTCTGTATGGCGTCGCATCTTCTTCATGGTTTTTTCTGGCGGCGCGAATTCGAGGAAGCACACGTCCACATACTAACTATACCAGCGATAGCGCTCAGTGGCTTGGCCAAAATCAGCATTCCCGAAAAGTCTCGTAAAATTCCCAAAAGAGGCCAAAATGCAGTTTTGATGGAGCCCGTGCAGACCATCAATGACGCCGAACCTCTTGCCGCACCGTGAACAAGTGAAGGTCTTTTGGCGTAAAAGACTTGAGAATTTCACCAAGTCGACCCATTGACCACGATGTGAGTGACGTTCTTTCCATACAATTGTACCAGCGACACGAAAGCATCCAAATCGCATCTCACAATCGACAACATCCGGATATCTTTCGAATCCGGATACACACCACCAGCCGAGCTTGAAGCGGTCATTTCCGAGTTTGCTCTTTCCCCGCCACCATCCTCCAGCCAGCATGTCGACGAGCCATGGCGCGATGAAGCCACCAAGTGCTGCAGACGGCGACCAAGATCAAGCTGCGCGAGCTC